TGTATACAGTCTGTGTTAGCATTAGCATCTGTATACAGTCTGTGTTAGCATTAGCATCTGTATACAGTCTGTGTTAGCATTAGCATCTGTATACAGTCTGTGTTAGCATTAGCATCTGTATACAGTCTGTGTTAGCATTAGCATCTGTATACAGTCTGTGTTAGCATTAGCATCTGTATACAGTCTGTGTTAGCATTAGCATCTGTATACAGTCTGTGTTAGCATTAGCATCTGTATACAGTCTGTGTTAGCATTAGCATCTGTATACAGTCTGTGTTAGCATTAGCATCAGTATACAGTCTGTGTTAGCATTAGCATCTGTATACAGTCTGTGTTAGCATTAGCATCTGTATACAGTCTGTGTTAGCATTAGCATCTGTATACAGTCTGTGTTAGCATTAGCATCTGTATACAGTCTATGTTAGCATTAGCATCTGTATACAGTCTGTGTTAGCATTAGCATCTGTATACAGTCTGTGTTAGCATTAGCATCTGTATACAGTCTGTGTTAGCATTAGCATATGTATACAGTCTGTGTTAGCATTAGCATCTGTATACAGTCTGTGTTAGCATTGTCCATCTGTATACAGTCTGTGTTAGCATTAGCATCTGTATACAGTCTGTGTTAGCATTAGCATCTGTATACAGTCTGTGTTAGCATTAGCATCTGTATACAGTCTGTGTTAGCATTAGCATCTGTATACAGTCTGTGTTAGCATTAGCATCTGTATACAGTCTGTGTTAGCATTAGCATCTGTATACAGTCTGTGTTAGCATTAGCATCAGTATACAGTCTGTGTTAGCATTAGCATCTGTATACAGTCTGTGTTAGCATTAGCATCTGTATACAGTCTGTGTTAGCATTAGCATCTGTATACAGTCTGTGTTAGCACTAGCATCTGTATACAGTCTGTGTTAGCATTAGCATCAGTATACAGTCTGTGTTAGCATTAGCATCTGTATACAGTCTGTGTTAGCATTAGCATCTGTATACAGTCTGTGTTAGCATTAGCATCTGTATACAGTCTGTGTTAGCATTAGCATCTGTATACAGTCTGTGTTAGCATTAGCATCTGTATACAGTCTGTGTTAGCATTAGCATCTGTATACAGTCTGTGTTAGCATTAGCATCTGTATACAGTCTGTGTTAGCATTAGCATCTGTATACAGTCTGTGTTAGCATTAGCATCTGTATACAGTCTATGTTAGCATTAGCATCTGTATACAGTCTGTGTTAGCATTAGCATCTGTATACAGTCTGTGTTAGCATTAGCATCTGTATACAGTCTGTGTTAGCATTAGCATCTGTATACAGTCTGTGTTAGCATTAGCATCTGTATACAGTGTGTGTTAGCATTAGCATCTGTATACAGTGTGTGTTAGCATTAGCATCTGTATACAGTCTGTGTTAGCATTAGCATCTGTATACAGTCTGTGTTAGCATTAGCATCTGTATACAGTCTGTGTTAGCATTAGCATCTGTATACAGTCTGTGTTAGCATTAGCATCAGTATACAGTCTGTGTTAGCATTAGCATCTGTATACAGTCTGTGTTAGCATTAGCATCTGTATACAGTCTGTGTTAGCATTAGCATCTGTATACAGTCTGTGTTAGCATTAGCATCTGTATACAGTCTGTGTTAGCATTAGCATCTGTATACAGTCTGTGTTAGCATTAGCATCTGTATACAGTCTGTGTTAGCATTAGCATCTGTATACAGTCTGTGTTAGCATTAGCATATGTATACAGTCTGTGTTAGCATTAGCATCTGTATACAGTCTGTGTTAGCATTGTCCATCTGTATACAGTCTGTGTTAGCATTAGCATCAGTATACAGTCTGTGTTAGCATTAGCATCTGTATACAGTCTGTGTTAGCATTAGCATCTGTATACAGTCTGTGTTAGCATTAGCATCTGTATACAGTCTGTGTTAGCATTAGCATCTATATACAGTCTGTGTTAGCATTAGCATCTGTATACAGTCTGTGTTAGCATTAGCATCTGTATACAGTCTGTGTTAGCATTAGCATCTGTATACAGTCTGTGTTAGCATTAGCATCTGTATACAGTCTGTGTTAGCATTAGCATCTGTATACAGTCTGTGTTAGCATTGTCCATCTGTATACAGTCTGTGTTAGCATTAGCATCTGTATACAGTCTGTGTTAGCATTAGCATCTGTATACAGTCTGTGTTAGCATTAGCATCTGTATACAGTCTGTGTTAGCACTAGCATCTGTATACAGTCTGTGTTAGCATTAGCATCTGTATACAGTCTGTGTTAGCATTAGCATCTGTATACAGTCTGTGTTAGCATTAGCATCTGTATACAGTCTGTGTTAGCATTAGCATCTGTATACAGTCTGTGTTAGCATTAGCATCTGTATACAGTCTGTGTTAGCATTAGCATCTGTATACAGTCTGTGTTAGCATTAGCATCAGTATACAGTCTGTGTTAGCATTGTCCATCAGTATACAGTCTGTGTTAGCATTAGCATCTGTATACAGTCTGTGTTAGCATTAGCATCAGTATACAGTCTGTGTTAGCATTAGCATCAGTATACAGTCTGTGTTAGCATTAGCATCTGTATACAGTCTGTGTTAGCATTAGCATCTGTATACAGTCTGTGTTAGCGTTAGCATCTGTATACAGTCTGTGTTAGCATTAGCATCTGTATACAGTCTGTGTTAGCATTAGCATCTGTATACAGTCTGTGTTAGCATTAGCATCTGTATACAGTCTGTGTTAGCATTAGCATCTGTATACAGTCTGTGTTAGCATTAGCATCTGTATACAGTCTGTGTTAGCATTAGCATATGTATACAGTCTGTGTTAGCATTAGCATCTGTATACAGTCTGTGTTAGCATTAGCTTCTTGTATACAGTCTGTGATAGCATTAGCATCTGTATACAGTCTGTGTTAGCATTAGCATCTGTATACAGTCTGTGTTAGCATTAGCATCAGTATACAGTCTGTGTTAGCATTAGCATCTGTATACAGTCTGTGTTAGCATTAGCATCTGTATACAGTCTGTGTTAGCATTAGCATCTGTATACAGTCTGTGTTAGCATTAGCATCTGTATACAGTCTGTGTTAGCATTAGCATCTGTATACAGTCTGTGTTAGCATTAGCATCTGTATACAGTCTGTGTTAGCATTAGCATCTGTATACAGTCTGTGTTAGCATTAGCATCTGTATACAGTCTGTGTTAGCATTAGCATCTGTATACAGTCTGTGTTAGCATTAGCATCTGTATACAGTCTGTGTTAGCATTAGCATTAGTACACAGTCTGTGTTAGCATTAGCATCTGTATACAGTCTGTGTTAGCATTAGCATCTGTACAGTCTGTGTTAGCATTAGCATCAGTATACAGTCTGTGTTAGCATTAGCATCAGTATACAGTCTGTGTTAGCATTAGCATCAGTATACAGTCTGTGTTAGCATTAGCATCTGTATACAGTCTGTGTTAGCATTAGCATCTGTATACAGTCTGTGTTAGCATTAGCATCTGTATACAGTCTGTGTTAGCATTAGCATCTGTATACAGTCTGTGTTAGCATTAGCATCTGTATACAGTCTGTGTTAGCATTAGCATCTGTATACAGTCTGTGTTAGCATTAGCATCTGTATACAGTCTGTGTTAGCATTAGCATCTGTATACAGTCTGTGTTAGCATTAGCATCTGTATACAGTCTGTGTTAGCATTAGCATCTGTATACAGTCTGTGTTAGCATTAGCATCTGTATACAGTCTGTGTTAGCATTAGCATCTGTATACAGTCTGTGTTAGCATTAGCATCTGTATACAGTCTGTGTTAGCATTAGCATCTGTATACAGTCTGTGTTAGCATTAGCATCTGTATACAGTCTGTGTTAGCATTGTCCATCTGTATACAGTCTATGTTAGCATTAGCATCTGTATACAGTCTGTGTTAGCATTAGCATCTGTATACAGTCTGTGTTAGCATTAGCATCTGTATACAGTCTGTGTTAGCATTAGCATCTGTATACAGTCTGTGTTAGCATTAGCATCTGTATACAGTCTGTGTTAGCATTAGCATCTGTATACAGTCTGTGTTAGCATTAGCATCTGTATACAGTCTGTGTTAGCATTAGCATCTGTATACAGTCTGTGTTAGCACTAGCATCTGTATACAGTCTGTGTTAGCATTAGCATCTGTATACAGTCTGTGTTAGCATTAGCATCTGTATACAGTCTGTGTTAGCATTAGCATCTGTATACAGTCTGTGTTAGCATTAGCATCTGTATACAGTCTGTGTTAGCATTAGCATCTGTATACAGTCTGTGTTAGCATTAGCATCTGTATACAGTCTGTGTTAGCATTAGCATCTGTATACAGTCTGTGTTAGCATTAGCATCTGTATACAGTCTGTGTTAGCATTAGCATCTGTATACAGTCTGTGTTAGCATTAGCATCTGTATACAGTCTGTGTTAGCATTAGCATCTGTATACAGTCTGTGTTAGCATTAGCATCTGTATACAGTCTGTGTTAGCATTAGCATCTGTATACAGTCTGTGTTAGCATTAGCATCTGTATACAGTCTGTGTTAGCATTAGCATCTGTATACAGTCTGTGTTAGCATTAGCATCTGTATACAGTCTGTGTTAGCATTAGCATCTGTATACAGTCTGTGTTAGCATTAGCATCTGTATACAGTCTGTGTTAGCATTAGCATCTGTATACAGTCTGTGTTAGCATTAGCATCTGTATACAGTCTGTGTTAGCATTAGCATCTGTATACAGTCTGTGTTAGCATTAGCATCTGTATACAGTCTGTGTTAGCATTAGCATCTGTATACAGTCTGTGTTAGCATTAGCATCTGTATACAGTCTGTGTTAGCATTAGCATCTGTATACAGTCTGTGTTAGCATTAGCATCTGTATACAGTCTGTGTTAGCATTAGCATCTGTATACAGTCTGTGTTAGCATTAGCATCTGTATACAGTCTGTGTTAGCATTAGCATCTGTATACAGTCTGTGTTAGCATTAGCATCTGTATACAGTCTGTGTTAGCATTAGCATCTGTATACAGTCTGTGTTAGCATTAGCATCTGTATACAGTCTGTGTTAGCATTAGCATCTGTATACAGTCTGTGTTAGCATTAGCATCTGTATACAGTCTGTGTTAGCATTAGCATCTGTATACAGTCTGTGTTAGCATTAGCATCTGTATACAGTCTGTGTTAGCATTAGCATCTGTATACAGTCTGTGTTAGCATTAGCATCTGTATACAGTCTGTGTTAGCATTAGCATCTGTATACAGTCTGTGTTAGCATTAGCATCTGTATACAGTCTGTGTTAGCATTAGCATCTGTATACAGTCTGTGTTAGCATTAGCATCTGTATACAGTCTGTGTTAGCATTAGCATCTGTATACAGTCTGTGTTAGCATTAGCATCTGTATACAGTCTGTGTTAGCATTAGCATCTGTATACAGTCTGTGTTAGCATTAGCATCTGTATACAGTCTGTGTTAGCATTAGCATCTGTATACAGTCTGTGTTAGCATTAGCATCTGTATACAGTCTGTGTTAGCATTAGCATGTAAATAAAAACAGGACACAGTCGTTGCATGTATGGCTGTATTCAGACTTCTTTGTAACCAATCAATAAATAAGTGTCACTTTCGGTTCCAAAGTTCATCGCGGCGTAATATTTACATTCTAAATTAAATAGAACAAATAGACATTAACATCTCTGTCTTGGACCATAGGAGCAAACGCAGAGACCAGGACCAGGACCGGGACCAGGACCGGGACCAGGACCGGGACCAGTACCGGGACCAGGACCGGGACCAGGACCGGGACCAGTACCGGGACCAGGACCGGGACCAGTACCGGGACCAGGACCGGGACCAGGACCGGGACCAGTACCGGGACCAGGACCGGGACCAGGACCGGGACCAGTACCGGGACCAGGACCGGGACCAGGACCGGGACCAGTACCGGGACCAGGACCGGGACCAGGACCGGGACCAGGACCGGGACCAGTACCGGGACCAGGACCGGGACCAGGACCGGGACCAGGACCGGGACCAGGACCGGGACCGGGACCGGGACCGGGACCGGGACCGGGACCAGGACCGGGACCAGTACCGGGACCAGGATCGGGACCAGGACCGGGACCGGGACCGGGACCGGGACCGGGACCGGGACCGGGACCGGGACCGGGACCGGGACCGGGACCAGGACCGGGACCAGTACCGGGACCAGGACCGGGACCAGGACCGGGACCAGGACCGGGACCAGGACCGGGACCAGGACCGGGACCAGGACCGGGACCGGGACCGGGACCAGGACCGGGACCGGGACCGGGACCGGGACCGGGACCGGGACCGGGACCGGGACCAGGACCGGGACCAGTACCGGGACCAGGACCGGGACCAGGACCGGGACCAGGACCGGGACCAGGACCGGGACCAGGACCGGGACCAGGACCGGGACCAGGACCGGGACCGGGACCGGGACCGGGACCGGGACCGGGACCGGGACCGGGACCAGGACCGGGACCAGTACCGGGACCAGGACCGGGACCAGGACCGGGACCAGGACCGGGACCAGGACCGGGACCAGGACCGGGACCAGGTGGAAACAACAGGACTGTCCTTCAGAGGAACTAAAGTAGCAATAATGATATCGTTAAGTAAAGACATCAGATTGAAAACTGATTCCATGACAGACCTATTGTACATGTTTTTAACGGTATGGGAAACCGGAGCACCTGGAGGGAACCTACGCAGACACAGTGAGAGCATGCTAACTCCACTCAGAAAGGCCCTGTTCCGACCGAGATTCAAACCCAGGACCTTCTTATGGAGAAGTGAGAAGTCTGTGTCTCTGCTCGGACTGCTGCCCCCGCGACCCGGCAACGGATAAAGCGGCAGTAAATATAAAGGCAGCAGGATTGAAGGAACTAGCGGCTAGAAATTAAAGTTTACGAAGTTTATCATGTCTCTTTGTGTTTAAGGCTTAGAAGGTTCTAGTGTTTTCTACCGTTGTGTCCCTGGGCAAGACACTTAACCCCACTTTGCCTGAAGCCCCCTGCAGGAGGACCAGCGGGGGACTGGTGCTTTAATCAATGGGTGCAGCTCTAAATGTCTTCCCCCTGACACAGAATTGAACCCAAGACCTCCCGGTGCACACGGGGGAGCCTTGCACGGTTTTTCCAATGTGGTTTTACTGCAAATGGCAAATACATTCTCGAATATTGAATTGAATCAGCAGAAATAGCTTCTTTACACTTTGTTTTATTAAAGAAATGCCGTAAAATCCTAAAGCACTGTCATGACGTTTTCAAAAGCGGCCATTTTGTTTTTCACACGTTGCCTTCTGCAGTTTCGCCCGATGCTAAAAACACAACAATATGTGTCAAGTTTGAGTAGAGGTCTCTTTAAATCCTCTCAGAACATTCCCGTTTTTCCCGCCTCTTTTTCCTGAAACAAAAACCACCGTTTGGACCAAATGGAAAACACGTAACACTGACAGATAAATAGAAAAACACGGAGCACAGTGACGGCGGCGCTGGAGTCCCACGTTAGTCCAGACCTTTGAGTCCAGACCTTTGAGTCCAGACCTTTGAGTCCAGAGGCAGCCGAGCGTGGAGCAGAGGTCCGGTCCCACAAACATTAACCGACCAATGAGGCGAGACCGGCCCGGGCCGCTCCAACATTAACATGGTCCGTGTGAACCTGAGCCTGGGATCCACCGGGACTCAGAAAAACACTTCATCTCATCGAAGCTGCGGTACCTCACTGTTTTATTAGAAACACAAATAAATGGTCCCAACAGAAAGAGGCGAAAGTGAAATGTTGTGAATAAAACATGCTAATTATAAAACCATTTGTAAACGTTAAAGGTCCACTGTGTGTATTGTAATTTACGGTACTACGTTAGCTTCAGTCTAATCCTATGAAAACAATTCAAAAACATGGCGTAGGTAAATATTTGTTTTTGGTTAATAGTTCTTTTTATTTGGAGCAACAGTAAACAAATACACAGAGGACCTTTAAAATGGCAAATGATAAACTCCATGTCTCTCTCTGGAGTTTCTCGTGTTTGTGTTTCAGACCTCTCAGCTTCAGACCAGTTTTTACCAGAGAACCGCCCACACTCCATCATGAAACCTCTCGACAAGAGACGTGACAAAGAAACATGTCTTTTCTCCCACAGGGTTTTTGAGTGGTTCTTTGTTGATGCAGGAGGATCTAAGGCCTGGATCTATAACAAGAGTGTTAGAGCTCAGGGCTGAAGGAGCCACGGGCTGAGGGGGCGCCCACGGGACAGCAGAGGGTACAGTCACTTTACCTGACTGAGAACCTGACAGAGAACCTGACAGAGAACCTACAGAGAACCTGACAGAGAACCTGACAGAGAACCTGACTAAGAACCTACAGAGAACCTGACAGAGAACCTACAGAGAACCTGACAGAGAACCTACAGAGAACCTTACAGAGAACCTGACAGAGAACCTGACAGAGAACCTACGGAGAACCTGACAGAGAACCTGACAGAGAACCTGACTAAGAACCTACGGAGAACCTGACAGAGAACCTGACAGAGAACCTACAGAGAACCTGACAGAGAACCTGACAGAGAACCTACGGAGAACCTGACAGAGAACCTGACAGAGAACCTACAGAGAACCTACAGAGAACCTGACAGAGAACCTGACAGAGAACCTGACAGAGAACCTGACAGAGAACCTACAGAGAACCTGACAGAGAACCTACGGAGAACCTGACAGAGAACCTGACAGAGAACCTACAGAGAACCTACAGAGAACCTGACAGAGAACCTACAGAGAACCTTACAGAGAACCTGACAGAGAACTTGACAGAGAACCTGACAGAGAACCTGACAGAGAACTTGACAGAGAACCTGACAGAGAACCTGACAGAGAACCTACAGAGAACCTACAGAGAACCTGACAGAGAACCTGACAGAGAACCTACAGAGAACCTGACAGAGAACCTGACAGAGAACCCACAGAGAACCTACAGAGAACCTGACAGAGAACCTGACAGAGAACCTAACAGAGAACCTACAGAGAACCTGACAGAGAACCTAACAGAGAACCTTACAGAGAACCTGACAGAGAACCTGACAGAGAACCTACAGAGAACCTGACAGAGAACCTGACAGAGAACCTGACAGAGAACCTGACAGAGAACCTACAGAGAACCTGACAGAGAACCTACAGAGAACCTGACAGAGAACCTGACAGAGAACCTGACAGAGAACCTGACAGAGAACTTGACAGAGAACCTACAGAGAACCTGACAGAGAACCTACAGAGAACCTGACAGAGAACCTGACAGATAACCTACAGAGAACCTACAGAGAACCTACAGAGAACCTTACAGAGAACCTACAGAGAACCTACAGAGAACCTGACAGAGAACCTACAGAGAACCTTACAGAGAACCTGACAGAGAACCTACAGAGAACCTACAGAGAACCTGACTAAGAACCTACAGAGAACCTGACAGAGAACCTACAGAGAACCTACAGAGAACCTGACAGAGAACCTACAGAGAACCTTACAGAGAACCTACAGAGAACCTGACAGAGAACCTGACAGAGAACCTACAGAGAACCTGACAGAGAACCTGACAGAGAACCTACAGAGAACCAACAGAGAACCTGACAGAGAACTGACAGAGAACCTACAGAGAACCTACAGAGAACCTGACAGAGAACCTACAGAGAACCTTACAGAGAACCTGACAGAGAACTTGACAGAGAACCTACAGAGAACCTGACAGAGAACCTACAGAGAACCTTACAGAGAACCTGACAGAGAACTTGACAGAGAACCTGACAGAGAACCTACAGAGAACCTGACAGAGAACCTGACAGAGAACCTGACAGAGAACTTGACAGAGAACCTACAGAGAACCTGACAGAGAACCTACAGAGAACCTGACAGAGAACCTACAGAGAACCTGACAGAGAACCTACAGAGAACCTGACAGAGAACCTACAGAGAACCTGACAGAGAACCTGACAGAGAACCTACAGAGAACCTACAGAGAACCTTACAGAGAACCTGACAGAGAACCTACAGAGAACCTGACAGAGAACCTACAGAGAACCTGACAGAGAACCTACAGAGAACCTGACAGAGAACCTGACAGAGAACCTACAGAAAACCTGACAGAGAACCTACAGAGAACCTACAGAGAACCTGACAGAGAACCTGACAGAGAACCTACAGAGAACCTGACAGAGAACCTGACAGAGAACCTACAGAGAACCTGACAGAGAACCTACAGAGAACCTACAGAGAACCTGACAGAGAACCTGACAGAGAACCTGACAGAGAACCTGACAGAGAACCTGACAGAGAACCTGACAGAGAACCTACAGAGAACCTGACAGAGAACCTGACAGAGAACCTACAGAGAACCTGACAGAGAACCTGACAGAGAACCTGACAGAGAACCTACAGAGAACCTGACAGAGAACCTGACAGAGAACCTACAGAGAACCTACAGAGAACCTTACAGAGAACCTACAGAGAACCTACAGAGAACCTGACAGAAAACCTGACAGAGAACCTACAGAGAACCTGACAGAGAACCTGACAGAGAACCTGACAGAGAACCTACAGAGAACCTGACAGAGAACCTGACAGAGAACCTACAGAGAACCTGACAGAGAACCTGACAGAGAACCTGACAGAGAACCTACAGAGAACCTGACAGAGAACCTGACAGAGAACCTACAGAGAACCTACAGAGAACCTTACAGAGAACCTACAGAGAACCTACAGAGAACCTGACAGAAAACCTGACAGAGAACCTACAGAGAACCTGACAGAGAACCTGACAGAGAACCTGACAGAGAACCTGACAGAGAACCTACAGAGAACCTACAGAGAACCTTACAGAGAACCTGACAGAGAACTTGACAGAGAACCTGATAGAGAACCTGACAGAGAACCTACAGAGAACCTGACAGAGAACCTGACTAAGAACCTACAGAGAACCTGACAGAGAACCTGACAGAGAACTTGACAGAGAACCTACAGAGAACCTGACAGAGAACCTACAGAGAACCTGACAGAGAACCTGACTAAGAACCTACAGAGAACCTGACAGAGAACCTGACAGAGAACTTGACAGAGAACCTACAGAGAACCTGACAGAGAACATACAGAGAACCTGACAGAGAACCTACAGAGAACCTGACAGAGAACCTTACAGAGAACCTACAGAGAACCTGACAGAGAACCTGACAGAGAACCTGACTAAGAACCTACAGAGAACCTGACAGAGAACCTGACAGAGAACTTGACAGAGAACCTACAGAGAACCTGACAGAGAACATACAGAGAACCTACAGAGAACCTACAGAGAACCTTACAGAGAACCTGACAGAGAACCTTACAGAGAACCTGACAGAGAACTTGACAGAGAACCTGACAGAGAACCTACAGAGAACCTGACAGAGAACCTGACAGAGAACCTGACAGAGAACCTGACAGAGAACCTGACAGAGAACCTAGAGCTTTCATAAAGGAGGATTCTGTGGATTTTAGTGTCCCTTGTCATCCTGACCTTTTTTCTTGTTTAATCTTTTGGCTTTCTTTAAATCCACACTTAAGAGCAACTAACTCTGCTCAATCATCTCCCGCTCTGATTGGTCAGAACCATAGACTGTAAATATTAAACGACGTAGTAACGCCCATCTCCGACGTTCTAACTGATCTGCCACAACTTCCGCGGCCTAAGGGCAGTTTCAAAATGGCTGCGATGGCTGGAAATGGTGAGGCGCTACTTAGCACAAGCCACCGATTTAAGGTGGCCGCCATCTTGGATCACCGGCCACCATCTTGGATCACCGGCCACCATCTTGGATCACCGGCCACCATCCTGGATCACCGGCCACCATCTTGGATCACCGGCCACCATCTTGGATCACCGGCCACCATCTTGGATCACCGGCCACCATCCTGGATCACCGGCCACCATCTTGGATCACCGGCCACCGTCTTGGATCACCGGCCACCATCTTGGATCACCGGCCACCGTCTTGGATCACCGGCCACCGTCTTGGATCACCGGCCACCATCTTGGATCACCGGCCACCGTCTTGGATCACCGGCCACCATCTTGGATCACCGGCCACCATCTTGGATCACCGGCCACCATCTTGGATCACCGGCCACCGTCTTGGATCACCGGCCACCATCTTGGATCACCGGCCACCATCTTGGATCACCGGCCACCGTCTTGGATCACCGGCCACCATCTTGGATCACCGGCCACCATCTTGGATCACCGGCCACCATCTTGGATCACCGGCCACCGTCTTGGATCACCGGCCACCATCTTGGATCACCTCGGGGCTTGGCACTGGCCGTCCCGCTCGCTCTGGACCACTGTCTCTGTGTTTGTTGGTATTTGTGGCATTTCCTGTGTTGGAACTGTTTGATTCTCTGATCTGTTGTTGGAGGATCAACAAGACGACTGCTGTTGTGACTTAGGGCGATACAAAAACGTTGACAAATTTCTGTCTGTTGGGACAAACATGTTAAAAAAGTGAGGTACCCCAGCAAATCTATTTAATGAGAACTCTTATTTCAAGAACTAACTTTGAGAAATGTTTGACTTATTTTTGATCCTCTGTTTTCATCGGTGTGTCTGATCCCGGGTTCTGCCACAGGTCGGTTAGCTTAACCGCTATCACCACGTCTGCAGTCTTTATCCCCCTCAGGTTTCCACGGATACCAATAATCGATGTTGGGTCCGCCTTCTTTGCAGCAGACCAGCCCCCAGTCTGAGTGGGGGGAGGGTTAGCGGACACTAGCGGAAACTATTGAGTCATGGAAGCTAACGGTAATGGGCTATGACTCATTCTCCCTGTTAGCATAGCTTCCATGACTCACTCTCCCTAACGGTGAATGGGTCATGGAAGCTAACCGTCTGCTGCCTCAGTCCGGGTGAGGGAGGGTCTGCTGCCTCAGTCCGGGTGAGGGAGGGTCTGCTGCCTCAGTCCGGGTGAGGGAGGGTCTGCTGCCTCAGTCCGGGTGGAGGAGGGTCTGCTGCCTCAGTCCAGATGAGGGAGGGTCTGCTGCCTCAGTCCGGGTGGGGGAGGGTCTGCTGCCTCAGTCCGGGTGGGGGAGGGTCTGCTGCCTCAGTCCGGGTGAGGGAGGGTCTGCTGCCTCAGTCCGGGTGAGGGAGGGTCTGCTGCCTCAGTCCGGGTGAGGGAGGGTCTGCTGCCTCAGTCCGGGTGAGGGAGGGTCTGCTGCCTCAGTCCGGGTGAGGGAGGGTCTGCTGCCTCAGTCCGGGTGGAGGAGGGTCTGCTGCCTCAGTCCGGGTGAGGGAGGGTCTGCTGCCTCAGTCCGGGTGAGGGAGGGTCTGCTGCCTCAGTCCGGGTGAGGGAGGGTCTGCTGCCTCAGTCCGGGTGAGGGAGGGTCTGCTGCCTCAGTCCGGGTGGGGGAGGGTCTGCTGCCTCAGTCCGGGTGGGGGAGGGTCTGCTGCCTCAGTCCGGGTGGGGGAGGGTCAGCTCCCGTTGGTGATGATCACCGAGGTGGGCTTGTGCGGCTGCATCTGCTCGGCCTGTAAGCGCACCAGGTCGTAGGGCGCGGGGCAGGGGTAGCTCCTGAGGGCCTCGGGCTCGTACAGCTGCTCCAGGGAGTAACCCGCCAGAGCGTAGGCGCCGCCGGAGGGCAGAGGGGGCGGAGCCTCAGAGTCCTGGAGGAAGTCTTTGGCTCCCGGAGGTCTGTGCGCACTGTCTGAACTGGGGCTGCTGAGGCGGGACAGCGAGGCGGGGCTGGTGACCGCGCTGTCGTCCGGCTCCGGGGAGTTTCCCTGAAAACACAAACAAACATGAGAACGACACGACTTCATTTTGACTCCATCAAGTTTTAGTTGCTACAGGAAACTAATTTATTATCAAAATAGATGAAGTTGAATGAGTCACGGAAGCTAACTTCATTAAGCTGCCAGGTTAGCATCGCCCTCTGTCTACAGTGTATGTTAGCATCTCTCTGTCTACAGTGTATGTTAGCATCTCTCTGTCTACAGTGTATGTTAGCATCTCTCTGTCTACAGTGTATGTTAGCATCTCTCTGTCTACAGTGTATGTTAGCATCTCTCTGTCTACAGTGTATGTTAGCATCTCTCTGTCTACAGTGTATGTTAGCATCTCTCTGTCTACAGTGTATGTTAGCATCTCTCTGTCTACAGTGTATGTTAGCATCTCTCTGTCTACAGTGTATGTTAGCATCTCTCTGTCTACAGTGTATGTTAGCATCTCTCTGTCTACAGTGTATGTTAGCATCTCTCTGTCTACAGTGTATGTTAGCATCTCTCTGTCTACAGTGTATGTTAGCATCTCTCTGTCTACAGTGTATGTTAGCATCTCTCTGTCTACAGTGTATGTTAGCATCTCTCTGTCTACAGTGTATGTTAGCATCTCTCTGTCTACAGTGTATGTTAGCATCTCTCTGTCTACAGTGTGGTGTAGGTACCATGTGTGCGGGCGTGGCGCTCTGGAGGCGTGGCGTGGGCAGGTGGTGCAGACGGTCGGTTGCCATGGTGACGGAGGTCTTGTGCAGCTGGTGGTGGTGGTGGTGAAGCCGAGTCTCCTCCTCTTTGATCATGTGCTGCGTGGCTCGGATCAGCGTCTCCATCTTGCTGGGCTCGCGGGGGCTGCTGCGGAACTGGTCGCCGTGGAAACGCTCCCCGGAGTCGCTGGTGGAGCCGCCGCCTTCGGGCGAGCTCACCACGCTGTCCTCGTCCCAGTGACCGCGGCCTGCGAGGGACATTCATGTTTACACACGACACTAATGGGACTGGTCATTGTAGAAAAAAGTTATTTAGAAAACCCGGAGAACCCCCCAAAGGACACCAGGAGAACTCCCCAAAGGACACCAGGAGAACCCTCCAAAGGACACCAGGAGAACCCCCCAAAGGACACCAGGAGAACCCCCCAAAGGACACCAGGAGAACCCCCCAAAGGACACCAGGAGAACCCCCCAAAGGACACCAGGAGAACTCCCCAAAGGACACCAGGAGAACTCCCCAAAGGACACCCGGAGAACCCCCCAAAGGACACCAGGAGAACCCCCCAAAGGACACCAGGAGAACCCCCCAAAGGACACCAGGAGAACCCCCCAAAGGACACCAGGAGAACTCCCCAAAGGACACCAGGAGAACCCTCCAAAGGACACCAGGAGAACCCCCCAAAGGACACCAGGAGAACCCCCCAAAGGACACCAGGAGAACCCCCCAAAGGACACCAGGAGAACCCCCCAAAGGACACCAGGAGAACCCCCCAAAGGACACCAGGAGAACCCCCCAAAGGACACCAGGAGAACCCCCCAAAGGACACCAGGAGAACTCCCCAAAGGACACCCAGGAGAACTCCATCGAACGCCTTCTCCAGATCCACAGAGCACATGTGACGGAGGCAAACTCCCACGGACCCTCGAGTATCCCACGGAGACTATAGAGCTGGTCCGGTGTTCCGCGGCCGGGACCAAAACCACACTGCTCCTCCTGGATCCCAGATTCGATCATCGTGTCAGTCCTACAACATCCAGAGTCCGGACAGATCTCATCCCGGAGCCTAAAGGAGGCCGCCAACCACCTTCAGGGAGATGGAGGTATCCGCCCCGACATCCTCCGCCTCAGCCTCCGCCTCTGCCGCTGACGGAGGACGTGACAATTGAGGAGAACCTCAAAGTATTCCTTCCACAGTGAAGGTCAGCAGCTCTGCACCTGCACCGTACACGGTGTTGGCAAAGAACTGCTCCTGAGGCGGTTTGCCAGAACCTCTTTGAGGCCGACCGAGAGTCAATCTCCATGGACTCTCCGAAAAGTAAACTTTTTTGTATGAGTTTTGGACTCACTTTGGACCAGAGCGAGATGAGGCTGTGAGACCGCCCGATTAATCAATATATTAATATCAAAATAGTGTAATTCAATTATTTTTATTTTTGTATAGCCCAATATCACGACAGCTGTCATCGAGACTATAGACCCAGGACTGAGGCTGTAGACCCAGGACTGAGGCTGTAGACCCAGGACTCCGGTAGAAAACAAACTTGTTCTCTTGTCAGTAAAAACCTCCTTCTTCCTGGTGTATAATCCGCTCTTCTTCATCTGAGCTGCCAAAAGCCTCTCTCGTCTTCCTCGCCGCAGAATCGAACGCCTTCACGCCTTCTTTGATTTATCTCGTTACGACTCTGTGGACGTCGGCGTGAAGACTGTCTTTGGGCGGACACATGTGGACCGTTAGCCGGAGCGCGCCGCGGGGGACAATTCACCGTTTGTGGATTTGAAAAGTGAAATAACTTGGCTTTCAATCGGAGGCAATCTTTGGAGCAGATGGCAACAATCAGAGTCTGGCTCGGGACGCCGTAAACAACTTAGCATCGCCAGAGTGAGCGCCGTCGGGAAAGAGCTGCCAGGACTCAGGACTTCGTCTGTGATTTAAAGAACATTAAGTGTTTTTAAAACGGCTCATGATGGACTTTGAACCTGATCTTGAGAATATGGAGGTCAACAGTTCTGAGGGGCCACAAAGTGCCACACAATATGATTTATTATTATTATTATTAATATTATTATTATTATTATTATTAATATTAAGTTTAGGTTTAGGTTTAGCTCTCTCTAGTCTCTCTCTGGTCTCTCTCTGGTCTCTCTCTGGTCTCTCTCTGGTCTCTCTCTCTGGGTCTCTCTCTCTCTGGTCTCTCTCTGGTCTCTCTCTGGTCTCTCTCTGGTCTCTCTCTGGTCTCTCTCTCTGGTCTCTCTCTCTGGGTCTCTCTCTCTCTCTCTGGTCTCTCTCTCTCTGGTCTCTCTCTCTCTCTCTCTGGTCTCTCTCTCTGGTCTCTCTCTCTGGTCTCTCTCTCTGGTCTCTCTCTCTCTCTCTCTGGCTCTCTCTGGTCTCTCTCTCTGGTCTCTCTCTCTCTGGTCTCTCTCTCTGGTCTCTCTCTGGTCTCTCTCTCTGGTCTCTCTCTCTGGTCTCTCTCTCTGGTCTCTCTCTCTGGTCTCTCTCTGGTCTCTCTCTCTGGTCTCTCTCTCTGGTCTCTCTCTCTGGTCTCTCTCTGGTCTCTCTCTGGTCTCTCTCTCTGGTCTCTCTCTGGTCTCTCTCTCTGGTCTCTCTCTCTGGTCTCTCTCTGGTCTCTCTCTCTGGTCTCTCTCTCTGGTCTCTCTCTGGTCTCTCTCTCTGGTCTCTCTCTCTCTGGTCTCTCTCTCTGGTCTCTCTTTCTGGTCTCTCTCTGGTCTCTCTCTGGTCTCTCTCTGGTCTCTCTCTGGTCTCTCTCTCTCTGGTCTCTCTCTCTCTGGTCTCTCTCTCTGGTCTCTCTCTCTGGTCTCTCTCTCTGGTCTCTCTCTCTGGTCTCTCTCTCTGGTCTCTCTCACCGGTGATGGCTCCGTAGGCCGTGATCTCGAAGGCCTCGCCGTCCGAGGCCTTTGGCAGCGACAGTACAGACCGTGTGGCGTCCCACCACATCTCGCGTCCCGACTGTGGTGTTCCCAGGAAGTAGCGGCCGCCGTGGCAACGCACGCGCTCGCAGGACGGGTGGGCGTGGCCGACCTCCTCCGACAGACCGTAGCACAGCGGCGCCGCGGGCTCCGGGTACAGTCTGTAGGCACAGGAATCTGAGGCCTCCGCCGCCTCCAGCAGCTGAGGAGACGCCGAGTCGGTCTGAGGGCTGCCCCCCCACGGACTGTCCTGGTCCGACTCCGAGCGCTCGGGGTTAAAGGCCGAGAACTGCTGCAAAAACATCAAAAACCAAGTTTAGATCGTTCTCAACAGTTTACGGTCGACAAAACTGGTCTCATCACATGACACATTCGAGATTTAGAGATTTACAAAGAGTTTAGAGTCTTAGCAAGAGATTTAGCCACATTAGCAAGAGTTAGCCTGATTTAGCCACATTAGCAAGAGTTAGCCTGATTTAGCCACATTAGCAAGAGTTAGCCTGATTTAGCCACATTAGCAAGAGTTAGCCTGATTTAGCCACATTAGCAAGAGTTAGCCTGATTTAGCCACATTAGCAAGAGTTAGCCTGATTTAGCCACATTAGCAAGAGTTAGCCTGATTTAGCCACAATAGCAAGAGTTAGCCTGATTTAGCCACATTAGCAAGAGTTAGCCACATTAGCAAGAGTTAGCCTGATTTAGCCACATTAGCAAGAGTTAGCCTGATTTAGCCACATTAGCAAGAGTTAGCCTGATTTAGCCACATTAGCAAGAGTTAGCCTGATTTAGCCACAATAGCAAGAGTTAGCCTGATTTAGCCACATTAGCAAGAGTTAGCCTGATTTAGCCACATTAGCAAGAGTTAGCCTGATTTAGCCACATTAGCAAGAGTTAGCCACATTAGCTAGAGTTAGCTTGATTTAGCCACATTAGCAAGAGTTAGCCTAATTTAGCCACATTAGCAAGAGTTAGCCACATTAGTTAGAGTTAGCCTAATTTAGCCACATTAGTTAGAGTTAGCCTAATTTAGCCACATTAGCAAGAGTTAGCCACATTAGTTAGAGTTAGCCTAATTTAGCCACACAAGAGTTAGCATTAAGAGCTTGATTTAGCCACATTAGTTAGAGTTAGCTTGATTTAGCCACATTAGCAAGAGTTAGCCTGATTTAGCCACATTAGCAAGAGTTAGCCTGATTTAGCCACATTACAAGAGTTAGCCTGATTTAGCCACATTAGCAAGAGTTAGCCTGATTTAGCCACATTAGCAAGAGTTAGCCTGATTTAGCCACATTAGCAAGAGTTAGCCTGATTTAGCCACAATAGCAAGAGTTAGCCTGATTTAGCCACATTAGCAAGAGTTAGAGTTAGCCTGATTTAGCCACATTAGCAAGAGTTAGCCTGATTTAGCCACATTAGCAAGAGTTAGCCTGATTTAGCCACATTAGCAAGAGTTAGCCTGATTTAGCCACAATAGCAAGAGTTAGCCTGATTTAGCCACATTAGCAAGAGTTAGCCTGATTTAGCCACATTAGCAAGAGTTAGCCTGATTTAGCCACATTAGCAAGAGTTAGCCACATTAGCTAGAGTTAGCTTGATTTAGCCACATTAGCAAGAGTTAGCCTAATTTAGCCACATTAGCAAGAGTTAGCCACATTAGTTAGAGTTAGCCTAATTTAGCCACATTAGTTAGAGTTAGCCTAATTTAGCCACATTAGCAAGAGTTAGCCACATTAGTTAGAGTTAGCCTAATTTAGCCACATTAGCAAGAGTTAGCCACATTAGCTAGAGTTAGCTTGATTTAGCCACATTAGTTAGAGTTAGCTTGATTTAGCCACATTAGCTAGAGTTAGCCTAATTTAGCCACATTAGTTAGAGTTAGCCTAATTTAGCCACATTAGCAAGAGTTAGCCACATTAGCTAGAGTTAGCTTGATTTAGCCACATTAGTTAGAGTTAGCTTGATTTAGCCACATTAGCTAGAGTTAGCCTAATTTAGCCACATTAGTTAGAGTTAGCCTAATTTAGCCACATTAGCAAGAGTTAGCCACATTAGCTAGAGTTAGCTTGATTTAGCCACATTAGCAAGAGTTAGCCTGATTTAGCCACATTAGTTAGAGTCCTCTCTTTGACACTTAATTAAAAACACACTGATGAACTAGAAACAAACTGTTTTAGATCCAGGAACTAGAGACATCTTTTTACATAAGTCAGGTCCCCCAGCTTTAATCTCTGTGGGAAGCAGATGCCTCTAAAGCAGCCCTGTCTCACCTGTGGGTATGGGGAGACCCGGGCCTTGGTCTTGCCCTGGCCTGTGCTCACCTGTGGGTATGGGGAGACCCGGGCCTTGGTCTTGCCCTGGCCTGTGCTCACCTGTGGGTATGGGGAGACCCGGGCCTTGGTCTTGCCCTGGCCTGTGCTCACCTGTGGGTATGGGGAGACCCGGGCCTTGGTCTTGCCCTGGCCTGTGCTCACCTGTGGGTATGGGGAGACCCGGGCCTTGGTCTTGCCCTGGCCTGTGCTCACCTGTGGGTATGGGGAGACCCGGGCCTTGGTCTTGCCCTGGCCTGTGCTCACCTGTGGGTATGGGGAGACCCGGGCCTTGGTCTTGCCCTGGCCTGTGCTCACCTGTGGGTATGGGGAGACCCGGGCCTTGGTCTTGCCCTGGCCTGTGCTCACCTGTGGGTATGGGGAGACCCGGGCCTTGGTCTTGCCCTGGCCTGTGCTCACCTGTGGGTATGGGGAGACCCGGGCCTTGGTCTTGCCCTGGCCTGTGCTCACCTGTGGGTATGGGGAGACCCGGGCCTTGGTCTTGCCCTGGCCTGTGCTCACCTGTGGGTATGGGGAGACCCGGGCCTTGGTCTTGCCCTGGCCTGTGCTCACCTGTGGGTATGGGGAGACCCGGGCCTTGGTCTTGCCCTGGCCTGTGCTCACCTGTGGGTATGGGGAGACCCGGGCCTTGGTCTTGCCCTGGCCTGTGCTCACCTGTGGGTATGGGGAGACCCGGGCCTTGGTCTTGCCCTGGCCTGTGCTCACCTGTGGGTATGGGGAGACCCGGGCCTTGGTCTTGCCCTGGCCTGTGCTCACCTGTGGGTATGGGGAGACCCGGGCCTTGGTCTTGCCCTGGCCTGTGCTCACCTGTGGGTATGGGGAGACCCGGGCCTTGGTCTTGCCCTGGCCTGTGCTCACCTGTGGGTATGGGGAGACCCGGGCCTTGGTCTTGCCCTGGCCTGTGCTCACCTGTGGGTATGGGGAGACCCGGGCCTTGGTCTTGCCCTGGCCTGTGCTCACCTGTGGGTATGGGGAGACCCGGGCCTTGGTCTTGCCCTGGCCTGTGCTCACCTGTGGGTATGGGGAGACCCGGGCCTTGGTCTTGCCCTGGCCTGTGCTCACCTGTGGGTATGGGGAGACCCGGGCCTTGGTCTTGCCCTGGCCTGTGCTCACCTGTGGGTATGGGGAGACCCGGGCCTTGGTCTTGCCCTGGCCTGTGCTCACCTGTGGGTATGGGGAGACCCGGGCCTTGGTCTTGCCCTGGCCTGTGCTCACCTGTGGGTATGGGGAGACCCGGGCCTTGGTCTTGCCCTGGCCTGTGCTCACCTGTGGGTATGGGGAGACCCGGGCCTTGGTCTTGCCCTGGCCTGTGCTCACCTGTGGGTATGGGGAGACCCGGGCCTTGGTCTTGCCCTGGCTCAGACGGGGTTTGGAGCTCTTGCGGTCCTCAGAATGCTGGTCGGAGGCGTAGGGGAAGGCTGGTTTGGTGGGACTCATCTGGTCCAGAGACAGCTGCATGCCCTTGTACTCAGTGTCCCTACAGACACACACAGGTCCAGGTCAGATACACAAGTGTGATACAACACGACACAACACAACATCTGGTCTCTCTACTCGCTCTCTGGTTTCTCTCTCTGGTCCCTCTCTGGTCTCTCTCTGGTCTCTCTCTGGTCTCTCTCTGGTCTCTCTCTGGTCCCTCTCTGGTCTCTCTCTGGTCTCTCTCTGGTCTCTCTCTGGTCCCTCTCTGGTCCCTCTCTGGTCTCTCTCTGGTCTCTCTCTGGTCTCTCTCTGGTCTCTCTCTCTGGTCCCTCTCTGGTCTCTCTCTGGTCTCTCTCTGGTCTCTCTCTGGTCTCTCTCTGGTCTCTCTCTCTGGTCTCTCTCTGGTCTCTCTCTGGTCTCTCTCTGGTCTCTCTCTGGTCTCTCTCTGGTCCCTCTCTGGTCTCTCTCTGGTCTCTCTCTGGTCTCTCTCTGGTCCCTCTCTGGTCCCTCTCTGGTCTCTCTCTGGTCTCTCTCTGGTCTCTCTCTGGTCTCTCTCTCTGGTCCCTCTCTGGTCTCTCTCTGGTCTCTCTCTCTGGTCTCTCTCTGGTCTCTCTCTGGTCTCTCTCTGGTCTCTCTCTGGTCTCTCTCTGGTCTCTCTCTGGTCTCTCTCTCTGGTCTCTCTCTGGTCTCTCTCTGGTCTCTCTCTGGTCCCTCTCTGGTCTCTCTCTGGTCTCTCTCTGGTCTCTCTCTGGTCTCTCTCTGGTCTCTCTCTCTGGTCTCTCTCTGGTCTCTCTCTGGTCTCTCTCTGGTCCCTCTCTGGTCTCTCTCTGGTCTCTCTCTGGTCTCTCTCTCTGTTCTCTCTCTCTGGTCTCTCTCTCTGGTCTCTCTCTCTGGTCTCTCTCTGGTCTCTGTCTGGTCTCTCTCTCTGGTCCCTCTCTGGTCTCTCTCTGGTCTCTCTCTGGTCTCTGTCTGGTCTCTCTCTCTGGTCCCTCTCTGGTCTCTCTCTGGTTCTCTGGTTTAGAATATGAAACCGTAATCGTTTCTTTGTGCTCTGTTGGGTGAGCGTCCTCTGTCCTCGTTGTACATGCTGACAGTGCTCTCTCTCCTTCATCACTCTCTCGGTTCAAACCTCACGTTTTCATTGATGTTTTTATTGATCTCCTGTTTACGTCCAGGATCGATTCTCATAACGTTATGTTTGCGCTGAATTAAAATAAATCACTGGGAATGGACTTTTTGCAGCGAGAATCTGCAGCTGTGATACACGGACGTTTAGGCAGCGCAGTGCAGGCCGCATCTCCATAGGGGGAAAAAATCTACTGATCGTTAACATGATCTGTGGTTTATTTAAGGCTCTGCGTCTGGGATTGGACCACACCATGTTGTAAGTAAGTAAGTAAGTAATCTTTATTTATATACCGCCTTTTCACTGCACATCGGAGTCTCAAAGCGGTTTGTTGGACACGGATCTAAATCTAACGTCACTAAGATAAATGTTTTCTCTGGTTTATGTTTATGGTCTCTCTCTGGTCTTTCTCTGGTCTCTCTCTCTCTGGTCTTTCTCTGGTCTCTCTCTGGTCTCTATCTCTGGTCTCTCTCTCTGGTCTCTCTCTGGTCCCTCTCTCTGGTCCCTCTCTCTGGTCCCTCTCTCTGGTCTCTCTCTCTGGTCTCTCTCTGGTCTGTCTCTCTGGTCTCTCTCTCTCTGGTCTGTCTCTCTGGTCTCTCTCTCTCTGGTCTCTCTCTCTGGTCTCTCTCTCTGGTCTCTCTCTGGTCTCTATCTGGTATCTCTCTGGTCTCTCTCTCTGGTCTCTCTCTCTCTGGTCTCTATCTCTGGTCTCTCTCTGATCTCTCTCTGGTCTCTCTCTCTCTGGTCTCTCTCTGGTCTCTCTCTGGTCTCTCTCTGGTCTCTCTCTCTCTGGTCTCTCTCTGGTCTCTATCTCTGGTCTCTCTCTGATCTCTCTCTGGTCTCTCTCTCTCTGGTCTCTCTCTGGTCTCTCTCTGGTCTCTCTCTGGTCTCTCTCTCTCTGGTCTCTCTCTGGTCTCTCTCTCTGGTCTCTCTCTCTGGTCTCTCTCTCTCTGGTCTCTCTCTGGTCTCTCTCTGGTCTCTCTCTGGTCTCTCTCTGGTCTCTCTCTGGTCTCTCTCTCTGGTCTCTCTCTGGTCTCTCTGGTCTCTCTCTGGTCTCTCTCTGGTCTCTCTCTCTGGGTCTCTCTCTGGTCTCTCTCTGGTCTCTCTCTGGTCTCTCTCTGGTCTCTCTCGGTCTCTCTCTCTGGTCTCTCTCTGGTCTCTCTCTGGTCTCTCTCTGGTCTCTCTCTGGTCTCTCTCTCTGGTCTCTCTCTGGTCTCTCTCTGGTCTCTCTCTGGTCTCTCTCTGGTCTCTCTCTGGTCTCTCTCTCTGGTCTCTCTCTGGTCTCTCTCTGGTCTCTCTCTGGTCTCTCTCTCTGGTCTCTCTCTGGTCTCTCTCTGGTCTCTCTCTACATCCTCCTTGTGTGTTTCTTCTTTAAGTGCTGCGGCCGCGGATCGATGCTCTCTCCCGGATGTATGCGCGGTCACGGATCTATGCGCGGTCACGGACCCGGGCCCGGATCAAGTCCGGACTCACAGAGACCGATGCGAGCCGCGGCAGATAGCTTATCGATCTGCGCTTCGATCCTCCGCCGGTGTTTGTCCGCGGCGTCTCCCTGAAGGCGTCAGTGTGCGTGAGTGTGCGTGAGTGTGTGAGTGTGCTTAAGTGTGCGTAAATGTGTGAGTGTGCTTAAGTGTGCGTAAATGTGTGTGAGTGCGTGCGTGTGTGAGAGTGTGTGTGCATGAGTGTGCGTGAGTGTGTGAGTATGCTTAAGTGTGCGTAAATGTGTGTGAGTGCGTGCGTGTGTGAGTGTGTGTGCATGAGTGTGAGTGTGCGTGAGTGTGAGTGTGTGTGCGAGTATGCTTAAGTGTGCGTAAATGTGTGTGAGTGAGTGCGTGTGTGAGAGTGTGTGTGCATGAGTGTGTGAGTATGCTTAAGTGTGCGTAAATGTGTGTGAGTGCGTGCGTGTGTGAGTGTGTGTGCATGAGTGTGAGTGTGCGTGAGTGTGAGTGTGAGGGGGTGAGAGTGTGAAGAGGGAGAGAGTGTGAGGGGGAGAGAGTGTGGAGGGAGAGAGTGTGAGGAGGGAGAGAGTGTGAGGGGGAGAGAGTGTGAGGGTGAGAGAGTGTGGAGGGAGAGAGTGTGAGGAGAGAGAGAGTGTGGAGGGAGAGAGTGTGAGGAGGGAGAGAGTGTGAGGGGGAGAGAGTGTGAGGGGGAGAGAGTGTGGAGGGAGAGAGTGTGAGGGGGAGAGAGTGTGAAGAGGGAGAGAGGTGGAGGGAGAGAGTGTGAGGGGGAGAGAGTGTGAGGAGAGAGAGAGTGTGAGGAGGGAGAGAGAGTGTGAGGAGAGAGAGAGTGTGAGGGGGAGAGAGTGTGAAGAGGGAGAGAGTGTGAGGAGGGAGAGAGTGTGAGGAGGGAGAGAGTGTGAGGGGGAGAGAGTGTGAGGAGGGAGAGAGTGTGAGGAGGGAGAGAGTGTGAGGGAGAGAGAGTGTGAGGGGGAGAGAGTGTGAGGAGGGAGAGAGTGTGAGAGGGAGAGAGTGTGAGGAGAGAGAGAGTGTGAGGAGGGAGAGAGAGTGTGAGGGGAGAGAGTGTGAGGGGGAGAGAGTGTGAGGGGGAGAGAGTGTGAAGAGGGAGAGAGTGTGAGGGGGAGAGAGTGTGGAGGGGAGAGAGTGTGAGGAGGGAGAGAGTGTGAGGGGGAGAGAGTGTGAGGGGGAGAGTGTGGAGGGAGAGAGTGTGGAGGGAGAGAGTGTGAGGGGGAGAGAGTGTGAGGAGGGAGAGAGTGTGTGAGAGAGTGTGAGGGGAGAGAGTGTGAGGAGAGAGAGAGTGTGAGGAGGGAGAGAGTGTGAGGAGAGAGAGAGTGTGAGGGGGGAGAGAGTGTGAGGGGGAGAGAGTGTGAAGAGGGAGAGAGTGTGAGGAGAGAGAGAGTGTGAGGGGGAGAGAGTGTGAGGGGGGAGAGAGTGTGAGGGGGAGAGAGTGTGAAGAGGGAGAGAGTGTGAGGAGGGAGAGAGTGTGAGGGGGAGAGAGTGTGAGGGGGGGGAGAGTGTGAGGGGGAGAGAGTGTGAGGAGAGAGAGAGTGTGAGGAGGGAGAGAGTGTGAGGGGGAGAGAGTGTGAGGGGGGAGAGAGTGTGAGGAGAGAGAGAGTGTGAGGAGGGAGAGAGTGTGAGGGGGAGAGAGTGTGAGGGGGAGAGAGTGTGAGGAGGGAGAGAGTGTGTGAGGAGAGAGAGAGTGTGTGAGGGGGAGAGAGTGTGAGGAGGGGGAGAGGTGTGTGAGGAGGGAGAGAGTGTGAGGAGAGAGAGAGTGTGAGGGGGAGAGAGTGTGAGGGGGAGAGAGTGTGAGGAGGAGAGAGTGTGAGGGAGAGAGAGTGTGAGGGGGAGAGAGTGTGAGGAGGGAGAGAGTGTGAGGGGGAGAGAGTGTGTGAGGAGGGAGAGAGTGTGAGGGGGAGAGAGTGTGAGGAGGAGAGAGTGTGAGAGAGTGGAGGGAGAGAGTGTGAGGAGAGAGAGAGTGTGAGGGGGAGAGAGTGTGAGGGGGAGAGAGTGTGAAGAGGGAGAGAGTGTGAGGAGAGAGAGAGTGTGAGGGGGAGAGAGTGTGAGGGGGAGAGAGTGTGAAGGGAGAGAGTGTGAGGGGGAGAGAGTGTGAGGAGGGAGAGAGTGTGAGGGGGAGAGAGTGTGAAGAGGGGAGAGAGTGTGAGGAGAGAGAGAGTGTGAGGAGGGAGAGAGTGTGTGAGGGGGAGAGAGTGTGAGGGGGAGAGAGTGTGAGGGGGAGAGAGTGTGAGGGGGAGAGAGTGTGAGGAGGGAGAGAGTGTGAGGAGGGAGAGAGTGTGAGGAGAGAGAGAGTGTGAGGGGGAGAGAGTGTGAGGGGGGAGAGAGTGTGAAGGGAGAGAGTGTGAGGGGGAGAGAGTGTGAGGAGGGAGAGAGTGTGAGGAGGGAGAGAGTGTGAGGGGGAGAGAGTGTGAAGAGGGAGAGAGTGTGAGGAGAGAGAGAGAGTGTGAGGGGGAGAGAGTGTGAGGAGGGAGAGAGTGTGAGGAGAGTGTGAGGGGGAGAGAGTGTGAGGAGTGAGGAGGGAGAGAGTGTGAGGAGAGAGAGAGTGTGAGGGGGAGAGAGTGTGAGGAGGGAGAGAGTGTGAGGGGGAGAGAGTGTGAGAGAGAGAGAGTGTGTGGGGGGGAGAGTGTGAGGAGGGAGAGAGTGTGAGGGGGAGAGAGTGTGGAGGGAGAGAGTGTGAGGGGAGAGAGTGTGAAGAGGGAGAGAGTGTGAGGAGAGAGAGAGTGTGAGGGGGAGAGAGTGTGAGGGGGAGAGAGTGTGAAGAGGGAGAGAGTATGAGGAGAGAGAGAGTGTGAGGAGAGAGAGAGTGTGAGGGGGAGAGAGTGTGAGGGGGAGAGAGTGTGAAGAGGGAGAGAGTATGAGGAGAGAGAGAGTGTGAGGGGAGAGAGAGAGAGGAGAGAGAGAGAGAGGAGGGGGAGGATCAGGGGAGTTTGCTCAGACTCAGTTTTAATCTTAGTCAAATCGAAGGCGGAGCTTAGAGCAAACAGAGGATGTGGACCCGAGGCTCAGGGAACAGACTCGAGGATCCAGGAGGTTGTGGGTTCAACTCTCTCCTGTTTGTTTCTGTATCGCCCTAAAGCACAGCAGCAGCCGTCGTGGCGATTCTCCAACAGCAGATTAAAAAACCAAACACAGGAAATGCAATAATAACACATAGTAACGCTTCCTGGTCCACAGAGGGCAGGACGACCGAACACAGACTGTTTACAGATGGATACTGCTACCATGCTAGCTCAATGAGGCCCAATAGGGAAGTGCTCATGGATGAAGATTTGCTGCAGCTCCCTCTGGCTCCTGTTGACTCAAAAGTAAAAATAAAACAAACTCCTCTAGCTCAGTAACTTATGATCCGTGTGTTTTTGTTTTGAGATAGTCTTAAAAAGTCAGATGTGAGCCATATAAGGATTGACCAATCAGGAATGAGGAAAACTCCAGCTTGCCTTAGCAACCGTCTTAGCAACCGTCTTAGCAACCGTCAAAACAAATGCCCAGATGAGGAAACCACAGAGACAGACACAGAAAGAGACAGACACAGAGAGAGAGACAGAGGTAGAGAGAGAGGCAGAGAGACAGAGGTAGAGAGAGAGGCAGAGGCAGAGAGAGAGAGAGACAGAGGCAGAGAGAGACAGAGGCAGAGAGAGACAGAGGCAGAGAGAGAGAGAGACAGAGGCAGAGAGAGAGACAGAGGCAGAAAGAGAGAGAGGCAGAGAGAGAGACAGACTGAGGCAGAGAGAGAGAGACAGAGGCAGAGAGAGAGACAGAGGCAGAGAGAGACAGGCAGAGAGAGAGAGACAGAGGCAGAGAGAGAGACAGAGGCAGAGAGAGATAGAGGTAGAGAGAGACAGAGGCAGAGAGAGAGAGAGAGACAGGCAGAGAGACAGAGGCAGAAAGAGAGAGAGACAGAGAGAGAGGCAGAGAGAGAGAGACAGACAAAGGCAGAGAGAGACAGAGGCAGAGAGAGGCAGAGGCAGAGAGAGAGAGAGACAGAGGCAGAGAGAGAGACAGAGGCAGAAAGAGAGAGAGGCAGAGAGAGAGACAGAGGCAGAGAGAGACAGGCAGAGAGAGAGAGACAGAGGCAGAGAGAGAGACAGAGGCAGAGAGAGACAGAGGTAGAGAGAGACAGAGGCAGAGAGAGAGACAGAGGCAGAGAGAGACAGAGGTAGAGAGAGAGAGAGAGACAGAGGTAGAGAGAGACAGAGGCAGAGAGAGAGAGAGAGACAGGCAGAGAGACAGAGGCAGAAAGAGAGAGAGACAGAGAGAGAGGCAGAGAGAGAGAGAGACAGACAAAGGCAGAGAGAGACAGAGGCAGAGAGAGGCAGAGGCAGAGAGAGAGACAGACAGAGGCAGAGAGAGGCAGAGGCAGAGAGAGACAGAGGCAGAGAGACAGACAGAGGCAGAGAGAGAGACAGAGGCAGAGAGAGACAGACAGAGGCAGAGAGAGGCAGAGGCAGAGAGACAGACAGAGGTAGAGAGAGAGACAGACAGAGGTAGAGAGAGAGACAGACAGAGGCAGAGAGAGAGACAGACAGAGGCAGAGAGAGACAGAGGCAGAGAGAGACAGACAGAGGTAGAGAGAGAGACAGACAGAGGTAGAGAGAGAGACAGACAGAGGTAGAGAGAGAGACAGACAGAGGCAGAGAGAGAGACAGACAGAGGCAGAGAGAGAGACAGACAGAGAGAGAGAGACAGAGGCAGAGAGAGAGACAGAGGAGGCTGGACTCACGTGAGGACGTAGTTGACGCTGACGATGCAGTGTGGTCTGGACGAGCGGCTGTTGTGGACGATGGTGGCGTAGCTTTGAACCCACACCCATCCGCCGTGTTTGGCCAAGAAGCGGTAGTACTTGGTGGTGACCTGTCCTTTGACCAGCACTGAGACACAACAATATTATTATTAACAACCATTTATTTAAAACACAACTTTTCTGGTCCGTCGTCAGTGTTAGCAGTGATAGTTAGCTTTGTTGTGGCGGGACCAGTGTGGGCGGGTTTCGGCTCAAAAGTGGCCAAAATGACGTGCGCTGACATGCTGCAGTACCACCCCGGGCCTGTGGGGGTGGACCCAGAAGTAGAATTAGCCAATGCTAACATATAGCATAGGCAGACCTCTCAAAAACGTCTTTACAGGATGGACCAAAAGTTGGCTCTTGGCCCAAAGCTGCGTTCCACATGTGTGTCAATGCTGAGGGGGTGTTTTGGTCCACTCTAGTTTAGTCGCTGTGGACTTTACAAGTCTCTCGTTTAAATGAATGGAGCTCTCTCCGGCTGACACATGCACAGATGCGTTTTTTCACAGTTTTCTGGTCGGCGGGACCACTCGCGGCCATTTTGGATAGCTCCAGTAGAGCACTTTTTCTGGCCCATTGGTTAGAACGGCGGAGATAGGCGTGACTCTGTCTGTTAATATCTACAGTCTATGGGCGGGGCAGAGGAGGGAGGGAGTGGACGGCTGTTGAAACACATCTTGGTGTTGTACCTTTGAGCCTGACTCTAAACATCCTCACATCTGCAGGAAGCGTTAAACCACGGTCAACAAAATGGCCGACAGAGACTAATCCAGACTCACAACGCTTACAGTTTCTTTGAACATGGCGTCAGCGTCCACATAAATGATGTTTGCTGCCACCTACAGGACAATGATATAATTTATTTTCAATCAGGATTCAGAGCTCATCTTAGGCTCTATAAGTCACATGACTCACTCCTGCTGCTGATAATGGACAAGTGTCAGTGTTGGTCCGACTGGACTGAGCTGCATCTGACACCACAGACCACAGCATTCTACTGCAGAGTGTGACATCACTCAGAGGAACAACACTGGTTTAAAATCTTTTTATTGGATCGTATCAGTTTCGTCAATGTGAATCAAAACTCATCGCCTTATTCTAAAGTAACATGTGGTGTGCCCCAGGGGTCGGTGCTCGGACTGATTCTTTCACACTCTACATGCTGCCGTTAGCAACATCATGGTGTTAACTTCCACAGGTGCAGACACAGACACAGCTGCAGACACAGACACAGCTGCAGACACAGCTTTACTGTCGATGAAGCCAAATCAGACGGATCAGTTGAAAAGGCTCAGTGCTGCAGAAAGGACCTTAAAACGTGGATGACTCTTAACTTTCTACTTCTTAACCCGGAGAAGACAGAAGTGATCCTACTCGGTCCACAGAGCCTAACTCTGATCAGATAATCAAACTCGCTAATGTTAGCGTAGCACCTAGCTATATTAGCGTAGTAGCCAGTAACACTATGAGGAATCTTGGAGTCATATTTCACAAAGAACACTTCTTCAAGGCTTATATAAACCAAGAATCTAAAACAGCGCATTTCCACGGAACATGAACTAAAATCAGGCACCAAAAGGAGGGAGCAGATTGTGGACTCACGCAGGTGGTGGGCGCAGCGCAGGTGGAAGGTGTCGCAGCTGTGGACGTGGTGGTACAGGGTCTTCTCGATCAGGTCCTGAGGCTCGTACCCCGTCAGCTCCGCCACTCTGAGGACCAGACCAGAAGTCAGTCGCCATGGTTACATACAGTATGTACTGTATGTATACTGAGACAGAGGTATGTATACTGAGACAGAAGTATGTATACTGAGACAGAAGTATGTATACTGAGACAGAAGTATGTATACTGAGACAGAAGTATGTATACTGAGACAGAAGTATGTATACTGAGACAGAAGTATGTATACTGAGACAGAAGTATGTATACTGAGACAGAGGTATGTATACTGAGACAGAAGTATGTATACTGAGACAGAGGTATGTATACTGAGACAGAGGTATGTATACTGAGACAGAAGTATGTATACTGAGACAGAAGTATGTATACTGAGACAGAGGTATGTATACTGAGACAGAGGTATGTATACTGAGACAGAGTATGTATACTGAGACAGAGGTATGTATACTGAGACAGAGTATGTATACTGAGACAGAGTATGTATACTGAGACAGAGGTATGTATACTGAGACAGAGTATGTATACTGAGACAGAAGTATGTATACTGAGACAGAGGTATGTATACTGAGACAGAAAGTATGTATACTGAGACAGAAGTATGTATACTGAGACAGAAGGTATGTATACTGAGACAGAGTATGTATACTGAGACAGAAGTATGTATACTGAGACAGAGGTATGTATACTGAGACAGAAGTATGTATACTGAGACAGAAGTATGTATACTGAGACAGAGGTATGTATACTGAGACAGAGGTATGTATACTGAGACAGAGGTATGTATACTGAGACAGAAGTATGTATACTGAGACAGAAGTATGTATACTGAGACAGAGGTATGTATACTGAGACAGAGGTATGTATACTGAGACAGAAGTATGTATACTGAGACAGAGGTATGTATACTGAGACAGAAGTATGTATACTGAGACAGAGGTATGTATACTGAGACAGAGGTATGTATACTGAGACAGAGGTATGTAGACGAGGAGTGACTGAGACAGAGGTATGTAGACTGAGACAGAGGTATGTATACTGAGACAGAGGTATGTATACTGAGACAGAGGTATGTATACTGAGACAGAGGTATGTATACTGAGACAGAGGTATGTATACTGAGACAGAGGTATGTATACTGAGACAGAGGTATGTATACTGAGACAGAGGTATGTATACTGAGACAGAAGTATGTATACTGAGACAGAAGTATGTATACTGAGACAGAGGTATGTATACTGAGACAGAGGTATGTATACTGAGACAGAGGTATGTATACTGAGTGGTGGTAGTTTGAGTCACTGAATGATTGTCTGCATCTGTTTTGGTTTAAAGTCCACTCAGCAAACAACAACAGCCCAAGAGGGTCAAAACTCAAAGTCTAAGCGGTTGCATGTTTTGTGGTCGCAGTCGTCCCGGGGCAGACAGACGGAAGAGGCCATTTTCTTGTCACACACAGACACCGTCCAATTACAGCTCAGCGCTGGGCGCAATTCAGGATAGTTACGGTATGTACACAGCCTGGTCAATATACTATTAAGTGTGTGTGTGTGTGTGTGTGTGTGTGTGTGTGAGTGTCTGTGTGGGAGTGTGTGTGTGTGTGTGTGTGTGTGTGTGAGTGTGTGTGTGTGTGTCTGTGTGTGTGGGAGTGTGTGTGTGTGTGTCTGTGTGTGTGTGGGAGTGTGTGTGTGTGTGTGTCTGTGTGTGTGTTTGTCTGTGTGTGTCTGTGTGTGTGTGGGAGTGTGTGTGTGTGTCTGTGTGTGTGTTTGTCTGTGTGTGTGTGTGCGTGTGTCTGTGTGTGTGTGTGGGAGTGTGTGTGTGTGTGTCTGTGTGTGTGTGGGAGTGTGTGTGTGTGAAGGGAAAACTATTCCAAAATAAGCTTCTTTCCCACTGCACAAAAACACAGGAATTTTGCTCAAAAACCTCACACTGAGAACAAGTCAACAACCAGTGTTTAGTATGTGTGTGTCTGTGTGTGCGTGTGTGTGCGTCTGTGTGTGTGTGTCTATGTTTGTGCGTGTGTGTGTCTATGTGTGTGCATGTGTCTGTATGTGTGTGTGTGTCTGTGTGTGCGTGTGTTTGTGTACGTGTGTGTGTGTGTGGGTGTGTGTATATGTGTGTGCGTGTGTCTATGTGTGTGTGTGTGTGTAAGTGTTTGTGTGTGTGTGGATAATTGTGAGGTGTGTGTGTAGACTTGTGTGTGTGTGTGTATATGTGTATGATGGTGTATTATTGTGTGTGTGTGTGTGTGTGTGTGTCCCGCTGTCTCTCTTGGGGCAGTGCCACACGTTTGTTGTGGTTTTATTTCTGAAGGTGCTAAAGTAAAGTCTGTCTTTGTTACAAAAATCACTGCTTTTGTCTCGTCCTTTTTTGCCTGAAATTCATTATATTCTTTGGTTATTCACTGTATCTTTACAGATGTGATTGGCAGGGGGGGGGGGGGCTATTTCCTTTGGGGGGGCACATTGGGATATGGCCCTATAGTGGACGTCCAGAGTTGATTTGAGTTTTTTGTGGTTAATGTTTTTTTGTAATTTAGCAAAAAGGTACTTCAACTCATCACTAGAGAAAACCGGAGCAATCGGAGGAAACCAACACAGACATGGGGAGAACATGCAAACTCAGGGGGTTGAATCGAGCCCAAGACAATCTCGCTGAGAATCGAGAGGAAGAGGAATGAGGGCTATGATCATGTAAGGAGGTGAAGGAGATGTTGGTTCTCGTTCCTTCACTTAAAAATGGCTGCCAGGCGTGCCCCAAGGCTCCACACTCGGCCCCTTTCCTTTTCCAATAAGATCAGAGAGAGGATCGCAGAGAGGATCACAGAGAGGACCACAGAGAGGACCACAGAGAGGATCACAGAGAGGACCACAGAGAGGACCACAGAGAGGACCACAGAGAGGATCACAGAGAGGACCACAGAGAGGATCACAGAGAGGATCACAGAGAGGACCACAGAGAGGACCACAGAGAGGATCACAGAGAGGACCACAGAGAGGACCACAGAGAGGATCACAGAGAGGATCACAGAGAGGACCACAGAGAGGACCACAGAGAGGATCACAGAGAGGACCACAGAGAGGACCACAGAGAGGATCACAGAGAGGACCACAGAGAGGACCACAGAGAGGATCACAGAGAGGACCACAGAGAGGATCACAGAGAGGATCACAGAGAGGACCACAGAGAGGACCACAGAGAGGATCACAGAGAGGACCACAGAGAGGACCACAGAGAGGACCACAGAGAGGATCACAGAGAGGACCACAGAGAGGACCACAGAGAGGATCACAGAGAGGACCACAGAGAGGACCACAGAGAGGATCACAGAGAGGACCACAGAGAGGATCACAGAGAGGATCACAGAGAGGACCACAGAGAGGACCACAGAGAGGATCACAGAGAGGACCACAGAGAGGACCACAGAGAGGACCACAGAGAGGATCACAGAGAGGACCACAGAGAGGATCACAGAGAGGATCACAGAGAGGACCACAGAGAGGACCACAGAGAGGACCACAGAGAGGATCACAGAGAGGACCACAGAGAGGACCACAGAGAGGATCACAGAGAGGACCACAGAGAGGACCACAGAGAGGATCACAGAGAGGACCACAGAGAGGATCACAGAGAGGATCACAGAGAGGACCACAGAGAGGATCGCAGAGAGGATCACAGAGAGGACCACAGAGAGGACCACAGAGAGGATCACAGAGAGGACCACAGAGAGGATCACAGAGAGGACCACAGAGAGGACCACAGAGAGGATCACAGAGAGGACCACAGAGAGGACCACAGAGAGGACCACAGAGAGGATCACAGAGAGGACCACAGAGAGGATCACAGAGAGGACCACAGAGAGGACCACAGAGAGGATCACAGAGAGGATCACAGAGAGGAACACAGAGAGGACCACAGAGAGGATCACAGAGAGGATCACAGAGAGGACCACAGAGAGGATCACAGAGAGGACCACAGAGAGGACCACAGAGAGGATCACAGAGAGGACCACAGAGAGGATCACAGAGAGGACCACAGAGAGGACCACAGAGAGGACCACAGAGAGGACCACAGAGAGGATCACAGAGAGGACCACAGAGAGGACCACAGAGAGGACCACAGAGAGGATCACAGAGAGGATCACAGAGAGGATCACAGAGAGGACCACAGAGAGGATCACAGAGAGGATCACAGAGAGGATCACAGAGAGGACCACAGAGAGGATCACAGAGAGGACCACAGAGAGGACCACAGAGAGGATCACAGAGAGGATCACAGAGAGGACCACAGAGAGGACCACAGAGAGGATCACAGAGAGGACCACAGAGAGGATCACAGAGAGGATCACAGAGAGGACCACAGAGAGGATCACAGAGAGGACCACAGAGAGGACCACAGAGAGGACCACAGAGAGGACCACAGAGAGGATCACAGAGAGGATCACAGAGAGGACCACAGAGAGGACCACAGAGAGGATCACAGAGAGGACCACAGAGAGGATCACAGAGAGGATCACAGAGAGGACCACAGAGAGGATCACAGAGAGGACCACAGAGAGGACCACAGAGAGGACCACAGAGAGGATCACAGAGAGGACCACAGAGAGGATCACAGAGAGGATCACAGAGAGGACCACAGAGAGGACCACAGAGAGGACCACAGAGAGGACCACAGAGAGGACCACAGAGAGGATCACAGAGAGGATCACAGAGAGGACCACAGAGAGGACCACAGAGAGGATCACAGAGAGGACCACAGAGAGGATCACAGAGAGGATCACAGAGAGGACCACAGAGAGGACCACAGAGAGGATCACAGAGAGGATCACAGAGAGGACCACAGAGAGGACCACAGAGAGGACCACAGAGAGGATCACAGAGAGGACCACAGAGAGGACCACAGAGAGGATCACAGAGAGGATCACAGAGAGGACCACAGAGAGGACCACAGAGAGGACCACAGAGAGGATCACAGAGAGGATCACAGAGAGGATCACAGGATCACAGAGAGGACCCACAGAGAGGACCACAGAGAGGATCACAGAGAGGACCACAGAGAGGATCACAGAGAGGACCACAGAGAGGACCACAGAGAGGATCACAGAGAGGACCACAGAGAGGACCACAGAGAGGACCACAGAGAGGATCACAGAGAGGATCACAGAGAGGACCACAGAGAGGACCACAGAGAGGATCACAGAGAGGACCACAGAGAGGATCACAGAGAGGATCACAGAGAGGACCACAGAGAGGACCACAGAGAGGATCACAGAGAGGATCACAGAGAGGACCACAGAGAGGACCACAGAGAGGACCACAGAGAGGATCACAGAGAGGACCACAGAGAGGACCACAGAGAGGATCACAGAGAGGATCACAGAGAGGACCACAGAGAGGATCACAGAGAGGACCACAGAGAGGATCACAGAGAGGATCACAGAGAGGATCACAGAGAGGATCACAGAGAGGACCACAGAGAGGACCACAGAGAGGACCACAGAGAGGACCACAGAGAGGATCACAGAGAGGATCACAGAGAGGACCACAGAGAGGACCACAGAGAGGACCACAGAGAGGATCACAGAGAGGACCACAGAGAGGACCACAGAGAGGACCACAGAGAGGACCACAGAGAGGACCACAGAGAGGACCACAGAGAGGACCACAGAGAGGATCACAGAGAGGACCACAGAGAGGACCACAGAGAGGATCACAGAGAGGACCACAGAGAGGATCACAGAGAGGATCACAGAGAGGACCACAGAGAGGATCACAGAGAGGATCACAGAGAGGACCACAGAGAGGACCACAGAGAGGACCACAGAGAGGATCACAGAGAGGATCACAGAGAGGACCACAGAGAGGATCACAGAGAGGACCACAGAGAGGACCACAGAGAGGATCACAGAGAGGATCACAGAGAGGACCACAGAGAGGACCACAGAGAGGACCACAGAGAGGACCACAGAGAGGACCACAGAGAGGACCACAGAGAGGACCACAGAGAGGATCACAGAGAGGACCACAGAGAGGACCACAGAGAGGACCACAGAGAGGACCACAGAGAGGACCACAGAGAGGACCACAGAGAGGACCACAGAGAGGACCACAGAGAGGATCACAGAGAGGACCACAGAGAGCCGCTCACCGGGAGTCGAGGAAGATGAGCTTCATGTCCAGACTGGCGCGGAACATGAACATGTTACTGTGCAGTTTGATCTCGGTGACAGCAGAGGGCGGCAGAGAGTGACCCACCGCCACCAGACCCACGTTCTGGAAGCAGCCCTCGAACGGAGACATGTCCAGGCTGTACTGGCGGATCTTCAGGTACCCACTGCAGTGGATCACCTGGATACACACACACTTTAGGTTGTACAATATAAACACACACGTATACAAACATACACCGACACACACATCCTCTCTCTCACACACTCAAACACACACACACACACATCCTCTCTCTCTCACACACACACACACACATACACATACTTCCTCTCACACACACACTCACACACACTCACACACATCCTCTCTCTCACACACACACTCATACACACACACACACACACACACACACGCATCCTCTCTCACGCACACACACACACACACACATCCTCTCTCTCACACACACACACACACATACTTCCTCTCACAAACACATACACACACACACATACACACAAACACACACATACTTCCTCTCACACACACACACAGATACACACACATAAAAAACAAATACTATGTTACAATATAAGCACGGTTGGAAGATGCTAACGCTAGCTCAAAGATAGGAACGTGCTAATTGCGTGAAGCTAACTCCATTGGAACAAATGCCCATATAAGGAAGTTGGCTCCAGCTAGCTAATGCTCAGCCTGCTTCTTCCACTAACACGATGGTGATGTCACACTCGGTCAGTCCACTCCTGGTATAACGTCTATGGTGTGAAGCCTCACCTTGTAGCCGCCGCTGGTGAGGCCCGCGTTCCTTTTGGCCAAAACACATTTCATCCTCAGGAAAAAGGAGCGCTCCATCTCGTATTCTGCAAGAGAGAGATTATGCAAATGAGAAGACATTTGTCTGTCAATCACCCTCAAGCCGCAGCCTTCACTCATGCAGCAACTCTCCTCCTCCCCATCACCGATGAGCCGGTCCAACTCTCGCTCCTGTCTCCTCGATCCCACCACCAGGGTCTGGGCCCCGGGGGATTACGTTTGATAAAGAGACCAGAGAGAGGCCAGAGAGAGACCAGAGGGAGACCAGAGAGAGAGACCAGAGAGAGGCCAGAGAGAGACCAGAGGGAGACCAGAGAGAGAGACCAGAGAGAGACCAGAGAGAGACCAGAGGGAGACCAGAGAGAGACCAGAGAGAGACCAGAGAGAGAGACCAGAGAGAGACCAGAGAGAGACCAGAGAGAGACCAGAGGGAGACCAGAGAGAGAGACCAGAGAGAGACCAGAGAGAGACCAGAGGGAGACCAGAGAGAGACCAGAGAGAGACCAGAGAGAGAGACCAGAGAGAGACCAGAGAGAGACCAGAGAGAGACCAGAGAGAGACCAGAGAGAGACCAGAGAGAGACCAGAGAGAGAGACCAGAGAGAGACCAGAGAGAGACCAGAGAGAGACCAGAGAGAGACCAGAGAGAGACCAGAGAGAGACCAGAGAGAGACCAAAGGGAGAGAGACCAAAGGGAGAGAGACCAGAGAGAGACCAGAGAGAGGCCAGAGAGAGACCAGAGAGGAGAACAGAGAGAGATCAGAGAGAGACCAGAGAGAGACCAGAGAGAGACCAGAGAGAGACCAGAGAGAGACCAGAGAGAGACCAGAGAGAGACCAGAGAGAGAGACCAGAGAGAGACCAGAGAGAGACCAGAGAGAGACCAGAGAGAGAGACCAGAGAGAGACCAGAGAGAGAGACCAGAGAGAGACCAGAGAGAGACCAGAGAGAGACCAGAGAGAGAGACCAGAGAGAGACTAGAGAGAGAGACCAGAGACAGACCAGAGAGAGACATACCTCCTTCACCTGAGCAACGGCCTAAAAAAATAGCCAAATATTTCTTGTTTTAAGTGATTTCAGTGACAGGACAAAGGCATTTGTGGTCGTAATCCCACAGACATTAAATACACGACATAAAAGGTGAAAACTGTGATCTGTGTTTGGTGGAAATGTTTTGTGGGGCTCGGATTACGGCAGGAATAAAAGCTGGAACCGGAGAGCACTTGTATCGGACACATTATGCGTAAAGGCGAACAGCTGCAAGGTCTAAGCCTGTGATTTACGCTGCAATAAAAACAGTGAGACCGAGGCCGGAGTCTGATGGTCCAATCGTGGAGCAGAAATGTGATCTCACATCTGAGGAAGACCCCGATGAAGAGAGAGATTTGTGTGGTCCTTCGTTTGTAGTTTAGGTTCTTAATATAACCAGCAAGAAGTAAATAAAAAAAAATGTTTAAAGGCTGAAAAACCCTCACACTGTTCACACTTTTCTAACCAGCTGGTCTCACCACTGCTGAATGCTCTCTCCCTGGTCCCTCTCTCTGGTCTCTCTCTGGTCTCTCTCTGGTCTCTCTTTCTGGTCTCTCTCTGGTCTCTCTCTCTGGTCTCTCTCTCTGGTCTCTCTCTCTGGTCTCTCTCTGGTCTCTCTCTCTGGTCTCTCTCTGGTCTCTCTCTGGTCTCTCTCTGGTCTCTCTTTCTGGTCTCTCTCTGGTCTCTCTCTCTGGTCTCTCTCTCTGGTCTCTCTCTCTGGTCTCTCTCTGGTCTCTCTCTCTGGTCTCTCTCTCTGGTCTCTCTCTGGTCTCTCTCTGGTCTCTCTTACTATAGCCAGAAAACGTGCCAGAAGTTCCTGATATTATCCTGGATGGATGTGAAAACAGCTCCAGGTCTGTGTGATGGGGAGGTGAGACAGGGGGGAGATGGGGGTGAGACAGGGTCATATGGGGGTGAGACAGGGGGAGGTGGGGTGAGACAGGGGGGAGATGGGGGTGAGACAGGGGGAGGTGGGGTGAGACAGGGGGAGATGGGGGTGAGACAGGGTCAGATGGGGTGAGACAGGGTCATATGGGGGTGAAACAGGGGGAGGTGGGGTGAGACAGGGGGGAGATGGGGTGAGACAGGGGGAGATGGGGGTGAGACAGGGTCAGATGGGGTGAGACAGGGTCATATGGGGGTGAAACAGGGGGAGGTGGGGTGAGACAGGGGGGAGATGGGGTGAGACAGGGGGAGATGGGGGTGAGACAGGGTCATATGAGGGTGAGACAGGGGGAGATGGGGTGAGAGGGTGAGACAGGGGGCTCGTACCCTGGAGGAAGTGTGTGTGGTAGGGCTGATGCGGCGTGAGGACCGCGGTCATCTCGTCGTGGTCGGCCGGGTGCACGTACTCGAAGATACTGTTCCCCGTCAGCTCCACCTGCAACAGACCCAGTCATGTGACATCACAACAGACCCAGTCATGTGACATCACAACAGACCATGTCATGTGACATCACAACAGACCCAGTCATGTGACATCACAACAGACCCAGTCATGTGACATCACAACAGACCCAGTCATGTGACATCACAACAGACCATGTCATGTGACATCACAACAGACCCAGTCATGTGACATCACAACAGACCCAGTCATGTGACATCACAACAGACCCAGTCATGTGACATCACAACAGACCCAGTCATGTGACATCACAACAGACCCAGTCATGTGACATCACAACAGACCCAGTCATGTGACATCACAACAGACCATGTCATGTGACATCACAACAGACCCAGTCATGTGACATCATAACAGACCCAGTCATGTGACATCACAACAGACCCAGTCATGTGACATCACAACAGACCCAGTCATGTGACATCACAACAGACCCTCTGGTCTCTCTCTGGTCTCTCTCTGATCTCCCTCTGGTCTCCCTCTGGTCTCTCTCTGGTCTCTCTCTGGTCTCTCTCTGGTCTCTCTCTGATCTCCCTCTGGTCTCTCTCTGGTCTCTCTCTGGTCTCTCTCTGATCTCCCTCTGGTCTCCCTCTGGTCTCTCTCTGGTCTCTCTCTGGTCTCTCTCTGATCTCCCTCTGGTCTCCCTCTGGTCTCTCTCTGGTCTCTCTCTGGTCTCTCTCTGATCTCCCTCTGGTCTCCCTCTGGTCTCTCTCTGATCTCCCTCTGGTCTCCCTCTGGTCTCTCTCTGGTCTCTCTCTGGTCTCTCTCTGGTCTCTCTCTAGTCTCTCTCTGGTCTCTCTCTGGTCTCCCTCTGGTCTCTCTCTGGTCTCTCTCTGGTCTCTCTCTGGTCTCCCTCTGGTCTCTCTCTGGTCTCTCTCTGGTCTCTCTCTGGTCTCTCTCTGGTCTCCCTCTGGTCTCTCTCTGGTCTCTTTCTGGTCCAGTACTAACATATGTAACACTCTGACATTTTTCCAAACCTGGGACAGCCCCAAATGCACCGACGCCGTCTCCGAGATGTACATAATTTTCCCGTCAGGAGCGACCACGAAGATGAAGCCATCCAGGGTCTGAAACACAACCGACATCACAGAGATCAGAGAGAGATCAGAGAGAGACCAGAGGGAGACCAGAGGGAGACCAGAGGGAGACCAGAGGGAGACCAGAGAGAGACCAGAGAGAGACCAGAGGGAGACCAGAGGGAGACCAGAGAGAGACCAGAGGGAGACCAGAGGGAGACCAGAGGGAGACCAGAGAGAGACCAGAGGGAGACCAGAGGGAGACCAGAGAGAGACCAGAGGGAGACCAGAGGGAGACCAGAGGGAGACCAGAGGGAGACCAGAGAGAGACCAGAGAGAGACCAGAGGGAGACCAGAGGGAGACCAGAGGGAGACCAGAGAGAGACCAGAGAGAGACCAGAGGGAGACCAGAGGGAGACCAGAGAGAGACCAGAGGGAGACCAGAGGGAGACCAGAGGGAGACCAGAGGGAGACCAGAGAGAGACCAGAGAGAGACCAGAGAGAGACCAGAGGGAGACCAGAGGGAGACCAGAGAGAGACCAGAGAGAGACCAGAGAGAGACCAGAGAGAGAGACCACAGAGAGACCAGAGAGAGGGACCAGAGAGAGACCAGAGAGAGACCAGAGAGAGACCAGAGAGAGACCTGAGGGAAACCTACAGACCAGAGAGAGACCAGAGGGAGACAGTCCTGGGTCTACAGCCTCAGTCCTGGGTCTACAGCCTCAGTCCTGGATCTACAGTCTCAGTCCTGGGTCTACAGCCTCAGTCCTGGGTCTAAAGGCTCAGTCCTGGGTCTACAGCCTCAGTCCTGGACCTACAGCCTCAGTCCTGGGTCTACAGCCTCAGTCCTGGGTCTACAGCCTCAGTCCTGGATCTACAGTCTCAGTCCTGGGTCTACAGTCTCAGTCCTGGGTCTACAGCCTCAGTCCTGGATCTACAGTCTCAGTCCTGGGTCTACAGCCTCAGTTCTCTGTGTTAGTCTTAAATCCTGGATAAGTCACATATGACGTCGTTAATGGCTCTGACGATCACATTTCCTCCGGTCTCGCTCTGGTCTCACACCTCTGGTCTCCACGCTTGACCCGTGCTGTCGGACCATAAACACCCAGAGAGGTCGTCCTGGGGTGAGGGGGCCACAGAGGGGGGTGGGATGGGGATCAGTCTCCCTGTGGGACTGAAGCTGGGTTCACAGAGACCAGAGAGAGACCAGAGAGAGACCAGAGAGAGACCAGAGGGACCAGAGAGAGACCAAAGAGAGACCAGAGAGAGACCAGAGAGAGACCAGAGAGAGACCAGAGAGAGACCAGAGGGACCAGAGAGAGACCAAAGAGAGACCAGAGAGAGAGACCAGAGAGAGACCAGAGAGAGAGACCAGAGAGAGACCAGAGAGAGAGACCAGAGAGAGACCAGAGAGAGAGACCAGAGAGAGACCAGAGAGAGACCAGAGAAAGACCAGAGAGAGACCAGAGAGAGACCAGAGAGAGACCAGAGAGAGACTAGAGAGAGACCAGAGAGAGAGACTAGAGAGAGACCAGAGAGAGACCAGAGAGAGAGACCAGAGAGAGACCAGAGAGAGAGACCAGAGAGAGACCAGAGAGAGAGACCAGAGAGAGACCAGAGAGAGACCAGAGAGAGAGACCAGAGAGAGAGACCAGAGAGAGACCAGAGAGAGACCAGAGAGAGAGAGACCAGAGAGAGAGACTAGAGAGAGACCAGAGAGAGACCAGAGAGAGACCAGAGAGAGACCAGAGAGAGACCAGAGAGAGACCAGAGGGAGACCAAGAGAGAGACCAAAGAGAGACCAGAAAGAGACCAAAGAAAGACCAGAGACAGACCAGAGAGAGACAAGAAAGAGACCAGAGAGAAACCAAGGAGAGACCAGAGAGAGAGACCAAAGAGAGACCAGAAAGAGACCAGAGAGAGACCGGAGAGAGACCAGAGAGAGACCAGAGACAGACCAGAGAGAGACAAGAGACCAGAGACCAGAGACAGACCAGAGAGAGACCAGAAAGAGACCAGAGAGGGACCAGAGAGAGACAAGAGACCAGAGACAGACCAGAGAGAGACCAGAAAGAGACCAGAGAGGGACCAGAGAGAGACCAGAGAGAGACAAGAGACCAGAGAGAGACCAGAGAGAGACCAGGGACAGACTAGAGAGAGACCAGAGAGAGACCAGAGGGAGACCAGAGAGAGACCAGAGGGAGACCAGAGAGAGACTGAGGACAGACGGTGGAACATGAAGAGAATCTGGAACCATTAAAAGCGTCCACACCGTGAGCCCTGACTTGTACTCGAGTACTTGAGCGGCAGCCGGGGCCCCGCGGTCAGGAGCCCATCTGCGGCGGAGAAACATTTGCTAATTAACTGAAGTCGTTTCCTCGGCGTCTCCACGGCAACTTCATCAAAATGCTAATTCTGGACAAATTAAACTTGTGATTAACATTAGGCCGTTTCCTTTAACTCTGTGTCCTTTCAGCGAGAGAGACTGTGGGGAGAGAGACCTCTGGGGAGAGAGACCTGTGGGGAGAGAGACCTCTGGGGAGAGAGAGACCTGTGGGGAGAGAGACCTGTGGAGAGAGAGACCTGTGGAGAGAGAGACCTCTGGGGAGAGAGACCTGTGGAGAGAGAGACCTGTGGGGAGAGAGACCTGTGGAGAGAGAGACCTCTGGGGAGAGAGAGACCTGTGGGGAGAGAGACCTGTGGAGAGAGAGACCTGTGGAGAGAGAGACCTGTGGGGAGAGAGACCTGTGGAGTGAGAGACCTGTGGAGAGAGAGACATGTGGGGAGAGAGACCTGTGGAGAGAGAGACCTCTGGGGAGAGAGAGACCCGTGGGGAGAGAGACCTGTGGAGAGAGAGACCTGTGGAGTGAGAGACCTGTGGAGAGAGAGACATGTGGGGAGAGAGACCTGTGGAGAGAGAGACCTCTGGGGAGAGAGAGACCTGTGGGGAGAGAGACCTGTGGGGAGAGAGACCTGTGGAGAGAGAGACCTGTGGAGAGAGAGACCTGTGGGGAGAGAGACCTGTGGAGAGAGAGACCTGTGGGGAGAGAGACCTGTGGGGAGAGACCTGTGGGGAGAGAGAGACCTGTGGAGAGAGAGACCTCTGGGGAGAGAGAGACCTGTGGGGAGAGAGACCTGTGGGGAGAGAGACCTGTGGGGAGAGAGACCTGTGGGGAGAGAGACCTGTGGGGAGAGAGACCTGTGGAGAGAGACCTGTGGAGAGAGAGACCAGGGAGAGACCAGAAAGAGAGACCAGAGAGAGACCAGGGAGAGAGAGACTTGTGGAGAGAGAGACCTGTGGGGAAAGAGACCAGAGAGAGACCAGAGAGAGACCAGGGAGAGACCAGAGAGAGACCAGAGAGAGACCAGAGAGAGACCAGGGAGAGACCAGAAAGAGACCAGAGAGAGACCAGGGAGAGAGAGAGACCAGAGAGAGACCAGAGAGACCAGAGAGAGAGACCAGAGAGAGACCAGAGAGAGACCAGGGAGAGACCAGAGAGAGACCAGAGAGAGACCAGAGAGAGACCAGAGAGAGACCAGAGAGAGACCAGGGAGAGACCAGAGAGAGACCAGAGAGAGACCAGAGAGAGAGACCAGAGAGAGACCAGAGAGAGACCAGAGAGAGACCAGAGAGACCAGAGAGAGACCAGAGAGAGACCAGAGAGACCAGAGAGAGACAAGAGAGAGACAAGAGAGAGACCAGAGAGACCAGAGAGAGACCAGAGAGAGAGTAGAGAGAGATCAGAGACATTTTAAAATACAACTTCTCAGACTGAGTGAGAAACTAAATGTGCAAAAGTCTGGTCAGTAAACTGTGTTTACATGAACCTGCTGTTTTCAATCTGCAGCTCAGAGTGAGACCTCTGCCTCCTACAAAGACAGGACTGAGGCTGTAGACCCAGGACTGAGGCTGTAGACCCAGGACTGAGGCTGTAGACCCAGGACTGAGACTGTAGACCCAGGACTGAGGCTGTAGACCCAGGACTGAGGCTGTAGACCCAGGACTGAGGCTGTAGACCCAGGACTGAGGCTGTAGACCTAGGACTGAGGCTGTAGACCCAGGACCGAGGCTGTAGACCCAGGACCGAGGCTGTAGACCCAGGACCGAGGCTGTAGACCCAGGACTGAGGTTGTAGACCCAGGACTGAGGCTGTAGACCCAGGAATGAGGCTGTAGACCCAGGACTGAGGCCGTAGACCCAGGACTGAGGCTGTAGACCCAGGACCGAGGCTGTAGACCCAGGACTGATGCTGTAGACCTAGGACTGAGGCTGTAGACCCAGGACCGAGGCTGTAGACCCAGGACTGAGGCTGTAGACCCAGGACTGAGGCTGTAGACCCAGGACTGAGGCTGTAGACCCAGGACTGAGGTTGTAGACCCAGGACTGAGGCTGTAGACCCAGGAATGAGGCCGTAGACCCAGGACTGAGGCTGTAGACCCAGGACCGAGGCTGTAGACCCAGGACCGAGGCTGTAGACCCAGGACTGAGGCTGTAGACCCAGGACTGAGGCTGTAGACCCAGGACTGAGGCTGTAGACCCAGGACTGAGGTTGTAGACCCAGGACCGAGGCTGTAGACCCAGGACTGATGCTGTAGACCTAGGACTGAGGCTGTAGACCCAGGACCGAGGCTGTAGACCCAGGACCGAGGCTGTAGACCCAGGACCGAGGCTGTAGACCCAGGACTGAGGCTGTAGACCCAGGACTGAGGCTGTAGACCCAGGACTGAGGCTGTAGACCCAGGACTGAGGTTGTAGACCCAGGACTGAGGCTGTAGACCCAGGACTGAGGCTGTAGACCCAGGACCGAGGCTGTAGACCCAGGACCGAGGCTGTAGACCCAGGACCGAGGCTGTAGACCCAGGACTGAGGCTGTAGACCCAGGACTGAGGCTGTAGACCCAGGACTGAGGCTGTAGACCCAGGACTGAGGTTGTAGACCCAGGACCGAGGCTGTAGACCCAGGACTGATGCTGTAGACCTAGGACTGAGGCTGTAGACCCAGGACCGAGGCTGTAGACCCAGGACCGAGGCTGTAGACCCAGGACCGAGGCTGTAGACCCAGGACTGAGGCTGTAGACCCAGGACTGAGGCTGTAGACCCAGGACTGAGGCTGTAGACCCAGGACTGAGGCTGTAGACCCAGGACTGTATTGAATGACAGATCCATGCAGTGATCACGGCAAGAGGCCTCTAAGCTCTCCTGGTGATGCCCAGCCAAGGCCCTCTCTCCGGGGGGCACCTCTCCCCCCTCCTCCCCTCCTCCCCCTCCACATCTCCTCTCCTTTGCTTCAGTTTCTCTGCTCTCTGTAATCTGGGGGCTCCGTGGGGGGTCTGCTCAGATCCTCCGCAGCGTGAGGCCAAAAGCGAAGAACAGCCAAGGTTATTTTGGGAAAAGGCCGAGACACAAGGACGAGAAATGACAAGACCAGAAAGACCAGGGAGAGACCAGAGAGAGACCAGAGAGAGACCAGAAAGACCAGGGAGAGACCAGAGAGAGACCAGAGAGAGAGACCAGAGAGAGACCAGAAAGACCAGGGAGAGACCAGAGAGAGACCAGAGAGAGACCAGAAAGACCAGGGAGAGACCACAGAGAGAGACCAGAGAGAGACCAGAAAGACCAGGGAGAGACCAGAGAGAGACCAGAGAGAGAGACCAGAGAGAGACCAGAAAGACCAGGGAGAGACCAGAGAGAGACCAGAGAGAGAGACCAGAGAGAGACCAGAGAGAGAGACCAGAGAGAGACCAGAGAGACCAGAGAGAGACCAGAGAGAGAGACCAGAGAGAGACCAGAGAGAGAGACCAGAGAGAGACCAGAGAGAGAGACCAGAGAGACCAGAGAGAGACCAGAAAGACCAGGGAGAGACCAGAGAGAGACCAGAGAGAGACCAGAGAGAGACAAGAGAGAGACCAGAGAGAGACCAGAGAGAGACCAGAGAGAGACCAGAGAGAGAGACCAGAGAGAGACCAGAGAGAGACAAGAGAGAGACCAGAGAGAGACCAGAGAGAGACCAGAGAGAGACCAGAGAGAGACCAGAGAGAGACCAGAGAGAGAAAATGAGGCCTGGACACAGGCAGCATTCCAGACCTAAAATCTGGGACAGTCTTCCTGAAGATGTGAGACAGTCTCTACTTGGCCTCACATCATTACTATCTCACTCCAAACACGGTGGTGATAAACTACTGTAGCCACAGCTGCCCTGGGGCACACTGACAGAAGCCCCTCCCACCACCACCAACCATTCACACACACACCAGACTCATTCTAATGTGGGGGAAGTGTCTTGCCAAAGGACACAACCACAGAAGACATCAGTGGGAGTTGGTGGAGAAAGTCCTGTGGTGGACTCGAACCCACGACCTTCAGGATCAAAGGCCAATGCTCTACAACTGAGCCACTGTTGCCTCTCCAGGTCATTTATGGTCTTTGTTAAGTCCTCTGAGATAACTGTTGTGATTTAGGAGTCACATGTTCACAGTGTCATCCAGCCAACTTCAGCTCTGCCAACAGCACCAGGCTTAGACCTCTGGGATCCTCTGTGTCTGTGTGTGTGTGTGTGTGTATCTGTCTGTGTTAGTGTATGGTGTGTATATGAATGTGTGTGTTTGTGTGTCTTTTGTTATCAATGACGCTCCCTCCTCGCGCGTGTGTGAAGTGCCGCTCTGAGGTGGCCAGCGCATGCGCAGTCTCAGGTGTGTGTGTTCTGAGCCATCATCACATTCTTTCTGTGATTCACTGATCCGTGTTTTCACTAATAACAAACACACACCGAGGAACCGTCTCAGCCAATCACGTAGCGTGTCTGCTCCATCTGACCAATCAGGAGGCTGCGCGAGCCCTAGGCCAACTCTGCCAAAGCGGAGCTGCGCCGTGAGGCCTGCGACCACGTGACCGCGCTCTGAAGCTGTTCAAAGATTAAAGAGGAGGATTTTCACACATTTTAGGAAAGAAGCCTCCCTCTCCACTTGAACTAAACTCTCTGTTCTTGATGGACGAGCACGTGTCAGCAGAATGATTGACAGTTGGGAGGACCAATAGTTTTGATGGTCCACCCGGAAGTAGAACATCCTCCTATACCATTTAAGATAAGATAGACTTTATCGATCTCACACTGAGAAATTTAAAGAATAATAAATCATGTTTTGTTATTATTGTTATTAATAATATTATTACTAGTATTATATTATTATTATTATTATTTGTATTATTATTATTATTATCTTAGGGATCGTCTTGAGTTTTTGTCCGTGTTGCCAGTCCTCAAAATACTTTTAGATGATGATGATGTTTCCCCACATGGATGTTTTGTTTGTTTTTATAAATGATCTATCAGACATAAGCCTCTGTTTTCACACTTCACCTGCACTAGAACTGAACACCTGTTGTCTATGGTCCTAGAACTGAACACCTGCTGTCTATGGTCCTAGAACTGAACACCTGTTGTCTATGGTCCTAGAACTGAACACCTGCTGTCTATGGTCCTAGAACTGAACACCTGCTGTCTATGGTCCTAGAACTGAACACCTGTTGTCTATGGTTCTAGAACTGAACACCTGCTGTCTATGGTCCTAGAACTGAACACCTGCTGTCTATGGTCCTAGAACTGAACACCTGTTGTCTATGGTCCTAGAACTGAACACCTGTTGTCTATGGTCCTAGAACTGAACACCTGTTGTCTATGGTCCTAGAACTGAACACCTGCTGTCTATGGTCCTAGAACTGAACACCTGTTGTCTATGGTTCTAGAACTGAACACCTGTTGTCTATGGTTCTAGAACTGAACACCTGCTGTCTATGGTCCTAGAACTGAACACCTGTTGTCTATGGTCCTAGAACTGAACACCTGCTGTCTATGGTCCTAGAACTGAACACCTGTTGTCTATGGTCCTAGAACTGAACACCTGTTGTCTATGGTCCTAGAACTGAACACCTGCTGCTATTGTACATAATTATATATTTGAACCTTTAAGATGTTTCTTTTGCACAACGCGTCTCTGTGATGTCACATGTCTCCATCAGAGATCATAAACTCTGTATTATTTGATCATTAACTTCTTTGTCGCAGTCGCTTCATGACAGTTTGAGTCACGTGAGCGCGGCCCCGCGTGCGCAGCTCCGACTCTGCAGAAAAACCCGGGCGCGTGCGTGGCGGGGGGCGGGTCGTGCGTGTCTACACAGAGGGACACGGAGGCTCGCGCCGGTGGAGACCCAGGAGCCGCACGAGCGCCCGGTCGGACGCGGACGCTTCTTTGATTTGCTCTAATTCAGAGCCGCGGATGCAGCGCACGAGCTTTTTGGTTTTTTGTTTGTTTTTCCTCCAGGTGGAAGTTTGCGCTCCTCGGGCTCGACGAGACCCAACGGCTCCAGAGGTGACGCTCCCCGCAGGCCGGGACCAGACCGCGTCCAGACCGCGTCCAGACCGGGGGACCAGGAGACATGTGCGCGTGACTGACTGGTATTTTTACATTAGATTATTATCAGAGTATTTCTGCGTTACGCTGCGGTTCTTTACGTTACTCTGCAGTTCTTTACGTTACTCTGCGTTACTTGTTGAAACCAGTTTAAAGGAATGTTTTGTTCAATTCTTAAAACATAATAATAAAATGTCTTTAGTTTTTTACAGTTTTAAACAAAGAATAAATCACGAGAAAAAAACTAAAAACAGTGTCTTTAAAAAATCACGTATTTCATAAAATGTATAATAATTAAATATTAGAATTACTTTGACCTGAAACATTTTCACATTTTATTATTTTATTATAAATGTAATAAACTGATCTTTCTTTAAAACCTACAGTTTTTATCAAAATGACCCTGTTTTGTTTTTTAATCTAAGTCCTTTTCATTTTAATTTAAATTTTCGTTTCTTTATTTTGTCGTTTTATTTATTTACATTTTTCACGTCACGACGTCAGACTTTATTTGTGTAAATCTTTGCCACGTTTTCTCCTTTTGTTAAATACATAAAAAGAAAAACATAGATAAAAACAATATTCATATTAAGAAGAAGAAATAATAGTAACAATAAAGTAAAGTAAAAACAAAATACAAAAAGACGAAAAAGAGAGAAACAACAAGAACAGTGAGTATTTATTTAATTATATACGTGTCTCTGTGACGTCACACACAGGTCTCTGTGACGTCACATATAATCCCTTTGATAACTATTTCAGATTTATTTTAACGACTGCATCATTTTCTGTTCACTTCCGTCTGTGTCTGCAACACTGACATTTCCACAGGAGCTCTTCCTCTTCCTCTTCTTCATGTGTTTGTGAGCAGCAGATGGTCTTTATGTGATTACGTCAGAGGCTGAGATCAAAGACAGTTAAAGAACTGTCTTTGATCTTTGAATTCAACTCTTTCTGTACCAATTTTTAAATTCACATTGATAATAAATAGTCCTCGTTCTACAGTCTGACTCCTCGTTCTACAGTCTGACTCCTCGTTCTACAGACTGACTCCTCGTTCTACAGACTGACTCCTCGTTCTACAGTCTGACTCCTCGTTCTACAGTCTGACTCCTCGTTCTACAGTCTGACTCCTCGTTCTACAGTCTGACTCCTCGTTCTACAGACTGACTCCTCGTTCTACAGTCTGACTCCTCGTTCTACAGACTGACTCCTCGTTCTACAGTCTGACTCCTCGTTCTACAGTCTGACTCCTCGTTCTACAGTCTGACTCCTCGTTCCACAGTCTGACTCCTCGTTCTACAGTCTGACTCCTCGTTCTACAGACTGACTCCTCGTTCTACAGTCTGACTCCTCGTTCTACAGTCTGACTCCTCGTTCTACAGTCTGACTCCTCGTTCTACAGTCTGACTCCTCGTTCTACAGTCTGACTCCTCGTTCTACAGTCTGACTCCTCGTTCTACAGTCTGACTCCTCGTTCTACAGTCTGACTCCTCGTTCTACAGTCTGACTCCTCGTTCTACAGTCTGACTCCTGAGAACATTGATTGACATGTATGGCTGTGACCTCCCGCCCCCTGTGGACCAATCAAACGGTCTGATTTTCTGATCTGCTTTCTGCGAATCCACAACTTTGTAAAGTCACTGCAGACGCTTTGTTAGATTCACAAACGAAACACATTTAGTTAAAAACGATTCATTTTAAACCAATATAATTAAAATAGGTCTTTCTTAAACACAAACAAACACGAAAATTAACATTATTTTTATTTTATATTATTAATAATTCTTAACTTCTGCTGCGACCATTTTTTACTTTTAGACGCAGATCCGTAACAAACGTAAACGTCATATTTATTATGTATTAACAAATGAAATACCAATTATTTTATTTTCTATTTTCCTTTCCGTTCCATTCCGTTCCGTTCCTTTCTAATCCATACTAATACAGTGTGTGTGTTTCTTCCAGGGCCATGGACCGGTGCCTCCCCCGCGGGCCTCACGCCTCTCTCCGGGCTCCACGCGCTCCTCGCTGCGGGCCCGCGCCGTGACGCAGGACGCAGACCGGGATTTACACCGTTAACCGTGGACTAAACATCCGTGACTTTTTTCCCCGTGAAACTGAAACGTGACAAAGAGAGAGAAAGAGAAAGAGAGAGAGAAAGACGGAAATATAAACCCGTCTTTTGTCGTCATGAAGGAGAAATCCAAAACGGCCGCGAGGACCCGCCGTGAGAAGGAGAACAGTGAGTTTTACGAACTGGCGAAGATGCTCCCGTTACCGTCCGCCATCACGTCACAGCTCGACAAGGCCTCGATTATTCGACTCACCACCAGCTACCTCAAGATGCGGATCGTCTTCCCTCAGGGTGAGTAACCGACTACGCTCCGACTATGGTTGACCAGCCCCGAGCCGCAGCGGGAGACGTCTGCAGTGTCGGTTTGTTTTGTGTTTTTACCCGCGCCTCTGTCTGTGAAGTTTAATAATATAGTTCACCGAGTTGTCGATTCATCCACAGCAGATTAGAGAAGCAACAGTTCAGACACAATGATAACAACACAACAAGACAATGGTTCTTATGGCGCAAATAAAAGTCCAGATAAATGTGGTTAAGCGTCGCGTGTCCTGGATCATAATAATAATGATAATAATAGTAATAATAATAGTAATAGTAATAATAATAATAATAATAATAATAATAATAATAATAGTATAATAATAATAGTAATAATAATAATAGTATAATAATGATAAACAGTCCAAGAGCGTGTGAAGTGAAAGCATAAATATAAGTAATGATATTAACAAACTGAGTCCTTCAGTGTGAAACCTCATAATAGCTCGGCTCAGACTGATTTATTATTTTTAATCATAAATAATGGAATAATAATAATATAATAATCTCTGGAGAAATAATGTGACTCCCGCGACACCGACTCTTCTCTGATCAAACCCAGAATCTAAACTCTCCTGTAAGATTTTATTTTTAAGATTTTATTTCCCATGACGTCACCTCAAAAAAGCTGCGTCCCGGTGTTTTTTGTTTTAAAATAATGTTTTAAAATTTCACCGTTTTTAACCACGTTTGTACAGTGTCCGTGGGTGTTTTAAAATGATGATGATGATGATGATGATGATGAGGATTATTATCATACTATTATTTTTATTCAGTAAATCATTGTTAAAAAAAACGGAAGTCACAAACACGGACTTTTCTCTGGATCAAGACAAGAATAATTTTTTAAAACAGCCACAGTTTAAGGACATAAAACATATAATTTTAAATGTATAGATAATCTTCTCTCATGGATAAAAGGCTCATATAAACAACAAATAAATCCCTATAAAGAAAAAAAACAAGGAAATTAAAGAACATTTTCAAAAATTATTTATTTATTTGCAGTGTTTGTAACGGACTGTACAAAGTTGTTGATTCGGCAACAGCAGATCAGAGACTCATGCGTTTATCTGTGACGTCAGAAACATGTGACATCACCCATGACTCGAGCCGCGTCACTTTGTAATTAAGTTCCATAATTTACGTGAAGCCAAATTCTCAAGCCCTTTAAAATAAAGAAGCAAAAATAAAAAAATGGCTTAAATCTGCGTCTGTGCGTCAGAGTTTAAATTAATTCTGGTGTAATTTATTCATGTTTTTATTTATGAGTTGACCGTGTGTTTGAAGTGACGTCACCTGCAGACTCTGTGACGTCAAAACCTTCAAAAATGATCGTAACGGCAATGACTCTTTGATCAAATACGTCACGGATCTGAACAACAAAGATAAAGATTATGGAGGTCTGTACTCGGCTCAGAGTGCGGGAAATTCCAGTGTTGCATCATCAAGTACAGAATACACTGCAACAATAATAACATTGAAGCCAAAATCTTCATTCGAGTCCTTTGATGATCTTTAACAGAGAATGTTTTAAGTTCCTTCAGAACAAAAAAAAAAAAAAACTCTGAGACTAATTTTACTCTAAATGTGTTATAAAAAAATCCATATTTACAGTAAAATAAATGGCTCCCAGAGAAATACAATTACAGGATCAAATCTGAGAGAGATGAAAGAAAGTCTTCCCGTGCGCTGCCCTCGTTTCTTTGTTTACATCTGTCTCTAAAATATGGTCTAAGTCATGAATCAAAAGAAATAAATCTGACGCTGCGAGTCTGGGGCTGCCGCTGCGACCTGGACACGGGTGAAGCGGCAGAAACACACGGACAGATTCTAGTGACATTATATTATCTGTGTTTTGTTTTAAATCCCTTAAATAAGCCGTTAATTCCCGGTGACGTAATTATGCCCGTGCGTCATGTTTACGCACGTTTTGAATTACAGCGATTACTTGGTGACACTTTATAGCTGACAATTTATTATTCGATTGTTCGTTGACGCGCGACCATGACACGAGAGAGACGCTTTTAAATAAATGAATACATGCAAACATTGCGCGTGTGTGTATGCTTGTGAGTGCGTGCGTGTGCATGCGTGTGTGTGTGCGTGACCATGGGTTTGTGTGCGTTAGTATTTGTATATGTGTGTGCGTGCTTATGTGTGCACGTGTTTGTATATGTGCGTGCACGCTTGTGTGCGCGTGTGTTTGTATATTTGCGTGCGTGCTTGTGTGTGCACGTGTTTGTATATGTGCGTGCACGCTTGTGTGCGCGTGTGTTTGTATATTTGCGTGCGTGCTTGTGTGTGCACGTGTTTGTATATGTGCGTGCGTGCTTGTGTGTGCACGTGTTTGTATATGTGCGTGCGTGCTTGTGTGTGCACGTGTTTGTATGTGTGTGTGTGTGTGTGCGTGTTTGTATATTTGCGTGCGTGCGTGTTTGTAGATGTGCGTGCGTCCTTATGTGTGCGCGCATATGCTTGTATATGTGTGTGCGTGTATTGGTGTATGTGTGTGCTTGTGTGCTCATGAGCGTGCACGTGTGTGTGTGTTCTGTGAAAATCGTAATTTGCAAAAAAACAGAAATCTCCGTTTGTTAAAAATGTGTAAAAAGTTATTTCCCGCGCTTCACTCTTCACCGTGTTTGGATAAAGAAGAAGAAGGAGATGTTATTTGTATAGCACTGAGACTTTAAAGGTCCTGAGAGATATCATCATTTATTCAAACTATAAAAACTCTCTAAACGTGACGGAACCCCGAGGGACGTGTTTGTTTTACCCGGACCCAACACGAGACGCACCAGGACCACTGCTTTTTATTTTATTATATATATTTATTATTTTCCCCAAATATTATTTCAATGGATTTTACTGAATGTGATGATTGACAGGAGGCTCCAGGATCAGGGGGCGGGGCCTCTGTGGTATTTTAAATATAAATAAAGAAAACAGGAGAATTATACTAAAATTCACAGATAATTATTGACCGTTTTTGATCCATAAAAACTAAATTTACTTTAAATTTACTATTTAATTTAATATTCTATTTTCAAATCGACATTTAGCTTCAGTCCCACACTCCTCATATATCATTAAAATACAGATTTAATGATTTTAGGTTTTTTATATTTATGAGAATTCACTTGACGCGGGAACAGGCCGCGGTCAGAGAAAGATCAGAGAAAGATTATTCTTTATGTGTTTTATAGAATAATAATAATGTCTTTGTTTGCGAAGCTTCATATTATTATATAATAATAGTAATAATTGTAATAATAATACAAATGATAATTCTACTCCTACTACTACAACCATGCTAATAATGCTAATAAAAATAATGCTAATTCTACTTCTCCTGCTACTACTATAATAATAATAATAATAATAATAACATAATAATACTAATTTTCCGTCTTCTCCTCCTCCTCCTCCTTCCTCCTTCCTGGAGGTCGTATGAGCAGATGTCAGATGAAGCGGTCTTAGTTCCATCCCAGATTGAGCACGTGACCCGTCCAAACCCGCTCGCGCCCCGTGCCTCGCGCCTCATGCAGTATTCATCGCGCTCCCGCCGCGGTGCGTGCCTTGGGCGCGAGCGCTGCAATTAAGAAGCGGAGGCCCCACGTGGCTCCTAATCACCTAAAGCTGACACACGCACGCAGACGCACGCACACGCAAAAGCACACGTGCAAACGCCTACACAACACACACACACACACTCATACACACGCACTCGTACACAAACATACACACACATTCTTACATATAAACATACATACACACACGCTTACACATACATACTGACACATGCGCACAAACACACACACATACATGTATACACACGTACACACACTTGCCCATACATACACACACAGACACTGACATACATACATACATACTGACACACACACACACACATATAAACTGTCACACACACATACGGACACACACATACACTGATACACACACATATACCGACATACACACACACACATACACACACAGAACAGATACTCCAAAGTATGGCCCCCGGGACGACTCCGGTCCACAGTCTCCAACACACGGCCTGAGTTAAGTTGGTTTATGTTTGCCTGTATAACTGATAATACTATCACTAATAATAAAACTAATATTAATACTTAAGTGGTCGCTTCCACACAGAGCGACAGGATCTGGTCCTGTTTGGACCAGATGGGCCTTTAACCCGCCTTGCGTCCTGTAGCACGTGGGACTCTACTTTGCATAATGACAGCGTAACGAGCCGTGAAGCTGTGTTTGGGTGAATGAAGCTCTCACAGTCATGTTGCATGTTCTGCTCTTTGATAGGAAGTTGTAAACATCTATGGTCTCTTTCTGGTCTCTCTCTCTGGTCTCTCTCTGGTCTCTCTCTCTGGTCTCTCTCTGGTCTGTCTCTGGTCTCTCTCTGGTCTCTCTCTGGTCTCTCTCTCTGGTCTCTCTCTGGTCTCTCTCTGGTCTCTCTCTGGTCTCTCTCTGGTCTCTCTCTGGTCTCTCTCTCTGGTCTCTCTCTGGTCTCTCTCTCTGGTCTCTTTCTGGTCTCTCTCTGGTCTCTCTCTGGTCTCTCTCTGGTCTCTCTCTGGTCTGTCTCTGGTCTCTCTCTGGTCTCTCTCTCTCTTGTCTAGGGTGACAGTAGCTCAGTTGGTAGAGCATTGGCCTTTGAGCCAGAGGGTCGTGGGTTGGAGCCCGACTTTCACCATCGACTCCCACTGTCTGTTGTCGTTGTGTCCTTGGGCAAGACACTTAACCTCTGGGAACAGCAGGTGCCACAGTGGGGCGGCTGTAATGTGCCAAACTGCCGCTGTGTCCTTAGGCAAGACACTTCACCCCCATTGCCTAGAATGAGTCTGGTGTGTGTGTGAATGGTTGGTGGTGGTGGGAGGGGCTTCTGTCAGTGTGCCCCAGGGCAGCTGTGGCTACAGTAGTTTATCACCACGTGTTTGGAGAGAATGAATAATGAATGAGTGAAAGAATGTGAAGCGTCTTTGAGTGTCCAAAAAAGCGCTATATAAAACCGATGCATTTTTTTTTTTTTTGTCTCTCTCAGGTCCCTCTCTCTCTTGTCTCTCTCTAGTCTCTCTGGTCTCTCTCTGGTCTCTCTCTGGTCTCTCTCTTGTCTCTCTCTGGTCTCTCTCTCTGGTCTCTCTCTGGTCTCTCTCTCTGGTCTCTCTCTGGTCCCTCTTTCTCTGGTCTCTCTCTGGTCCATCTCTCTCTGGTCTCTCTCTCTGGTCTCTCTCTGGTCTCTCTATGGTCCCTCTCTTTCTGGTCTCTCTCTCTCTGGTCTCTCTCTGGTCTCTCTATGGTCCCTCTCTTTCTGGTCTCTCTCTCTCTCTGGTCTCTCTCTGGTCTCTCTCTCTGGTCTCTCTCTGGTCCCTCTCTCTTTTGTATCTCTCTGGTCTCTCTCTGGACTCTCTCTGGTCCGTCTCTCTCTGGTCTCTCTCTCTGGTCTCTCTCTGGTCTCTCTCTGGTCTCTCTCTGGTCTCTCTCTGGTCTCTCTCTGGTCTCTCTGGTCTCTCTCTGGTCTCTCTCTGGTCTCTCTCTGGTCTCTCTCTCTGGTCTCTCTCTGGTCCCTCTCTCTCTGGTTTTTCTCTGGTCCCTCTCTCTCTGGTCTCTCTCTCTGGTCTCTCTCTGGTCTCTCTCTCTGGTCTCTCTCTGGCCTCTCTCTGGTCTCTCTCTGGTCTCTCTCTGGTCTCTCTCTGGTCTCTCTCTCTGGTCTCTCTCTGGTCCCTCTCTCTCTGGTCTTTCTCTGGTCCCTCTCTCTCTGGTCTTTCTCTGGTCCCTCTCTCTCTGGTCTCTCTCTCTGGTCTCTCTCTGGTCCCTCTCTGGTTTCTCTCTGGTCTCTCTCTCTCTTGTCTCTCTCTGGTCTCTCTCTGGTTCGTCTCTCTCTGGTCTGTCTCTCTGGTCTCTCTCTGGTCTCTCTCTGGTCTCTCTCTCTCTTGTCTCTCTCTGGTCTCTCTCTCTGGTCTCTCTCTCTCTTTCTCTCTCTGGTCTCTCTCTCTTGTCTCTCTCTGGTCTCTCTCTTTGGTCTCTCTCTCTGGTCTCTCTCTCTCTGGTCTCTCTCTGATCTCTCTCTCTGGTCCCTCTCTGGTTTCTCTCTGGTCTCTCTCTCTCTTGTCTCTCTCTGGTCTCTCTCTCTGGTCTCTCTCTCTGTGGTCTCTCTCTGGTCTCTCTCTCTGGTCTCTCTCTCTGGTCTCTCTCTGGTCCCTCTCTCTGGTCTCTCTCTCTCTGGTCCCTCTCTCTGGTCTCTCTCTCTCTGGTCTCTCTCTCTCTGGTCCCTCTCTCTGGTCTCTCTCTCTCTGGTCTCTCTCTCTGGTCCCTCTCTCTGGTCTCTCTCTCTCTGGTCTCTCTCTCTCTGGTCTCTCTCTCTGGTCCCTCTCTCTGGTCTCTCTCTCTCTGGTCTCTCTCACAGAGGACACCTCCCTCACAGAGCACACCTCCCTCACAGAGGACACCTCCCTCACAGAGCACACCTCCCTCACAGAGCACACCTCCCTCACAGAGGACACCTCCCTCACAGAGCACACCTCCCTCACAGAGCACACCTCCCTCACAGAGCACACCTCCCTCACAGAGCACACCTCCCCTCACCTCCCTCACAGAGGACACCTCCCTCACAGAGCACACCTCCCTCACAGAGCACACCTCCCTCACAGAGGACACCTCCCTCACAGAGCACACCTCCCTCACAGAGCACACCTCCCTCACAGAGCACACCTCCCTCACAGAGCACACCTCCCTCACAGAGGACACCTCCCTCACAGAGCACACCTCCCTCACAGAGCACACCTCCCTCACAGAGCACACCTCCCTCACAGAGGACACCTCCCTCACAGAGCACACCTCCCTCACAGAGCACACCTCCCTCACAGAGCACACCTCCCTCACAGAGCACACCTCCCTCACAGAGCACACCTCCCTCACAGAGCACACCTCCCTCACAGAGCACACCTCCCTCACAGAGGACACCTCCCTCACAGAGCACACCTCCCTCACAGAGCACACCTCCCTCACAGAGGACACCTCCCTCACAGAGCACACCTCCCTCACAGAGCACACCTCCCTCACAGAGCACACCTCCCTCACAGAGCACACCTCCCTCACAGAGCACACCTCCCTCACAGAGCACACCTCCCTGAACCCCCAGCGCTCCTCAAACCCCTCCTGATCCCCATTTATCCTGTAGAGACCGAACTCCAGCCTGAGTCTGGCCTGGACCATCCGGACCAGCAGAGCCCTGGGACTGATCTCACTCTGGTCCTGGACCATCCGGACCAGCAGAGCCCTGGGACTGATCTCACTCTGGTCCTGGACCATCCGGACCAGCAGAGCCCTGGGACTGATCTCACTCTGGTCCTGGACCATCCGGACCAGCAGAGCCCTGGGACTGATCTCACTCTGGTCCTGGACCATCCGGACCAGCAGAGCCCTGGGACTGATCTCACTCTGGTCCTGGACCATCCGGACCAGCAGAGCCCTGGGACTGATCTCACTCTGGTCCTGGACCATCCGGACCAGCAGAGCCCTGGGACTGATCTCACTCTGGTCCTGGACCATCCGGACCAGCAGAGCCCTGGGACTGATCTCACTCTGGTCCTGGACCATCCGGACCAGCAGAGCCCTGGGACTGATCTCACTCTGGTCCTGGACCATCCGGACCAGCAGAGCCCTGGGACTGATCTCACTCTGGTCCTGGACCATCCGGACCAGCAGAGCCCTGGGACTGATCTCACTCTGGTCCTGGACCATCCTCCTCCTGCTCACATAGACGGCCATCTTGGCCTGACCGACGAGGAAACTGAGCAGCCGCCCCCTCCTCCTGCTGCGGCTGGAGTACCTGACCCCCCCCACAAACACCTGAGCATTAAACTCTGCCCCCAGTGAAGTGAAGAGGCCCCTCAGCAGCTCCAGCATGTGCCTGAGCCTCCCACACTCCCAGAAGCAGTGGAACACTGTCTCCCTCTCCCCACAGAAGGGACAGCCCTCCCCCACAGCCCTGTTCACCCTACACACAAAGGCATTGACTGCTATTGCCCCATGCAGCAGCCTCCACTGCAGGTCTCCCTGTCTCTTGGTCAGAGGGGGCTTGTACAGGGCCCCCCAGGCCGGGCTGAAGGCGGGGCCCAGGTGTGACCTCCACACAGTGTCTGCTCGGTCACACAGTCTCTGGTGGTTCAAGGCCTGGACCATGAGGCTGTAAAAGGTCTTCCCTGAAGCAGCCTCCAGAGAGGCAGCTACTGGACTGGCCAGCAGGGGCCCAGAGGAGGAGCCCAGGTCCGGGCTGAGGATGAGACTGGGGAAGGGGTCAGTGGGGTCAGGGGTCAGTGAGCCTGACCTGTGTCCCTCCAACAGGGTCCAGTCCTCCTCTGTCAGACCCTCTCTCCAGAAACACAGGAGACGCTCCAGGGTCCGACCCGGCCTCAGTCCCAGTCCTCGTGCTGAGGACCACTGACACTGTGGAGCTGCTGCACAGAGACTACTGTGATGAGGCGGCCGACTTTTGTGCTTTGAGGGACTGTAAACACCCCCGTTCTCCAGTAGAAACTGCTAAACGCTGCAGTTCTACCACTGTAGTCTCCAGCTCCTTCACAAGCCGGGCCCTGTCTCTGGTGACACCATGAGTGTACTCCTGACACAGCTGCCTTATCTGCACTTTCCCATAGTCCCACCATCGCTGCAGGCTCACAAAGTGGGCCTTACATCGCTGGTGGGACTCCCAAAACACTTTAAAAGCACAAACAAACATTTTATCCAAAAGCAGTGAATTATTAAAGTGCCAGTAAGCACTGCCCACCCGCACATTAGACACCCGAATTACACAAACAATAAAACTGTGGTCAGAGATACCCACAGGACTGATGTGAGCCGCAGTGCACATGCTCAGCTGGTGTCCCGGAACATACACTCGGTCCAAACGGGCCAGAGACAGAGCATTGTCCTTACAGTGGGACCACGTGTACTCACGGACCCCTGGGTGCAGAGTCCTCCACACGTCCTCCAGACTGTGGACCTCCAACAGCCGCCTCAGCCTGAGGGAGGAGGCCGGGTGGGGCTCAGGGTGGTTCCTGTCATGTTGTGGTTCCACAGTACAGTTCCAGTCCCCGGCCACGAACAGGACGTCCCCAGAGTCTGTGCAGTCCCTGATGCATTCACACAGAGTGTCCATCATCAGGACCCTCTGTGCTCCGGTGCACGGCAGGTACACACACACAAATGTTACTGTAGTGGTCTCCAACTGTGCACGTACCAGGAGCAGGCGGCCCGCTACCACCTCCTCAGTCTCTACACTCACTGCAAGACACCTCCTGGAGAACAACACTGCTACTCCTGCACTGGAGGCGGAGCCATGACTGAGAACCAACTGGCCCCCCACTCCCTCCTCCAGTCTGACTCTATCTCTGCAGTACTGTGTGTCTCCTGTAGGGGCACCACATCTACTCCTTTCATCTGCAAGAACTGGAACAGAGCAGCTCGCTTCGCTCTGTCCCGGCAACCATTTATATTTAAACTGCCTATTTTAAAATCACACGTAAGAAGGAAAAAAAGGGAAAAACACTAACCACTGAAATCAGTTGGGACCCTCACTGGCCACTTGGGCCCTGACTTTGCTCAGAAGTTTCTTGAGCCTGAATCTCTCCTGGTCTGTGAGAGCGTCCTCAACCTGAGAGCTGGAGCTCCACACCAGGGGCCGGGCCGTCTCAGAGAAAAGCTTCAGGTTAGGAAAATAGTTTTCTACCTTTACACTCCTCATTCCTTTAGTGTCTCTCAAAAACGTTCTTATGTCTGCAGCTGAACATGACTTAACACCTTTACTCAAACTGCGTGTGACTTTAAACGGTTTCTCAGTGCTCTGAGAACTGCCTCCCTTTCTCTTCTGAGGATAGAGACACTGCTCCCCATCTGACATCTCCTCATCTAAATACTCAGGATAGAGACACTGCTCCCCATCTGACATCTCCTCATCTAAATACTCAGGATAGAGACACTGCTCCCCATCTGACATCTCCTCATCTAAATACTCAGGATAGAGACACTGCTCCCCATCTGACATCTCCTCATCTAAATACTCAGGATAGAGACACTGCTCCCCATCTGACATCTCCTCATCTAAATACTCAGGATAGAGACACTGCTCCCCATCTGACATCTCCTCATCTAAATACTCAGGATAGAGACACTGCTCCCCATCTGACATCTCCTCATCTAAATACTCAGGATAGAGACACTGCTCCCCATCTGACATCTCCTCATCTAAATACTCAGGATAGAGACACTGCTCCCCATCTGACATCTCCTCATCTAAATACTCAGGATAGAGACACTGCTCCCCATCTGACATCTCCTCATCTAAATACTCAGGATAGAGACACTGCTCCCCATCTGACATCTCCTCATCTAAACACTCAGGATAGAGACACTGCTCCCCATCTGACATCTCCTCATCTAAATACTCAGGATAGAGACACTGCTCCCCATCTGACATCTCCTCATCTAAATACTCAGGATAGAGACACTGCTCCCCATCTGACATCTCCTCATCTAAATACTCAGGATAGAGACACTGCTCCCCATCTGACATCTCCTCATCTAAATACTCAGGATAGAGACACTGCTCCCCATCTGACATCTCCTCATCTAAATACTCAGGATAGAGACACTGCTCCCCATCTGACATCTCCTCATCTAAATACTCAGGATAGAGACACTGCTCCCCATCTGACATCTCCTCATCTAAATACTCAGGATAGAGACACTGCTCCCCATCTGACATCTCCTCATCTAAATACTCAGGATAGAGACACTGCTCCCCATCTGACATCTCCTCATCTAAATACTCAGGATAGAGACACTGCTCCCCATCTGACATCTCCTCATCTAAATACTCAGGATAGAGACACTGCTCCCCATCTGACATCTCCTCATCTAAATACTCAGGATAGAGACACTGCTCCCCATCTGACATCTCCTCATCTAAATACTCAGGATAGAGACACTGCTCCCCATCTGACATCTCCTCATCTAAATACTCAGGATAGAGACACTGCTCCCCATCTGACATCTCCTCATCTAAATACTCAGGATAGAGACACTGCTCCCCATCTGACATCTCCTCATCTAAATACTCAGAGTCACTGTCTCCCACACCTGCTCCTCGGGGGGAGGAGGAGTGCTGTCAGGGTCATTGACAGCAGTGGGGGCCTCCACTGCGGGCCCAGCAGCGGGCCCCACAGCGGGCTCCACCGCGGGCTCCACTGCGGGCTCCACCGCGGGCTCCACCGCGGGCTCCACCGCGGGCTCCACTGCGGGCTCCACCGCGGGCTCCACCGCGGGCTCCACCGCGGGCTCCACCGCGGGCTCCACCGCGGGCTCCACCGCGGGCCCCGTAGCGGTGTCTGGGTCGTCGGGGGGGTCCCCAGCAGCGCTGTCCGCGGGGGGAGGTGTTGGGGCCGGGGGCGCGTCCCCCGATGGCTCCGCTGCCTCCGCGCTGGTCTCAGCGGAGGCTGCAGAGGTGCTCGGTGTCTGTGCGTCATTACGCGGCACATTCTGATCCATTCGTTCTGGGCACGCTCTGATCAGGTGACCCTCTGATCAGGTGACCCTCTGGTCAGGTGACCCTCTGGTCAGGTGACCCTCTGGTCAGGTGACCCTCTGATCAGGTGACCCTCTGATCAGGTGACCCTCTGGTCAGGTGACCCTCTGATCAGGTGACGCTCTGGTCAGGTGACCCTCTGGTCAGGTGACCCTCTGGTCAGGTGACGCTCTGGTCAGGTGACCCTCTGGTCAGGTGACCCTCTGATCAGGTGACCCTCTGCGCCGCAGCCAAAACATTTCATGTTCTCAGATGAAGCAAAAATCACATAACTGAATCCATCAACTTTAAAAGTGAAGGACAGGTTTAATTCAGAGATATCCTTCAGCACCATGAGCACCTGTCTGCGATGGTCCTTCAGCACCATGAGCACCTGTCTGCGATGGTCCTTCAGCACCATGAGCACCTGTCTGCGATGGTCCTTCAGCACCATGAGCACCTGTCTGCGATGGTCCTTCAGCACCATGAGCACCTGTCTGCGATGGTCCTTCAGCACCATGTGCACCTGTCTGCGATGGTCCTTCAGCACCATGAGCACCTGTCTGCGATGGTCCTTCAGCACCATGAGCACCTGTCTGCGATGGTCCTTCAGCACCATGAGCACCTGTCTGCGATGGTCCTTCAGCACCATGAGCACCTGTCTGCGATGGTCCTTCAGCACCATGTGCACCTGTCTGCAACTCACCCTCAAATCCACTTCTTTTTGCTGATAAACTGTATAAATGAGTGTCCAATAGTGTTGTCTACATATCCTGGTCATAATCTTGTCACTTTGGTGCAAATTAGTTGAAAGTTAGACTTTCTGCCTAAAACCGTCTGTGAGGCGCCATCTGCTGGCGACCTGTATTACTACATTTGAATTTTGAATCTGGCGCCAACACTGGCACAGAAGTTGGACCTGACGTCAGCAGCCCCCCGCCCAGAGCAATGTAAACGGCCCAGTCTCGTTCACGCCCCCTTCAGTCCTCCAGGCCACGCCCATTTAGAGGAAGATTTGAACAGGAAATGTGAGTGACGTAAGCTCCGAGGAGCGGGGGTGAGAACCACTTTAACCCCTTTACTCAAACTGCGTGTGACTTTAAACGGTTTCTCTGTGCTCTGAGAACTGCCTCCCTTTCTCTTTTGAGGATAGAGACACTGCTCCCCATCTGACATCTCCTCATCTAAATACTCAGAGTCACTGTCTCCCACACTGCTCAGCTCCTGGCTCATGTCACACACCTGCTCCTCGGGGGGAGGAGGAGTGCTGTCAGGGTCATTGACAGCAGTGGGGGCCTCCACTGCGGGCCCCGCAGCGGGCCCCACCGCGGGCTCCACCGTGGGCTCCACCGCGGGCTCCACCGCGGGCTCCACCGCAGGCTCCGCAGACCCGGACCCGCCGTCTGGGTCGTCGGGGGGGTCCCCAGCAGCGCCGTCCGCGGGGGGAGGTGTTGGGGCCGGGGGCGCGTCCCCCGATGGCTCCGCTGCCTCCGCGCTGGTCTCAGCGGAGGCTGCAGAGGTGCTCGGTGTCTGTGCGTCATTACGCGGCACATTCTGATCCATTCGTTCTGGGCACGCTCTGATCAGGTGACCCTCTGCGCCGCAGCCAAAACATTTCATGTTCTCAGATGAAGCAAAAATCACATAACTGAATCCATCAACTTTAAAAGTGAAGGACAGGTTTAATTCGGAGTTATCCTTCAGCACCATGAGCACCTGTCTGCGGTGGCACACTGCAGCAGTGAGCAGCGGTGACTTACAGCCCAGTGACATCATTTTAATCGGTGTCACCAGCTGTCCGAACCGGGACAGTTCTGCAGCTAGAGTCTCGTTCTTGATAAACGGAGGAGCGTTGGAGACGATGACCCGCCTGGCAGGACTCACCAGCGGCAGGACAGAGGTGAACAGGCCCTGGATGGTGGCTCCCTTCTCCACGGCCTCCGCCACCTTCTCAGTGCTGGACAGAAAGATCACGACCGCTCCGTTCATCCGTGAAGCAGACTTGATGTGGACGTATCCCACTTCTTTCCCCACAGCGAGTATCGCCTCCTCCACAGAGAGTATCACCTCCTCCACAGAGAGTATCGCCTCCTCCACAGAGAGTATCGCCTCCTCCACAGAGAGTATCGCCTCCTCCACAGAGAGTATCGCCTCCTCCACAGAGAGTATCGCCTCCTCTACAGCGAGTATCGCCTCCTCCACAGAGAGTATCGCCTCCTCCACAGAGAGTATCGCCTCCTCCACAGAGAGTATCGCCTCCTCCACAGCGAGTATCGCCTCCTCCACAGAGAGTATCGCCTCCTCCACAGAGAGTATCGCCTCCTCCACAGAGAGTATCGCCTCCTCCACAGAGAGTATCGCCTCCTCCACAGAGAGTATCGCCTCCTCCACAGAGAGTATCGCCTCCTCTACAGCGAGTATCGCCTCCTCCACAGAGAGTATCGCCTCCTCCACAGAGAGTATCGCCTCCTCCACAGAGAGTATCGCCTCCTCCACAGAGAGTATCGCCTCCTCCACAGCGAGTATCGCCTCCTCCACAGAGAGTATCGCCTCCTCCACAGAGAGTATCGCCTCCTCCACAGAGAGTATCGCCTCCTCCACAGACAGTATCGCCTCCTCCACAGCGAGTATCGCCTCCTCCACAGAGAGTATCGCCTCCTCCACAGAGAGTATCGCCTCCTCCACAGAGAGTATCGCCTCCTCCACAGAGAGTATCGCCTCCTCCACAGAGAGTATCGCCTCCTCCACAGAGAGTATCGCCTCCTCCACAGAGCAGGACGCTGCAGTCACAAGCTTCACAGCGTGACGCCGCGTCAGCTGCTCCAAACCTCTGTCCCCGGCCATCCCGGGCGTTACGCCTCGCCCGGAGGCCGGTACACGGGCAACAAACACTCCCAAACACAGGCGCACGGTAATCCAGAGAAACACTTTGGCAAATACCACAAAAATACTCAAAAAACTCCACTCGAAACCACGCGCTCTCAGTCAAACCAACCGGAAGCGGAAGAGGAGACAAGAGACAAGAGGAGAGGAAGAGTTGAGGAGACGAGAAGAGAGGAGAGGAAAGGAAACAAGGAGAGACGAGGAGAGGAGACTAGGAGAGACGAGGCTTGGTTTGGGACGGGGCCGTGGTCTACATCTGGACTAAGTGACATGATTGAAAAGGAAAGCTCCAGCCTCAGGAACCCAGTGCTCTTCTGTTCAGTGTTAGGAGCAAGGACTGCAGCTGTGTGAGTGCATTTAGAAGCGTTTGTGTGGTTAGCATGTGTGCGCAGAGCAGGTCAGGCTAATCACATGTACAGTATATGATATGTGTAAACAGGGAGGCTGCAGAGAGCATCCATCATGGGGGGAGGGAGGAGGAGAGGAGGGGGAGAGAGGAGAGGAGAAGAGAGAGAGGAGAGGAGAAGAGAAGAGAGAGAGGAGAGGAGAAGAGAGAGAGGAGAGGAGAGGAGAGAGAGGAGAGGAGGGGGAGAGAGGAGAGGAGAAGAGAGAGAGGAGAGGAGAAGAGAAGAGAGAGAGGAGAGGAGGGGGAGAGAGAGAGGAGAGGAGAAGAGAGAGAGGAGAGGAGAAGAGAAGAGAGAGAGGAGAGGAGGGGGAGAGAGGAGAGAGAGAGGAGAGAGAGGAGAGGAGGAGAGAGAGAGGAGAGGAGGGGGAGAGGAGAGAGAGGAGAGGAGGGGGAGAGAGGAGAGGAGAAGGGAGAGGAGAGGAGAGGAGAAGAGAGAGAGGAGAGGAGAAGAGAAGAGAGAGAGGAGAGGAGGGGGAGAGAGGAGAGGAGAAGAGAGAGAGGAGAGGAGAAGGGAAGAGAGAGAGGAGAGGAGGGGGAGAGAGGAGAGGAGAAGAGAGAGAGGAGAGGAGAAGAGAAGAGAGAGAGGAGAGGAGAAGAGAGAGAGGAGAGGAGAGGAGAGGAGAGAGGAGAGAGAGGAGAGGAGAAGAGGAGAGAGAGAGGAGAGGGGAAGAGAGAGAGGAGAGGAGGGGGAGAGGAGAGAGAGGAGAGGAGAGGAGAGAGAGGAGAGGAGAGAGAGAGAGAGAGAGAGGAGAGGAGGGGGAGAGAGGAGAGAGAGAGGGAGGAGAGGAGAGAGAGGAGAGGAGAAGAGAAGAGAGAGAGAGGGGAGAGGAGCAGAGGAGAGAAGAAGAGGAGAGAGAGAGGAGAGGAGAAGAGGAGAGAGAGAGAGAGGAGAGGAGAAGAGGAGAGAGAGAGAGGGGAGAGGAGCAGAGGAGAGAAGAAGAGGAGAGCGAGAGGAAAGGAGAGAGAGAGAGAGAGGAGAGGAGAGGGAAGAGAGAGAGGAGAGGAGAGGAGAGAGAGGAGAGAGAGGAGAGGAGAGGGAAGAGAGAAAGGAGAGAAGAGGAGAGAGAGAGAGAGGAGAGGAGAAGAGGAGAGAGAGAGGAGAGAGAGGAGAGGAGCAGAGGAGAGAAGAAGAGGAGAGAGAGAGGGGAGGAGAGGAGAGGAGAGGTGAAGAGAGAGAGGAGAGGAGAAGAGGAGAGAGAGCGAGAGGAGAGGAGAAGAGGAGAGAGAGAGAGAGGAGAGGGAAGAGAGAGAGAGAGGAGAGGAGAAGCGGAGAGAGAGAGGAGAGAGAGAGGAGAGAGAGAGAGGAGAGGAGAAGAGAGAGAGGAGAGCAGAAGAGGAGAGAGAGAGAGAGGAGAGGAGAAGAGGAGAGAGAGAGGAGAGGGAAGAGAGAGAGAGAGGAGAGGAGGGGGAAGAGAGAGAGTGGAGAGGAGAAGAGGAGAGAGAGAGGAGAGAGAGAGGAGAGAGAGAGGAGAGAGAGGAGAGGAGAGGAGAAGAGAGAGAGGAGAGAGAGAGAGAGGAGAGGAGAAGAGGAGAGAGAGAGAGAGAGGAGAGAAGAAGAGAAGAGAGAGAGGAGAGAAGAAGAGGAGAGAAAGAGGAGAGGAGAAGAGGAGAGGAGAGAGAGAGGAGGGGGAGAGAGGAGAGGAGGCGAGGAGGAGAGGAGAGGAGAGGAGAGGAGGAGAGGAGGGGAGAGGAGAGGAGGAGAGGAGAGGAGAGGAGGGGAGGAGGAGAGGAGGAGGGGAGGGGAGAGGAGGGGAGAGGAGGAGAGGAGGAGAGGAGAGGAGAGGATGAGGGGAGGGCAGAGGAGGGGAGAGGAGGAGGAGGGGAGGAGAGAGGAGGGGAGGGGAGAGGAGAGAAGGGGAGGAGGAGAGGAGAGGAGGAGAGGAGGGGAGGAGGAGAGGAGAGGAGGAGAGGAGAGGAGAGGAGGAGAGTAGGGGAGGAGGAGAGGAGGAGGGGAGGAGAGGAGGGGAGAGGAGGAGAGGAGGAGAGGAGAGGAGGAGAGAGGAGAGGAGGGGCGGAGGAGAGGAGAGGAGGAGAGTAGGGGAGGAGGAGGAGAGGAGGAGAGGAGAGGAGGGGAGAGGAGACTAGGAGACGAGGAGAGAAGACTGGGCGAGAGGATACTAGGAGAGGAGACTAGAAGAAGGAGAGAGAGAGAGAGAGGAGAGAAGAAGAGAAGAGAGAGAGGAGAGGATGGGAAGAGAGAGAGAGGAGAGAAAGAGGAGAGGAGAGAGAGAGGAGGGGGAGAGAGGAGAGGAGGCGAGGAGGAGAGGAGAGGAGAGGAGGAGAGGAGGGGAGAGGAGAGGAGGAGAGGAGGAGGGGAGGGGAGAGGAGGGGAGAGGAGGAGAGGAGGAGAGGAGAGGAAGAGAGGAGAGGATGAGAGGAGGGCAGAGGAGGGGAGAGGAGGAGGAGAGGAGAGGAGGGGAGGGGAGAGGAGGAGAGGAGGAGAGAGGAGGAGAGAGGAGAGGAGGGGCGGAGGAGAGGAGAGGAGGAGAGTAGTGGAGGAGGAGGAGAGGAGGTGAGGAGAGGAGGGGAGAGGAGACTAGGAGACGAGGAGAGAAGACTGGGCGAGGATACTAGGAGAGGAGACTAGAAGAAGGAGAGAGAGAGAGAGAGGAGAGAAGAAGAGAAGAGAGAGAGGAGAGGATGGGAAGAGAGAGAGAGGAGAGAAAGAGGAGAGGAGAGAGAGAGGAGGGGGAGAGAGGAGAGGAGGCGAGGAGGAGAGGAGAGGAGAGGAGGAGAGGAGGGGAGAGGAGAGGAGGAGAGGAGGAGGGGAGGGGAGAGGAGGGGAGAGGAGGAGAGGAGAGGAAGAGAGGAGAGGATGAGGGGAGGGCAGAGGAGGGGAGAGGAGGAGGAGAGGAGAGGAGGGGAGGGGAGAGGAGAGAAGGAGAGGAGGGGAGGAGGAGAGGAGAGGAGGGGAGGAGAGGAGGAGAGGAGAGGAGGGGAGGAGGAGAGGAGAGGAGGAGAGGAGAGGAGAGGAGGAGAGTAGGGGAGGAGGAGAGGAGAGGAGGAGAGGAGGAGGGGAGGAGAGGAGGAGAGGAGGGGTGAGGAGGGGAGAGGAGGAGAGGAGGAGAGAGGAGGAGAGGAGAGGAGGGGAGGAGGAGAGGAGGAGAGTAGGGGAGGAGGAGAGGAGAGGAGGAGAGGAGGAGGAGAGGAGAGGAGGAGAGGAGGGGAGAGGAGACTAGGAGAGGAGGGGAGGAGGAGAGGAGGAGTGGAGGGGAGAGGAGAGGAGAGGAGAGGAGGAGAGGAGGGGAGGGGGAGAGGAGAGGAGGGGGGGAGGAGAGGAGGAGAGGAGAGGAGGAGAGGAGGGGAGGAGGAGAGGAGAGGAGGGGAGAGGAGACGAGGAGAGGAGACTAGGAGAGGAGACGAGGAGAGAAGACTGGGCGAGGGGACTAGGAGAGGAGAGGAGGAGACTAGGAGAGGAGACTAGAAGAAGAGGAGAGAGAGAGAGGAGAGAAGAAGAGAAGAGAGAGAGGAGAGGAGGGGGAGAGAGAGAGGAGAGAAGAAGAGGAGAGAAAGAGGAGAGGAGAAGAGGAGAGGAGAGAGGAGGGGGAGAGAGGAGAGGAGGCGAGGAGGAGAGGAGAGGAGAGGAGAGGAGAGGAGGAGAGGAGAGGAGAGGAGGAGAAGAGGGGAGAGGAGGGGAGAGGAGGAGAGGAGGAGAGGATGAGAGGAGGGCAGAGGAGGGGAGAGGAGGAGGAGAGGAGAGGAGGGGAGGAGGAGAGAGGAGAGGAGGAGAGGAGAGGAGAGGAGGAGAGTAGGGGAGGAGGAGAGGAGAGGAGGAGGGGAGGAGAGGAGGAGGAGAGGAGAGGAGGAGAGTAGGGGAGGAGGAGAGGAGAGGAGGGGAGGAGGGAGGAGGAGAGGAGGAGAGGAGGGTAGGAGGAGAGGAAAGGAGGGGACAGGAGACGAGGAGAGGAGACTAGGAGAGGAGACGAGGAGAGAAGACTGGGCGAGGGGACTAGGAGAGGAGAGGAGGAGACTAGGAGAGGAGACTAGAAGAAGAGGAGAGAGAGAGAGGAGAGAAGAAGAGAAGAGAGAGAGGAGAGGAGGGGGAGAGAGAGAGAGGAGAGAAGAAGAGGAGAGAAAGAGGAGAGGAGAAGGGGAGAGGAGAGAGGAGGGGGAGAGAGGAGAGGAGGCGAGGAGGAGAGGAGAGGAGAGGAGGAGAGGAGAGGAGAGGAGGAGAGGAGAGGAGAGGAGGGGAGGAGGAGAGGAGGAGAGGAGGAGGGGAGGGCAGAGGAGGGGAGAGGAGGAGGAGAGGAGGGGGGGAGGAGGAGAGGAGAGGAGGAGAGGAGAGGAGAGGAGGAGAGTAGGGGAGGAGGAGAGGAGAGGAGGAGGGGAGGAGAGGAGGAGAGGAGGAGAGTAGGGGAGGAGGAGAGGAGAGGAGGAGAGGAGGAGGAGAGGAGAGGAGGAGGGTAGGGGAGGAGGAGAGGAGAGGAGGAGAGGAGGGGAGGAGGAGAGGAGAGGAGGAGAGGAGAGGAGAGGAGGAGAGGAGAGGAGGAGAGTAGGGGAGGAGGAGAGGAGAGGAGGAGAGGAGAGGAGGAGAGGAGGAGGGGAGGAGAGGAGGAGAGGAGAGTAGGGGAGGAGGAGAGGAGAGGAGGAGGAGGAGGAGGAGAGTAGGGGAGGAGGAGAGGAGAGGAGGAGAGGAGGGGAGGAGGAGAGGACAGGAGGAGAGGAGAGGAGGAGAGGAGAGTAGGGGAGGAGGAGAGGAGAGGAGGAGAGAGGAGGAGAGGAGAGGAGGAGAGGAGGGTAGGGGAGAGGAGAGAAGGAGAGGAGGGGAGGAGGAGAGGAGAGGAGGAGAGGAGGGGAGGAGGAGAGGAGAGGAGGAGAGGAGAGGAGAGGAGGAGAGTAGGGGAGGAGGAGAGGAGAGGAGGAGAGGAGGAGAGGAGAGGAGGAGAGGAGGGGAGGAGGAGAGGAGAGGAGAGGAGGAGAGGAGACTAGGAGAGGAGACTGGGCAAGGGGACTAGGAGAGGAGACTAGGAGAGGGTGTTGTGTAGCAGGTCTGTGTGTGTGTTGGGTTGTGTAGTAGGACTCTGTGTGTGTTGGGTTGTGTAGCAGGACTGTGTGTGTGTTGGGTTGTGTAGTAGGACTGTGTGTGTGTTGGGTTGTGTAGTAGGACTGTGTGTGTGTTGGGTTGTGTAGCAGGACTGTGTGTGTGTTGGGTTGTGTAGCAGGACTGTGTGTGTGTTGGGTTGTGTAGCAGGACTGGGTGTGTGTTGGGTTGTGTAGCAGGAATGGGTGTGTGTTGGGTTGTGTCGTTCATGTGACCGTGGGCCGTCTTCACACCCTGTGGCGACGATCCGGGCCACTTGGCCCAGTTCGTTTGTAAAAGCCCATGTGACCGTGCCCAGTATGTTTCAGTATGTTTTTTGTTTAACAACTATAAAGGATTCCAGTGTTTTCTTTGTGTTTGTTCACATTTTGTTCAGAGAAAATAATTTTACAGCAGAATGAATCATCCATAGAACATGTTCAATTTACAATACCTAATTTTTTGAAAAGCCACAGAGCGGTTTGTATCGTCTGTGAAGGCTCCGGGGCCACATAGAAGTGTGAGTCGGGCCGAATGTAGCCCCTGGGCCGCAGTTTGCCCAGGTCTGGTTTAGAGCCTCTTCTTTAACGTCTCTGTGAATGTAGAAAAGACAGGTCTGCGTTTGGTTTCAGAGTTTGAAAACTGCTTTAACAACTGCTCTAAGGTCTCTAAAGTCTCTAAAGTCTCTAAAGTCTCTAAAGTCCCGGTGTGTGTGTTGCAGACGGACGCGGCGCTCATGTATGACGCGGTGCACGTGGTGGCGGTGGCGGTGCAGCAGGCGGCGCAGATCACCGTCAGTTCTCTGCAGTGTAACCGCCACAAACCCTGGAGGTTCGGAGGACGCTTCATCAACCTCATCAAGGAGGTCCACAAGCTCTACTACTGCCTTAGACTGACACCTGTGTAGTTACACCTGTGTAGTTACGCCTGTGTAGTTACACCTGTGTAGTTACACCTGTGTAGTTACACCTGTGTAGACTGACAACTGTGTAGTTACGCCTGTGTAGTTACGCCTGTGTAGACTGACACCTGTGTAGTTGCGCCTGTGTAGACTGACGCCTGTGTTGACTGACGCCTGTGTAGACTGACGCCTGTGTAGACTGACGCCTGTGTTGACTGACGCCTGTGTAGACTGACACCTGTGTTGACTGACACCTGTGTAGTTGCGCCTGTGTAGACTGACGCCTGTGTTGACTGACGCCTGTGTAGACTGACGCCTGTGTAGACTGACGCCTGTGTAGACTGACGCCTGTGTTGACTGACACCTGTGTAGTTGCGCCTGTGTAGACTGACGCCTGTGTTGACTGACGCCTGTGTAGTCTGACGCCTGTGTAGACTGACGCCTGTGTTGACTGACGCCTGTGTAGACTGACACCTGTGTTGACTGACACCTGTGTAGTTGCGCCTGTGTAGCCTGACGCCTGTGTTGACTGACGCCTGTGTAGACTGACGCCTGTGTAGACTGACGCCTGTGTTGACTGACGCCTGTGTTGACTGACGCCTGTGTAGACTGACGCCTGTGTAGACTGACGCCTGTGTAGACTGACGCCTGTGTAGACTGACGCCTGTGTTGACTGACACCTGTGTAGTTGCGCCTGTGTAGACTGACGCCTGTGTTGACTGACGCCTGTGTAGACTTATGTCTGTTTAGACTAACTAGCACCTGCTGGTTCTGATCCTGCTGGTCCTTATGGTTCTGATCCTGCTGGTCCTTATGGTTCTGATGGTTCTGATCCTGCTGGTCCTTATGGTTCTGATGGTTCTGATCCAGCTGGTCCTTATGGTTCTGATGGTTCTGATCCTGCTGGTCCTTATGGTTCTGATGGTTCTGATCCTGCTGGTCCTTATGGTTCTGATGGTTCTGATCCTGCTGGTCCTTATGGTTCTGATGGTTTTACTGGTCCTGATGGTGTTGTTGGTTCTGTGCAGGCGCAGTGGGACGGTCTGACGGGGCGAGTCCTCTTCAACAGAACCAACGGACTCCGCACAGACTTCGACCTGGACGTGATCAGCCTGAAAGAGGACGGCCTGGAGAAGGTGCAGGATGTAGATGACAATGCTAACTGCTAGCTCTGTTAAAGCTAACTGCTAGCTCTGTTCAAGCTAACTGCTAGCTCTGTTAAAGCTAACTGCTAGCTCTGTTCAAGCTAACTGCTAGCTCTGTTAAAGCTAACTGCTAGCTCTGTTCAAGCTAACTGCTAGCTCTGTTAAAGCTAACTGCTAGCTCTGTTCAAGCTAACTGCTAGCTCTGTTAAAGCTAACTGCTAGCTCTGTTCAAGCTAACTGCTAGCTCTGTTAAAGCTAACTGCGAGCTCTGTTCAAGCTAACTGCTAGCTCTGTTAAAGCTAACTGCTAGCTCTGTTCAAGCTAACTGCTAGCTCTGTTAAAGCTAACTGCTAGCTCTGTTCAAGCTAACTGCTAGCTCTGTTAAAGCTAACTGCTAGCTCTGTTCTCATGGTTTCATAATCATGTGATCATGGTTTAGCTCCCTCTTTGATGCTGGTATATTCTGATCATGTTTTGTAAATCCAGATATGTCCCAGAATAACGGACCAATCAGGCGCCTTCTGTCCCCAAATTTGGCTTAGGCTAGCGAGTAGCGCGGGCAGAGTCTGGCGCCGCTCCTGATTGGCTCTTTGGTTGCCAACCTGTTGCCAAGAGACGATTTGTCTGCAACAAAGAAAATAGCTTCAGTAAATCATTAAAGAAAAATGTGCTGTTGTTGTGAGGTTGTGTGTCTGTGCTGTTGTGTGTTTGTGTTGTTGTGTGTTTGTTGTTGTATGTCTGTGTTAAGATAAGATATGCATTATTGATCTCACAAAGGAGAAATGTACATGTCACATTTGGCATGGATAGAAACACTAAAGATTGTGCAAAAAGAAAGAAATGTGCAACATGTTAATGCAGGAAATATTATGTCCAATAAAAAGTGTCAATCAGAAACAGTGTAATCAGAAACAGTGTCCATCAGAAACAGTGTCCATCAGAAACAGTGTCAATCAGAAACAGTGTCCATCAGAAACAGTGAAAATCAGAAACAGTGTCCATCAGAAACAGTGTCCATCAGAAACAGTGAAAATCAGAAACAGTGTCCATCAGAAACAGTGTCAATCAGAAACAGTGTCAATCAGAAACAGTGTAATCAGAAACAGTGTCAATCAGAAACAGTGTCAATCAGAAACAGTGTCCATCAGAAACAGTGTCAATCAGAAACAGTGTCAATCAGAAACAGTGTCAATCAGAAACAGTGTCCATCAGAAACAGTGTCAATCAGAAACAGTGTCAATCAGAAACAGTGTCATCAGAAACAGTGTCAATCAGAAACAGTGTCAATCAGAAACAGTGTCCATCAGAAACAGTGTCAATCAGAAACAGTGTCAATCAGAAACAGTGTCATCAGAAACAGTGTCAATCAGAAACAGTGTCAATCAGAAACAGTGTCAATCAGAAACAGTGTAATCAGAAACAGTGTCAATCAGAAACAGTGTCAATCAGAAACAGTGTAATCAGAAACAGTGTCAATCAGAAACAGTGTCAATCAGAAACAGTGTCAATCAGAAACAGTGTCAATCAGAAACAGTGTCAATCAGAACCAGTGTCATCAGAAACAGTGTCAATCAGAAACAGTGTCAATCAGAAACAGTGTCCATCAGAAACAGTGTCCATCAGAAACAGTGTCAATCAGAAACAGTGTCAATCAGAAACAGTGTCAATCAGAAACAGTGTCAATCAGAAACAGTGTCAATCAGAAACAGTGTCAATCAGAAACAGTGTCAATCAGAAACAGTGTCAATCAGAAACAGTGTAATCAGAAACAGTGTCAATCAGAAACAGTGTCAATCAGAAACAGTGTCAATCAGAAACAGTGTCAATCAGAAACAGTGTCAATCAGAAACAGTGTCATCAGAAACAGTGTCAATCAGAAACAGTGTCAATCAGAAACAGTGTCAATCAGAAACAGTGTAATCAGAAACAGTGTCAATAGTAGTGCAGGTTTTTCAGTCTTAAGACAGTGACTTAAAGTGACTTGTTGTGTTGTTGTATATCTGTGTTTGTGTTGTTGTGAGGTTGAGTTGTTATGTGTAGACCTCTGACCCCTGACCCCCCCCCCCCACAGATCGGGACCTGGGACCCCCCCTCTGGCCTGAACATGACCGACAGCCACAAGAGCAAGACGACAAACATCACAGACTCACTGGCAAACAAGTCTCTACGCATCTCTACCATCCTGGTACACACACACACACACACATACTGACACACACAGACACACACACACACACACAGACAGACACACATACTGACACACACACATACACACTGTAGTCAAAAATTCCCTTTGACAGACGTGTTCAAAATGGATGCAGAAGTAAGGCAAGGATCTTCAAGTTTAACATCTGTATTTAATTTATCTTGACAATCAGATACAGAAATTCAACAAAGGGCTCCTATCCTAACGATGTCCCTGGCTCGCCCTCGGCTCATTCTCCTGTGTCCTCTCAAGCCAGAGCATTATCAGTCCATGTTCAGGAAGCAGGGGGCGTGTCGTATCAGGCAGGACTTGGGTCCGGCCTCTTCCATCATGTCCCCTCTGTCTGCCGTACCTTAAACAGAATCATTCACACACACTACCACTCCCCAAATTTATTACTTCTTTGAGATAAGGCAGAAGGCTCTCTGGGTCCCCCTCCTTCTTCAGGATTAGCAGAATCCCCCCCCAGATTACCTATCATTAACTCACCCATGCACTTTGGACTAACAAAGGAACATGGGGAAACCAGGTCTTTTTGCTTTAGGAAAAGACAGTTCAAATCAGGGTCAGCCAATATTCACATCGGCAAAAGTTAAAATATACAACAATTCCCTCTTTTGACCTATATTAAAAAATTAGGTCACAATCCACATCGTCGTTTATCATCAATACTTGTGCTTTAGGCTCGATATCTGTGAAGAGTCAATACAGAGAAAACAAACAACACACAACCACATTCGAAACATATGTTTTTATCTAATAAATCCCTCTATACTATGGTTTTGCTTTCATTAACAGTGGCTTTGTCAGTGTGATTTTTGCTCCATGTTTATTCTACATTCTCAGGAACAAAACTGGACACAGAGAAACAAATGGTTAATATGAACATTATTATGGCGGTCAGTTTTCCAAATACATTAGTCGAAACAGGAAGTGCTGTCACTTCCTCCTCTCAGACAGTTTTGGGATGAATGTACATCGTTAATCAAATTGGTATTATCCTTACAAGAGCTAATCTATTTTAGCAGGTTTTTTTGGGGTCAGTTACTCTACCATGGTATTCGATTTTCTAATCCGTGCTGACAAATCGACAGCTTTTAAAATTCTCAAAAATATCTAAACATCTACTTCTGTGCTATACCCAAATACATTAAAATGCTTTTAAATCTGTGTTGGTTCTAATCTATCTCATTAATCTATCTCATTAATCAATCTCATTAATCAAAGCTACACTGGTTCTAGTTGTAGCAATAGCATTGGCAATAGATGATTTTTCATTGGCTGGTTCTTGTTCTGCAAATCACTATTTTATGTGTTGTATTTCAGACAATTCCAAAAACAACACAGTCGTTCTCCAATATTAAAAACATAAATCTAAATCAAGTTGCCTGTAAGGGAGCGGGAGGAAGAGAACTATTTTAAAACGTTCTCTACGATTATATGGCTATGAAATTAATTATTTAATAAACAAAAGCACATTCATGGCTTCTGTCCGCTGCTTATAACTGTTTAAAGAGTTGTCCCAAACTTAATATGTGTAAATACATCAGCTGTTTGTAATAAACAATAACATTTAACCTGTTCTCCAATGGAGCAGCTCAGAGGCTGCATCAAGAGCAATGTTATATTTGAGCTATTTTTAGATTTAAAATTGTGTTAAAGCCTGTCGTTCTATGTCTGCATTTTAATACTACTCTCTATAAACACATCTGCACTAGTTCCTACAGATGTGGAAAACAGAAACATCTAAAATCTGACTCCATTTGATTCCTTTTTACTTTAATTATTAGAACAATTTGACCTTATTGATACTTATTTCCACAATAGAACTATTTTGATTATTTACTCCTGTGGACTCACCACCTGCAGGAGGATCAGTGAGGGGCTGGTGCTCTGTGTACTGGGTGCAGCTCTGACTGCCACCCCCCCCCCGACCCAGAAATGGATTAAGGGGAAGAAAATGGATGGATGGATGGATGATTATTCACTAGTCTAACTATTATTACTATTGTTTATTCTGACACCTCTTCTTAGCGACCTTTCAACCTATAGCTCCTTGAATCCAATGACATTATAGCTCCAGACTATTTCATTCTATTCTATTATTATTATTATTATATGATCTATTATCTTAAAGAGTAGATCTGTTTGATGTTATAAGCGCTATTATTTCTCCTTTTGAATTTGCACAACACTAAATTTAGAATGACCCCCTATGGGACAAATATAGAATTTTATTTTATTTTGGCAACTCCGAAAATTACTTAATAATTTTCCCATTTTGCTTTTTAGGCTGCCCTTTTCTATTATTTATTTGGTCTTGTAAATATATGTTTTACACTTCTTTCTAATGATTTAGAAGGTTAAGGACCATGACCACCTATGACAATAACATTACCATACTCCCCTCTGTTGGTCATGGGCCAAAGTATAAAACGTGCATCTGTATGTGTGTGTAGATTACTGTTCCAATCCTCTCCAGTTGCTTTTCTCCCGGATCGTCCTCAATTCATATTGTGGGCTTTGGTGCCAAAGTAGAGGCTCATTTCCTTATGATCCATACTACTGTCATCCCTGAAGCAGGTGCAGTTTATCTTTCATCTGAAAAAGAAACATTAGAACACAAGAAACGCCCACTTCCCTCTCTTCGCATGGTGCAGCCTGTCAATCTTTTTCCAATTGGGCAAAACATAACTGCATTGACAGACGGTGTGTGACATCAGGGCAGAGGCTGTAGCCAAATACAGACTTAACAATATGTATGTTTCTAATTTTATACTCCCCTAAATGTGAGTTACAAACCAAAGTTGTCCTCCGCCCAATGACCGCTCACTGCGGTTGGACCGAATCACTGTCAGGACAAACAGCAGAGGGAGGGACTCCCAGTACCTTCAGCAAGGTATTCATCTCAGAGTACTTTCTCAGAGTACTTTTCTCAGAGTACTCATCCCAGAGTACTCTCACTTTTACACCTGTTCAATAAAGCTTGTTATCTTTGAATCTCTAGTACTTACACCGTATGCTGTTGACAAAAAAATAATTATTCCATGATCACATTAAAACATTACAGAAAACATTTGTTATTCCATGATTCCGTTCAGCACTCCTCATTTCACTCCACACTCACATCACTCACACAGGCCGCCTCCCCACGTTAGTATATTGGTCCAGAGTTTGTTAAGGTCAACGTAGTGTACTTGACATGACGCACAAACATATAACATACACAAACATATAACACACACAAACATATAACACACACAAACATATAACATACACAAACATATAACACACACAAACATATAACAACACAGAAGGCCTGTAATTTTAACTTTGTTATATTTTTCCATGTCCAATTACAATTGTCTCATGAGCTATTTCTATTGTTGCAACTTTCAGAGCCTGCAGAACATGCAGAGCTTTAAGAGATTTTTCCTACAAGGATCCATTTCAAACTTTAGTGTTTAAACCACGTGGTCTGTACTCGGGCTTGTCACAGACTGTGTCCCCTATATTTTTAATGAGCTCTCATTGTTACTTAAAAAAAACTTGTGCACGTGCAATAAATGTTTTTCCCTTATTTTCTTTTTCAGTAAAGCCAGGTCGGATTCATTAAAAATGTAAATTAGTCTCAAACTTTAATACTTCACCTTTGTTTCACGTTCATGTGGAGAAAAGACCATTGTTTTATGTGTGTTGTCGTACTTGCACCAATCATGTCTCAGATAAACTGCCAACAGTTGTATCAAAGACATAATTGTCCTAATTGTTTCTAATTTAGCTATTTGGAAGAGAAACATGTCATAAAAGATTTCATAAAATGTCCCTACATCCTTGTTTTCAACCAATGAACAGTGTTGCGTCTATGTGTTATCAGAAATGATCCAATATCACCTTTAGCCAAAATTTAGAAATGCTTTAAATCATTTTTCAAACTTTAATTGTCTGAACAAACCATTTTGTACTAAATGCAACGTCCATTAAAAGCTGCAGTTCTCTTTCTAGCACCAGTTTCAACTGTGCATGTGATTGTTCTTAAATGATTAACGAGCCACGGTTCAGAGGTTGAAAACACTGCTTTAAATATCCGTATTACCAAGATCATGCAGTCAAAATCAATAATTCTAAACTTCTCCGCGTCTATAACTTTAAATATCAATAATAGTTTTAATAATAAAACTCATCTGAATCATGCACAGCTATACTACAATTCTAATCTTCTTGTGTCTCATTCTAAAGTAAGAGTAATTTTGACGATCGGCTTGTAATCATTCATGCAGTTAAATGTAGTGTTTTGAACGTATGACCTAAATGTCCTATATGTCTCTGTGCGTTTGTTGCCTGTCTGTATACAATACCTCCTGTCTGTTTCATTTGCCCAGCCACGTCCTCCTCAAACGTCCGTTAATGTCTCTTTCTTTTACTCATGGCGTCTTTCAATGTCTTTTGTCTCAAAGTGTCCAATGTCTTTGTCTCAAAGTGTCCAATGTCTTTGCCTCAATGTCTTTTTTCTTCTTCTTTCAACAATCACTTTCTTTCTTCTTCTTCTTTCCATAATCACTTTCTTTCTTCTTCTTCTTTCCAATCACTTTCTTTCTTCTTCTTCTTTCAATCACTTTCTTCTCCTTGCAATGTCTTTTTCTTTCATGTCTTCTTTGTCTCATTTCTGACGCACACCAATGTGTCGTCCTTCGCTTGGTTTACACAACGTTCTTCTCCGTGCACATAACTCCACTCGGTTTGTGCAAAAGTCTGGTTCTTCTCCATGAAATGGAGGCCGGAGAGGTCTTCTTCGAGAGTTCCTGTTAGCTGCTGCAGCCGATGCTGCTGTCTTTGGTGCCCCCTGTGGGTGAAACGGGGGAGACGCAGATGGTCCGTGCTGATGGCGCCCGATTGAGGTCTTGTGGCAGACGATTTTGGCCAAATGAAACAGACAGAAGTTTTCTCGGAAAAAACAGACAAACAAGAAACACAAACAAGTGTGTTAATTACCATACAAAACCAATGATTAATTACAAATCTAAATAACCCGATGAAATAATTAATATTCAACATTTTAAACATTAAATTCTGAAAACCAAATCTGCATTCAACTGCTATCCTAAGCCCTATTTTTCCAAAAGTATAATGCTCTCTAAGATCATTCTAACTTTTATATCACCAAAATGTAGGAAAAAACTTGTCCAGACGCCTTGGAGATAAAAATAAAATAATAAAATAATGCCTCTCTATAATCTAACTCAGAGTTCTGTGATCCTATGACTCCATGTCAGTAACATTATCGTGTGTATAAATTTAATTTTCTACAAAAAAATGTCTTTGGTAATAGTTCTGTCTTCACGAGAGAGAGAGAGAGAGAGAGAGAGAGAGAGAGAGAGAGAGAGAGAGAGACAGAAAGAGGGAGGGGAGGGGCTGAGTGGCTTCTCGAACAAAGGAACACATGGATGATTGAAATACACCCCCTTTTGCTACATTTTCCTCGTTTTTATCGTGATATGGTTTTAATCAGTGGTAAAAGTTTTTCTCACGTCAAACGACACTTTACATTTTATCCTTAAATACGTCAGTAATGGAAAACATTACCATTTGCTACCTGATTAATGTATCGAGGGTTCCAGCAGAATCTTTTTTTTTCCCTGATTCGCTGTAACTATCGAAACATTACATCACAATACAAGAGAAAAACTCCCAGACTGATCTTTTGTCATTTCTTCACATGAAACTCGTATACTACAGCCAAGTGGCTCTCTTTTTTCTCATTAATCAGATCGTTAGTATCAGAATCCACATTTTAAATACTTGGCTTTTTTCTGTTTAAATTAATTGTACCCTTTTTTCCCGCCCCCCGGGGGATATGGAGGTTTTATTATCCTATCACTTCTGACCCTAACTGTCCCTATTTTCTAATCCTATTTCTCTAAACACTTGTGCCTCTTTTGCACTTTAAAACGGTGTGCCTCTTTTGCACTCTAAACGGTGTGCCTCTTCTGCACTTCTAAAAACTCTTGTGAACTCTTATCATCATCTATGTTCTGTTTATTTTAGGAGGGACCAATTCTTCCCCCAAGGCTAAAAACGTCTAAACCTGACTATTGTTCTATCGCGTCCGATAGAACGCCCGTCACGGCGGTCTGTCCACGCTGCAATCTGTCGAGCCAAAATCTCTCTCTCTTCTATTTAAAACAATGTGCAGATTTTCAAAACTGTGATCCGCTTACCTTAGAAGCGACCTTTTTGAAGAGCAGAGAGATTTTTCCAAACCCACAAATCCAGTCTCTATAGCTGAGCTCATCTCTGTCTTGCTCCTGCACCATCACGTCGGGTTTCACCAAAATGTAGTCAAAAATTCCCTTTGACAGACGTGTTCAAAATGGATGCAGAAGTAAGGCAAGGATCTTCAAGTTTAACATCTGTATTTAATTTATCTTGACAATCAGATACAGAAATTCAACAAAGGGCTCCTATCCTAACGATGTCCCTGGCTCGCCCTCGGCTCATTCTCCTGTGTCCTCTCAAGCCAGAGCATTATCAGTCCATGTTCAGGAAGCAGGGGGCGTGTCGTATCAGGCAGGACTTGGGTCCGGCCTCTTCCATCATGTCCCCTCTGTCTGCCGTACCTTAAACAGAATCATTCACACACACTACCACTCCCCAAATGTATTACTTCTTTGAGATAAGGCAGAAGGCTCTCTGGGTCCCCCTCCTTCTTCAGGATTAGCAGAATCCCCCCCCAGATTACCTATCATTAACTCACCCATGCACTTTGGACTAACAAAGGAACATGGGGAAACCAGGTCTTTTTGCTTTAGGAAAAGACAGTTCAAATCAGGGTCAGCCAATATTCACATCTGCAAAAGTTAAAATATACAACAACACACACACACACACACATACTGACACACACACACACACACACACATACTGACACACACACACACACACACACATACTGACACACACACACACACACACACACACAGACAGACACACATACTGACACACACACATACACACACACACACACTGACACAGACACACACACACACACACACACACACACACACACTGAAACAGACACAGACATGTGAGGTCAGTACCAGACCTCTGTGGACCATGTGAGCTCAGTACCAGACCTCTGTGGACCATGTGAGCTCAGTACTAGACCTCTGTGGACCATGTGAGCTCAGTACCAGACCTCTGTGGACCATGTGAGCTCAGTACCAGACCTCTGTGGACCATGAGAGTCCTGTGACAGACCTCTGTGGACCATGTGAGCTCAGTACTAGACCTCTGTGGACCATGTGAGCTCAGTACCAGACCTCTGTGGACCATGTGAGCTCAGTACCAGACCTCTGTGGACCATGAGAGTCCTGTGACAGACCTCTGTGGACCATGTGAGCTCAGTACCAGACCTCTGTGGACCATGTGAGCTCAGTACCAGACCTCTGTGGACCATGAGAGTCCTGTGACAGACCTCTGTGGACCATGTGAGCTCAGTAACAGTAACAGATCGCTCTGGACCATGTAGGAGGAGCCGTACGTGATGTTTAAGAAGTCGGACAAACCGCTTTATGGTAACGAGCGTTTCGAAGGATACTGCATCGACCTGGTGAAGGAGCTGGCGGCCATCTTGGGTTTCCACTACGAGGTGCGGCTGGTGGAGGACGGGCGCTACGGCGTCCTGGACGAAGCCACGGGCCAGTGGAACGGCATGGTGCGCGAGCTCATCGACCACGTGAGTCTAAGCAGGACAGGGGCTGGTTAGTGCTGTGATGGGAGACCTCTGGGAACAGCAGCTGCCACAGTGGGGCGGCTGCGGCTGCAAAGTGTCAGACTGTAGTTGTGTCCTTAGGCAAGACACTTCCCCCACATTAGAATGAGTCTGCCAATGCTTTATTATTATTATTATTATTGTTTCTCTCTCCCTCTCTCCCTGATGGTCTGACCTGTCTCCCTCTCCTCTCCCTGATGGTCTGACCTGTCTCCCTCTCCTCTCCCTGATGGTCTGACCTGTCTCCCTCTCCTCTCCCTGATGGTCTGACCTGTCTCCCTCTCCTCTCCCTGATGGTCTGACCTGTCTCCCTCTCCTCTCCCTGATGGTCTGACCTATCTCCCTCTCCTCTCCCTGATGGTCTGACCTGTCTCCCTCTCCTCTCCCTGATGGTCTGACCTGTCTCCCTCTCCTCTCCCTGATGGTCTGACCTGTCTCCCTCTCCTCTCCCTGATGGTCTGACCTGTCTCCCTCTCCTCTCCCTGATGGTCTGACCTATCTCCCTCTCCTCTCCCTGATGGTCTGACCTGTCTCCCTCTCCTCTCCCTGATGGTCTGACCTGTCTCCCTCTCCTCTCCCTGATGGTCTGACCTGTCTCCCTCTCCTCTCCCTGATGGTCTGACCTGTCTCCCTCTCCTCTCCCTGATGGTCTGACCTGTCTCCCCCTCCTCTCCCTGATGGTCTGACCTGTCTCCCCCTCCTCTCCCTGATGGTCTGACCTGTCTCCCTCTCCTCTCCCTGATGGTCTGACCTGTCTCCCCCTCCTCTCCCTGATGGTCTGACCTGTCTCCCTCTCCTCTCCCTGATGGTCTGACCTGTCTCCCTCTCCTCTCCCTGATGGTCTGACCTGTCTCCCTCTCCTCTCCCTGATGGTCTGACCTGTCTCCCTGATGGTCTGACCTGTCTCCCTCTCCTCTCCCTGATGGTCTGACCTGTCTCCCCCTCCTCTCCCTGATGGTCTGACCTGTCTCCCCCTCTCCCTGGTGCTCTGACCTGTCTCCCTCTCTCCCTGACAGAAAGCCGACCTGGCCGTGGCGCCGCTCGCCATCACGTACGTCCGTGAGAAGGTGATCGACTTCTCCAAGCCCTTCATGACCCTGGGCATCAGCATCCTGTACCGGAAACCCAACGGCACCAACCCCGGGGTCTTCTCCTTCCTCAACCCGCTCTCCCCCGACATCTGGATGTACATCCTGCTGGCCTGCCTGGGCGTCAGCTGCGTGCTCTTCGTCATCGCCAGGTAAGACCAGAGAGAGACCAGAGAGAGACCAGAGAGAGACCAGAGAGAGACCAGAGAGAGACCAGAGAGAGACCAGAGAGAGACCAGAGAGAGAGACCAGAGAGAGACCAGAGAGAGACCAGAGAGAGAGACCAGAGAGAGAGACCAGAGAGAGACCAGAGAGAGACCAGAGAGAGACCAGAGAGACCAGAGAGACCAGAAAGACCAGACAGAGACCAGAGAGAGACCAGAAAGACCAGACAGAGACCTTTAGCTAACAGAACTTTTGCTAACGATACTTTTGCTAACGACGCTGGTGGAGATGATGTAGAACGGTTTCTTATAATCCACTGAGGAATCATTCCACAAGCTTTTAACTATATTTTCCTGGAATTCTGGCCCATTCCTCCTGAAAAGTCCATGTTGTATCTGTGTCCGGTTTGTAGGTCACCTCCCTCTCAGGCCTTTGGAGATCGGCCCACACTGTTCTAGAGGTTAGAGTTTAGTTTATTAAGGACAATGTGCAGCCTGGTCTTACCCTGGTCTCACCGTACCATCATACTCATTTCATTTTCTGCTAAGGTCTGGATTTCCCTCCCCCTCTCCCTCCCTCTCTCCTGAGTATTATTAACAATCTGCTGTTTTGCACAATACAAGATTCCACTTCAGACGAATCCATACGTTATTATTTTTATTCATTTGTGAAGCGTTGTGTGCGTCTCTGGGGGATCGGGCCGGAGGAGGGGGAGACCGTGGGAGATGAGTAGAGAGGATGGGAGATGGGGGAGATATAGGGAGATTGATTATTACATTGATTATTTGATCAGGTTTGAAACAGACAGAAGCTCAGAGCAACTCACTGAAATCTTGGCATTTCGTCCCAGGCCTCGATAAACACTGTTTTCTATTCTGTCTTTGTGCGGATGAAATACCCAGGTTTATATCTTAGTCTACAGTAGTGATAGACCATCAAGCAGACCATGAAGGGCATGACAGATGTGTAGAAATATATGGTTCATTCAAACAGTTAGACTGATATTTATTCTTATTCATATTCTCAGTGGGAAATGTCAATGTTGTTGGAAACAGGTGGATCACAGAGAGCCAGGGTTACGTGTTCAGACTGGGACATGTTCAGACTCGGACATGTTCAGACTGGGACATGTTCAGACTGGGACATGTTCAGACTGGGACATGTTCAGACTGGGACATGTTCAGACTCGGACATGTTCAGACTGGGACATGTTCAGACTGGGACGTGTTCAGACTGGGACATGTTCAGACTCGGACATGTTCAGACTGGGACATGTTCAGACTGGGACGTGTTCAGACTGGGACATGTTCAGACTGGGACATGTTCAGACTGGGACATGTTCGGACTGGGACATGTTCAGACTGGGACATGTTCAGACTGGGACATGTTCGGACTGGGACATGTTCAGACTGGGACGTGTTCAGACTGGGACGTGTTCGGACTGGGACATGTTCAGACTGGGACGTGTTCAGACTGGGACATGTTCAGACTGGGACATGTTCAGACTGGGACATGTTCGGACTGGGACATGTTCAGACTGGGACATGTTCAGACTGGGACATGTTCAGACTGGGACGTGTTCAGACTGGGACATGTTCAGACTCGGACATGTTCAGACTGGGACATGTTCAGACTGGGACATGTTCAGACTGGGACATGTTCGGACTGGGACATGTTCAGACTGGGACGTGTTCAGACTGGGACGTGTTCAGACTGGGACATGTTCAGACTGGGACATGTTCAGACTGGGACATGTTCAGACTGGGACATGTTCAGACTGGGACATGTTCAGACTCGGACATGTTCAGACCGGGACATGTTCAGACTGGGACATGTTCAGACTGGGACATGTTCGGACTGGGACATGTTCAGACTGGGACGTGTTCAGACTGGGACGTGTTCGGACTGGGACATGTTCAGACTGGGACATGTTCAGACTGGGACGTGTTCAGACTGGGACATTTTTGGACTGGGACATGTTCGGACTGGGACATGTTCAGACTGGGACATTTTTGGACTGGGACATGTTCGGACTGGGACATGTTCAGACTGGGACATGTTCAGACTGGGACGTGTTCAGACTGGGACATTTTTGGACTGGGACGTGTTCAGACTGGGACATGTTCAGACTGGGACATGTTTGGACTGGGACATGTTCAGACCGGGACATGTTCAGACCGGGACATGTTCAGACCGGGACATGTTCAGACTGGGACATTTTTGGACTGGGACATGTTCAGACTGGGACATGTTCAGACCGGGACATGTTCAGACTGGGACATGTTCAGACTGGGACGTGTTCAGACTGGGACATGTTCAGACTGGGACATGTTCAGACTGGGACATGTTCAGACCGGGACATGTTCAGACTGGGACATGTTCAGACTGGGACGTGTTCAGACTGGGACATGTTCAGACTGGGACATGTTCAGACTGGGACATGTTCAGACTGGGACATGTTCAGACTCGGACATGTTCAGACCGGGACATGTTCAGACTGGGACATTTTTGGACTGGGACATGTTCAGACTGGGACATGTTCAGACTGGGACATGTTCAGACTGGGACATGTTCAGACTGGGACATGTTCAGACTGGGACATGTCCCCTGTGGCCGAGTCTGACCTTACACTGGAGCAGGCGCCTGTAGGAATACAAACCAGCGGCAGACAAAGTCACACACAAACACACATAACTCAGTCGTTCTTTTTACCGTCGAAGGAGAAGTGTCCTCACAGAGACAGACCCAGACCAAGATGAATGTGTTCTGTCCCGTGGGTTCTGTCCCGTGGGTTCTGTCCCGTGGGTTCTGTTCCGTGGGTTCTGTTCCGTGGGTTCTGTCCCGTGGGTTCTGTTCCGTTGGACTCACAGCTGCTACATTGAAAACACAATTATGCCGCGTTCAGACCGGATCATGCTGCGTCGGCTTTCAAAGCAAAGTCAATGGTGACGCGCGTTCCAGCGTCAAAACGCACAAACGTCTCGGAATGCACGCACGGACCGCGCTGGAAGTCGAAGGCGAGGAACGCAGGAGATGGATTTAGCTCAACCTTTCCTCGGGACGTTCGTGCAGCGACCAATCAGAGAGCTGCAAAGTGGTCACGGGGACATTAGTGTCTGAGCGAGCAGATTGAACATACTGTAAACAGCCAAAACAGGAGCTACACGAGGACTAAACCAGGACTGAACCAGGACTGAACCAGGACTGAACCAGGACTGAACCAGGACTGAACCAGGACTAAACCAGGACTAAACCAGGACTAAACCAGGACTAAACCAGGACTAAACCAGGAATAAACCAGGACTAAACCAGGACTAAACCAGGACTAAACCAGGACTAAACCAGGACTGAACCAGGACTAAACCAGGACTGAACCAGGACTAAACCAGGACTGAACCAGGACTAAACCAGGACTAAACCAGGACTAAACCAGGACTAAACCAGGACTGAACCAGGACTAAACCAGGACTGAACCAGGACTAAACCAGGACTAAACCAGGACTAAACCAGGACTAAACCAGGACTAAACCAGGACTGAACCAGGACTGAACCAGGACTGAACCAGGACTAAACCATGACTGACCCAGGACTGAACCAGGACTAAACCAGGACTAAACCAGGACTAAACCAGGACTGAACCAGGACTAAACCAGGACTGAACCAGGACTGAACCAGGACTGAACCAGGACTGAACCAGGACTAAACCATGACTGACCCAGGACTGAACCAGGACTAAACCAGGACTAAACCAGGACTGAACCAGGACTAAACCAGGACTGAACCAGGACTAAACCAGGACTAAACCAGAACTAAACCAGGAATAAACCAGGACTAAACCAGGACTAAACCAGGACTAAACCAGGACTGAACCAGGACTAAACCAGGACTGAACCAGGACTAAACCAGGACTGAACCAGGACTAAACCAGGACTAAACCAGGGTTGTCAATGGGGGACATTGACAACCCTGTGAACACATACTGCTGTTATATAAAGTCACCTCCGTGAACACATACTGCTGTTATATAAAGTCACCTCCATGAACACATACTGCTGTTATATAAAGTCACCTCCGTGAACACATACAGCTGTTATATAAAGTCACCTCTGTGAACACATACTGCTGTTATATAAAGTCACCTCCGTGAACACATACTGCTGTTATATAAAGTCACCTCCGTGAACACATACTGCTGTTATATAAAGTCACCTCCGTGAACACATACAGCTGTTATATAAAGTCACCTCTGTGAACACATACTGCTGTTATATAAAGTCACCTCCGTGAACACATACTGCTGTTATATAAAGTCACCTCCGTGAACACATACTGCTGTTATATAAAGTCACCTCCGTGAACACATACTACTGTTATATAAAGTCACCTCCATGAACACATACTGCTGTTATATAAAGTCACCTCCGTGAACACATACTGCTGTTATATAAAGTCACCTCCGTGAACACATACTGCTGTTATATAAAGTCACCTCTGTGAACACATACTGCTGTTATATAAAGTCACCTCCGTGAACACATACTGCTGTTATATAAAGTCACCTCCGTGAATACATACTGCTGTTATATAAAGTCACCGTGAACACATACTGCTGTTATATAAAGTCACCTCCGTGAACACATACTGCTGTTATATAAAGTCACCTCCGTGAACACATACTGCTGTTATATAAAGTCACCTCCGCGAACACATACTACTGTTATATAAAGTCACCTCCGTGAACACATACTGCTGTTATATAAAGCAGTGTTTTTCAACCACTGTGCCGCGGCACACTAGTGTGCCGTATGATATTGTCTGGTGTGCCGTGAAAAATTCATCTACTTTGTCTAAAAATAACTGCATTTCGCTGTTGGCGAGCGGTGACTTGTTTTGAACTGTGGAGTAACCATGTAATACTTTTTCATATCAGTAGATGGCAGCAGATTGCTAAGTACTTTGAAACTGAAACATTGGATGCAACCACTGGACGTAACAGGTAGTGGGAGCATTGTGGCGAGAAAGGTAAAATTGGATGCGACCAACAAATGTGGGGGAGGAGACAAGAGCTTTGTGGCGAGTGACAAGTGAAAGTGATAGAGACGTTTTTGAAAATGAATTATGCCGTTTCTGAACAGGATTCACATCCTCTGCTCTGCCCCGGGGCAGCTGTGGCCGCGTTGTAGTCGTTTAACTATGAAATGTACAATTTTTGTACAACAGCTCATGCGAACGCACTTCTGAACTGGGTACCGAGCGCAGACCACAGTTGTGTGGACAGAACCATAGACATGCGGACCGGACAGAACCATGGACTCGTGTTCAGGAGGTGTCCCTTATCCAAAACTCCTGAATTTAAAGCTTGGATACCTACATTTTCCCCATGCACTAACAATGCATGTTATTTACTTAAGAGCCCCCTGAGTTATTATTTGACTATTTTGACAGAGTGGATTTTCTTTGTTTTTTTTTCCACACAGTTAGTGCCACTTTATTCCCAAACTCTTGTTAACTCATTGTATTGAGAAATATGAAATAAAGATTAATGTCAAGGCCTGGGCTTAAGCACTTTGATGAGAATAACTGTATATTGTGAATATAGGCTACAGAGTATATATATTATAAGATAAGATAATACTTTATTGATCTCACATAGAGTATGTATATTATATATGTTTACATTTTTTCCTGGAGGTGTGCCGCAAGATTTTTTGAATGAAAAAAGTGTGCCTTGGATCAAAAAAGGTTGAAATACACTGATATAAAGTCACCTCCGTGAACACATACTACTGTTATATAAAGTCACCTCCATGAACACATACTGCTGTTATATAAAGTCACCTCCATGAACACATACTACTGTTATATAAAGTCACCTCCGTGAACACATACAGCTGTTATATAAAGTCACCTCCATGAACACATACTGCTGTTATATAAAGTCACATACCCCCCCATCTCCTCCCCAAACCAAACATCTCACCCCACCCTTCACCATCCCCTCACCCCACCTTACCACTACAATCCATACCAATAACATATCAATCCACCCCCCACCCATCCCCAAAATTCCTTCTAAACCTTCATATATCCTAACCCCATCAACCCTCTCCCCCCCTCTTCATTTTCAAAACCCTTAACTCACACCAAACCCCCCACCCCCCCCTAATCCCATAATCATTAAAAACACAATACTCTCCAAACCCCACATTCAAACATAAATCAATTCCAAATATCATCCAATCTCAAAAACCCTAACAACCCACTACCCTATCCAACCCAAACAACCCAAATCATATCATATTTCTTATCCCCCCACATTTTTCCTATTACCCCCCCCCCCACACACCCCCCAAAAATCTCAACCCCCTCTACAATTTCACACACCAACAATCCCCTCCACACCCCCACACCACCCACTAACCATAAATCCCCATAAATCCCCCATCCCACCCCCCTCCAAACCATAATCCCATATCTCACACCCCACTCACTCAAAAAAATTCATCTTCCATCAATAAATACCCATTCATATAACCTCACCACCACAAACCCAATCCCTAAACCAACCAACCCCACCCCATCCCCCCAAATTTTTATACAACCCCACATTCCAAACCTACACCCAAAAACACACCACCTCCACTATTAAACCCAAAATCAACACAACACCTCCCTCCAATACCATACTAACCTCATAAACTCCCCTTTATATACCCCCCCCCTTCTCTAAACACATTCCCCAATACATTATCATAAATACACCCCAAAACTAAAATCTCAATAAAAAATCCAATTCAACATATTAATTTTTAATAACCACACAAAAACTCCCCATTCAATTTATAACCCTCTTAACCAAACCCATTTTCAACTTGTACCACAGTTACTTTCACTTACCTATTCCCACTTAAACCCAATTCAATTTTATTATCATACTAACCATTTATCACCCACTAACCTACAAACAATTCATCATTCACATTACAACATATTTATCCCTAATAATTCCCCACCCACAACCCATTTTCCCTTATCCCCCCCATTCCCCTACCATCATCCCACCCACCACTAACAACCTCCCCCCCATAATACTATCAATTTATTCACCTATCCTCCCTTTCTCCCATCCCCAAAACACCCACCCTATATCATCCATAATTCCATTCCCCCCCCCAAAAATACTATTCCCCCCCTTTCCCCCTATCCCAACCCCTCCAATCCCCCCCCATCCCTCCACCACCCCACCCAAACCCCCAAACACCCAAACAATCACAACCCCACCCACCCACCACCACATTTCACATACCCAAATCCCATCATCTACCCCACACCACCAACATCCAACTCCCCACCCACCCCATTCCAAAATCCATCACAAAATATAAAATCTAAACCAATACACTCCATCACCTTCCCCCCTCCAAACAAAAAAATAATTTACAAAAATCCTTACCTTCATTAACTCTACTATACCCTCAAATCCAAATCTCCCATCCTATAAATAACCATATCCCCCACTTATCTATACCATCCCAATAACCAACCTCAACCACACCACCAACACAACAAAACACCCCCTAACCCACACCACACCACACCAACCCCCACCACCCCAACACCACCCCAACCCAAACTCCCCACAACCCCCCCCCCCACCCCATCCCCCAAATAAACCCCCCCCCTACCCTATCCCCTCCCCTTCACCCTCCCTATTTAAACTACCAACCTATAACAACACACCTCAACTCAACCCCCCACAAACCAAACCCCCCCCAAATAAAACATCCCCATACTAACCCCAACAAAAACCAAAAAAACACCCCTCTCAAAACAACATAACACCAACATAACCTACCATAAATAACCAACCCCCACCCACATTCTTCCCACTCTCCCCCCTCACTAAATCTCACACCCACTAATAACCACAAACCCCCCCTAAACCCCACACCCCTCCCCATAAACCCCATCCCATACCCACTACATACCCCCAAACCCAAAACACCTCCACCCATACCCCATCACATATAAAACCAACCCCCTAATACACACCCAACATAATACCCCCAACCTATCCCACAAAACCCACCCCAACACCCCCATCCATATAACCCACAACACCACACCCATCCACAACAACCAAAATATTAAATAAACCTCTAACCCCACCAACCAATACACCCACCATACATCAACATTCATATCATTCACTACAAAAACCCAAAAAACAAAACAACACCACCCTAAAAACAAACAACCACACCCACCTAAACCAACCCCCACAAAACCCCCACCCACCCAACCCAATAACACACACAACACACCCCAAAATAAAATACCACCCTACCCCCACCAACCCACACCCCACCCCCCAAAAATAACCCCCAAACCCCCCACCAACCAAAACAACAACCCCAACAAAAACCACACCCAACAAACCAACACCAAACCCAACCACAAAACCACACAAAACAACTACAAAAAAAAACAAAACCAAACCCCCCCCACCCCACAAAACCACAACCCTCCACCCAAAACCCAACAACACACCCCACACAACACAAACAACACCAAACACAACAAACAAACCAACCAAACAACCACACCAAAACAACAAAAAACCCCAACCAAAACCCCCACCACCCCACCCACACCCAAAAACCCCCAAAACCCCCCCAACCACCCCCCCTCACCCTCACCCCCACCAACCACCCACCCCCCACAACCCCCAACACCAACCACAACCAAAAAACACCACCACAACCCCAAACAAACACCCCACCAAAAAACAAAACAACACCAATACAACACCCAAAACAACAAACAACTAAACAAACAACAAAAACCCACCACAAACCCCACACAAAAACACCACAACACCCCCAACAACACACAACCACCCACCCCCAACCCACTAAACCCCCCCCAACCAAAAAAACCACCCCAAACCAACAACAAAAACAAAACAAAAAAACCCACAATTACAAACCAAACCAAAACAAACCCCAACACACCCCACACAAACAACACCCCCAAAAAAAAAACCCACACCCCCCAAAAAAAAATAACACCCCAAAACCAAAAAAACAAACCAACAAAACAACAACCAAACCAATCACCAAAAAACAAAAAACCAACAACCCCCAAACCCAACACTAACCAAACCCCCAACACAAACCCCAAAACAACAACCCACCACACCAAACAACCCCCCACCCCACCCAACAACAAAAAACACACCAAACAAAACAATACACAAAAACCAAAACCCCAACAACAAAAAACCCCCCCTAAAACCAACACAAACAAAACAACCCCCACCATAAAACCACCCACAAAACCCCAAACAAAAAAAACAAAAACCCAACAAACCCCACACAACAACCACAAAAACCAACCACCAACCAACCCCAACCCCCAACCCCCCCCCCAACAAAAAACACTACACCCAACAAAACCAAAAAACCAACAACTCACACCACCACCACCCACCAACACACCAACACACCCCCCCCCCAAACCCCCCCCCCACCCCCCCCCCCCACAACACCACACCACACAAACCAACACCAAACACAACAAACACACACCCCCCCCACCAACCAACCCAAACAACAAACCCCCCCCAACACACACCCCAAACACCCAACAACCCCACCACACCACCCCAAAAACCACCCCCAAAAACAAACAACCCAAACCCACAAAAAACCCACAAAAACAAACAAAACACACCCACAACCCAACCCCCCCCCCACACAACAAAACAACCCCACCCCAACCCCACCACCCAAAACAACAAACACCCCCCCCCCAACACACCAAACCCAACCCCCCCCAACCCACCACCCCCACCCCCACCCACCCACCAACCCCACACACACCCAAAACACCACACAAACACCCCCCCACCACCACCCCCCCATCCCCTAAATATATAAAACACAAAAAAAAAAACCCACCCAAAACCCACCACAACCACCCCCCCCCCAACAAACACACACCCACACCCCAACACAACACCCCCCACCCCCAAACCCCCCCCCCCCCCAACAACACAACCCCCAACCCCCAACCACCCCCAAACCCAACACAACCCAACCCACCCAACCCCCCACCAACCCCAACAACCACCACCCACCCCAACACCCCACAACACAACACACCCCCCCCAACACAAAACACAAAACCAACACCACAACAAACAAAAAAAACCCCCCCACCACCAAAAACACACAAAACATAACCACCCAAACCACCAACCCCCACAACACCACCCCCAACACCCCCCACCCCCCAACCCCAAAAACCACCCCCCCCCAACCACCAAAACACCAAACCCCCCACACAACCAAACCCCCAACAAACAAAAACCAAAAACCCCAACAACCCACCACAAACAACCACAACACCACAAAACACCCCCACCACACCCCACAACAACAAACCTAACAAAAACAAACCAAAAAACCCACACAAACCCCCCCCCACCCCCAACCCCCCCCACCCCCACCCCACAACCACCCCACACAACACCACCCCAAAACCAAACACCACAACCACAACCACACAAAAAACCCCCTCCCAAACCCCCACACACCCCCAACACCCCCCCCCCCCCAACCCACAAACAAACCACACAAAACCCCAACAAAAACCCCCCCACACACCACCACCCAAACAAAAACCAAACCCCCAAAACACAACAAAAAAAAACCAAAAAAATCCCACAAAACCCCCCCCCCCCCCCCCAAAAAATAAAAACAAACACCAACAACACACCCAAAACCAATACAAACAAAAAACACACACCAAAACCAATAAAAACCAACCACACCCCCACAACAACCCCATACACCCCCCACCCCACCCAAAACCCAAATACCCACCCCACCTCCACATAACCCCAACACCAAAACAACAAAACACCCAAAAACCTACCAACCACAACAACCACAAACACCACAATCCCCCCCACAAAACACCAAAACAACCACACAAAACAACCAAAAACCCCCACCTCACACACCCCAAACAAACCCCCTCCCAAAACACAAAAAACCCCAAACATAAACTACCCAAACCAAAAAATCCCCACAAAACAAACCCCCCAAAACCCCCTAAAACCAAATAATCTCAAAACCTAAAAACCACAACCCCCACAAACCCAAACAACAAAAAACAAAATACCCCAACATAAAACCAAACCCCCCCCCCCCCCCCCAAATACCAAAAAACACCACATCACACAAAAAACACCCCACCATCAACCCCCAAAAAAACAAACCCCCCCCCTTTCCCTTATATCCCAACTCCCCCTACTAATCCCCACCCAAACACATCCACCCATTCCACCCCCCCACCAAAACATACACAAATCAAACCCAATCCATATATATACCCCCCCAAAAACCAACATTAATACCACATATACCCAAACTTATACAACTACCAAAATATCATACCATACACCAAAAACAAATCACAAACCATTCATCCCCTCTCTACCTATCATCTTCATACAAACCTCCCCTCTTAAAATCTCCACCCCCCACCCATCCTTCCCCCTTACTATACCCTCATTCCTCACCAACCCCTCCCACCATCTTCAACCCCCCCCCCCCCACCAAACATAACCTCACCAAACACACCCTATCCACCCCCCCCCCCCTCACACACCCCCCTAACAAAACAAATAACAACAACACCATAAACACATCCACCACCTTATCCCCCTACCCCAACATCCATCATCATCATCATCATTCATCATCATATCCACCATATAACACCAAAATCCCTATCAATTCTCATACCAAATATAAAAAACCATCATATCCCTCACTAATATCCTTTAATTCCAAATTAACCCACCCCCCCTTAAAATTTAACCAACCCCCAACCTCCTCTTCCAAACATCTACTCTAAATCCATAACACCATATACATCTACCCCTAACACCCCCAACCCCACCCCCCAATATTAACATATACATCCCTTCATCAACATTACCTTTTCCAATCTACCACCCCCCCCCCCCCCCCCCCCCCCCCATCCTATAAAACCTAACAAAAAAAATATATTCCCCCATTTCCCCCCCCTAATACCCATCCCATCCTCCCAATCAACAAACATCTAAACCATATCACAACAACCCCATCCAATACCCCATTTTCCAAACCTCTCCCCACCAAAAACCAAATCCTCAATATCACAAACAAAACACCCCCCACCAAAACTTCCCCCCTATAACCCCACCCCCCCTCCTCCTCCTTCAACCCCCCAACCACCCCTACCCATATCCTCCCAAAAAAAAACCTCCCTCCCCACCCCCAATCCCTCTCCCCCATATATAAAATTCCCACCATAATCCCCCCCCCCTCCCTCTAACTACCCAACCCAAAATTCAAAAACCACTCCTCCCCTTAACCCCCCCAAAACCCACATCACCACCATTACACATTACAACCCCCCACAATAATCCTCCACCCCCCCCCATATACCATACATACCATCCAAACCCAATCCCCATACAACAAACCCACCCCCAACAAACCCCCCACATAACCACCCAACCCCACTCAAACTATAAAACACACACCCCACCCCCAACCCATAAAAAAACAATACAAATCCCCAAAAATCCCCCCCCCAACCAAAAAAAACACACAAACAAAAAACCCACCAATCAACACCCCCACACCAAAAAACCACACCCCAAAATTCATACTCAAAAAAAAACAAAACCCCAACCCCTACAAATACACCTTACCCCCCAACCCAAACCCACCTTAACCTACCAAAACCCCAACACACCAAACCCCAACCCCCAACCCCCTCCCCAACCACCCCACCACCACAAAACCAAAAACCACCACACACCCCCCAACCCCCAAACCATATAAAACCAAACCAACAACAAACACCAAAACCCAACCAACAAAAAAACCAAACCACACAACCAACCCCAAAACCCCACTACCCCCCACAAACATACAAAAAACACCCACCCCCACCAAACACCACACTCACAACACCAAAACAAAAAAACCTAACACAAACAAACCAACCCACCCAAAAAACAACCCAAAACCACCACACCCCACACAAAACCCCCCCCCCCCCAACCACCCCAACCACCTCACTTCAAACTCTCTCTATCACAAAACAAAAACCCCCCAAACACCCCAACCCCAAAAACAAATTACAACAAAAACAAAAAACAACACACAACCCCAACCACCCCCCCCACAAAAACACCACCCCTACAAAAACCCACCCAAAAAAACACCCAAAAAAACCCCAAAAAAACACCTTACCAAAAAACATCCCCCACAATCCCTTCCACCCTTCTTCCCCAAACCCCCATAAACCCAACACCATACCCCACATACACCAAACCACAAAAAAAACACACACCAACACAAACACCAACCCAAAACCCCCCAACACCAAACACACACAACCCACACCCTAAACACACCCCCCCCACACCCAACAACAACCCACCCCCCCCCCCCCCCCCCCCCCCCCCCCCCCCCCCCCCCCCCCCCCCCCCCCCCCCCCCCCCCCCCCCCCCCCCCCCCCCCCCCAAAACCCCCCCAAAACCCCAACCCCAAAAAAAACCACCCAAATCCCCCACCCCAAAACTACCCCCCCACACCCCACACAATCCCCACAACACCACCACCCCCTCCCCCATCAATAACTATTATACCAACCAAACCACATAAACCCAACCCAACAAAAATACAAAAACCAAACAAACATCTAATACCCCATATAACCAAACCCCCCAATCCAAACCATATTAAATACCCATACAAAAACAACCCCCCCAACAAAACCCCCAAACTCCAATCAAAAACACAAAAAAACCCCCCATACCAAACACAAACCCCCCCCACCCACAACCACCCCAAACACAATACAACACACCACAAAACACCCAACCACCACAAAACCCCCTAAACACACCCCCAAACCAAACAACCCCCCACAAAAAATCACCAAATAAAAAACACCCAAAAAAAAAACCCAAAACATAACCCCTCAAATACACCCCCACCAAAACCCCCCAAAACCCCAACCCAAACACAAAATCCCTAACATCAAACCCCCAAAACATAACACCCCAAACCCCCCTCCCAATACCCCCCCCCCCCCCTTCCAACAAACAAAAACACCCCCAAACACAAACACCCCCATCCCCCCCCTCCCCACACACTTACCCCCACAATATACCTTCCCCCTATTAATCCCCCCCCATAACCCACACATCAACCTTAATCTTATCACATCAAATTTCCCCACCATCTCATCCACATCTCTCACCCCCACCCACACCCCTTCACACAAAACCCCCCCCCTCCCCAACAACTCCTAACCTCACAATACATATCCTCCTCAAAATAAACATATAATTAAATCCCATAAACCCCCCCCCCCCCTCCCCCCCCCCATATACATCTACTTAAACCCTTTATACCCCCAAACCCCCCCCCACCCCACTTACCCCACATACATCCATACCCATCTCTTCTATCCTTTCATTATAATCAAATTTTTCAAATCATCAGCCTATATAACTCAACCCACTACCTTATATATTCTTCCATCCCCCCCCAATCCAATCCCAATACCCTCTCATAACTTATCCCAATAACATACCCCATCCCCCCACCCACCACCCCAAAACAACCAACCCAACCACACCAAATACTACCTACCCAAAAAAAATCCCAACCTCCCCCCCTACATATTCTCAACAACCTCATAAAAAACCATACCCCCCAACTCCAATCATACTCCCATCCATACCCACACCACCCACCTAACTAATACCCCCAACACCCACCCAAACAATAACCTTAACACAAACAAAACACCCCAACACCAACCCACCAACTCCCACAAAAACCTAACCCCCCCATACACCCTCCCCCCCCCCCCCTAAATTAACATCCCCATCCCTACCCCCTCCATCCCAATCACCCACATCTCCCCCCCCCCCCAATCTTATCATACCCCATCCTCCAAAAATATCTCCACCAAACCCCCCACCTTACCACATATAACTCATCCTATCCTATCCCTCCAACAACCATACCACTACCCCCTATACATAAATAACTATTTCCCACAAATACCACCCACAAAATAACCCTTCTAAACTCACATATACCTAACCCCTCCCAATCACCCCCCCCCCTTCCGCTCCCCTACCCCCCTACTTCCCCCCCCCCCCCCCCCCTCCCCCCCCCAACCATCCCTCCAACTATAACCACCACCTATACCTACACCACTCAAAACCCCACCAATTTATAATATACACAACTCTAAACCCAACACCAATAACCCAAACCCATCACCATCCACCCCCTCCCACTAACCAACAACCAAAACTCATATCCCCAACTCACACCCACATACCCCTTACACACCCACCAAACAATTACCTACCAATACCCCCTCCACCAACCCCACCACCCACCCATTCTTCCCTCATTCTTATCCATCCCAACCATCCCAAACTACATCATCATAACCCTCACTTCACACACCATACAAAATCATCAATCTAATTCCCCAAAACCACCTACACTAGCCATAACACAACACAATATCATATCTCACCACCCAAACACACCCCATATCATCCACCTCATCCAAAACCCCTCCTTTCTACACCCTTCACCCACCACAACACAATACCCCCACACAATTTTTCCCTAACCCTACTCAAATCAATTCATACAATAATCTATTTCCCTATAACAACACACAACCAAAACCACCAACACCTTATAATAATAATCTCTCTCACTCTCTCCCCCAAAACACATCCTCCCCACCCCTTCCCACCCCAACAAAAACCAAACCCCCTAACAAAAAAAAACCACAACCTCAACATTTCACAAACACTTCCCTCCTATTTTCCATACCTAAATCACACCTTAACACTACCATCTTCTCCCCCTCCCCCTCACATATCCCATTACCCAAACAACAATCACCCAAACAACCACCATCCACAACTTCCCTTACAAACAACACACACAATTCACCACCACCACAACACCATTCTCACCTATATCAAAACACACCTCAAACCACCTAAATAACATACTAAAAAACAATCTAAATACACATTCTTACCTCAAAACCAATACAATAATCTCCTTACACTAAAAACTCAACAAAACCCCTCTCACACCCAAACACATACCTATTATATTTATAACTCCAACTCCAAAAACAACCATACCAAATTACCACCCACACACCCCCCCCCCCTATAAAAACCCACTTCAACATCACCATACCCCAATCAATAATAACCCTTCCCAAACAACACCTTCTCAAAATATATATCTATCAATATTTATAAATATAAATATATAAACACCATAATTCCAAAATCCAAATAATAATCTCCTCTCAATAAATCCCTTTAACCCATTCACTTTTCCTCTCACCATCCTCTCACATTCAACAATCCCTCATACCCCCCCTCCCCCACCTCCCAATTCCAAACCCCTATCTTCACCTCCAAACCCCAACCAACCATCATCACCAACCTACCCTGACAAAATATCACAACTTTCCCCCACACCTACAAACCAAATTAACCTATTCCCACCACAATATTTAAATCTCCCACATTCACCCAAACATTCAAATAACCAAACCAAAACCTCCCACCAAAATATATCATCAACCAACAAACCACATAACCAAAATCTAAAAATTTACTATACTTATCTGATAAACACCACATCACAACTATAACTATAAAAACTAACATTTATTTATAATTTTTACAAACTCACTAAAAACTTATCAATCCCAACCAACACCCACCCCTACAAATAAACCCTTCCCCCCCCTCCTATCACCATTCCCAATCATTTAATACACACCTATCTCCCCCCATTTACCAACACCAATCAAATCAACATACCTACCTCCCTTAAACAAAACAAACTATCCAAAACCCTCCCCCTTTACCCCACCCTTCAAACCCCTACCTCTACCCTCTAAATAAAACAAACACCCCCTATACTCATTCTCTCCCCCCATCTCCACCCCCCCCCCTCCCACCCCCCCCACCAACAAACAAAACAACACCACAATACCACAAAATATTAACAATTTTCCCAATTCTCCCCCCTATTCCCAACATCCCCTTTTCCCCTCCCCCACCCCTCCCCCCCTATTCCCCACCCACTACATTTCCCATAACCACCAAAAAATAATTTCTCCTCACACTCTAAAACACTCTCTAATTTACCCACATCAATCATACATACCATCCCCAACACCCACCCATCACACACAACATACTCTCCTATAAAAACCCCATAATTTTCCACTATATTACATCACAATAATTTATATCTATCTCCCAACTCTAATAATACACCCCACCATCAATCATACATCTCTCCCTTATCAATAATACTCCATATCTACCCCCATACCACCAAAAACCCCACCTACTTCATTCCTCTCACTCACTACAAATCCCCATCCCCCAATTCATCTTCCCCATTATACCTTACCCTCAAATATTCTCTCCCTTACCCCAATTCAATTCCCCCCCCATATTTTTTCTCCTTCCCCTATAATATTCTCAATATCTCCTATTTCCTCCCCTTCACTCTCTAAAAATCCCATCCAACATTAAAATCCTTCCACCCCCACACCTCAATCTTTAAACTCCATAATCTCTAATAACTATTAATACCACATCCCATACCCCCAAAAATACCCACTCAACTCACTCACTCCCAACATACCATTTTACACTCTTCATCCCTAACTACCCTATATTCCATTCCCCCCCTCAATCTTCACTTCCCTCACCCATTCATCTAACTTCCACATAATACCCACACCCCCACAATCCAAAACCTCATTAACCCCCCCCCCATAAACCCATCCACCCCCATCCATAAAAATATATCTAACAACCAAATCACAAATTTCTCTCTTTTCAAAACACTAAAAAAAACCATAACTATCCAAACACCCCCACAATAACCAATACATTCTCCCACAACCTCACCCTAAACACCAAACCCTTCTATTCAACCTCAAATCATCTCCACCCATACACAATATCCCACACTTAACCTTATAAACCATATACTCCAAACACCTACTCACCACAAACACACACACCCCCTTACATACCCAAAACCATAAACCCAACTACATAAACCAAAAACCAAAACACATTCTTATTATTTCCTCAAAAAACTATCCCCCCTATATATTCACACCCCTTAATCCCCCCCCCATCATAACTATCCCATCTTTACCCCACTAAATTCTACCTTCCCACAAATATAAAATTCTTTATTTCCCTATCATCCTTCCCTCCCCACCCCCCACCCCCACCTTATCCCCCATCATACTATCCCCTTCCAATCTCTCATCATACCCACCACCTAACCCAAACTAACATCCTTCTTACATTATCATAAATCTTCCATCCATACTTTCAACTACCCCATCCTCCTCACCCAAAACCAATCTTCCCCACCCTACACCATTTTTTCCCCCTCCACCCACCCCTCTACATAAATCATACACACCATACATATCAATCACCACCCATCCTCAAAAATTCTTCTAAACCCTTCATAATATCCTAACCCCATCAACCTCTCCCCTCTTCCCCATTTTCAAACCCCCTTATAACTCCAACCACCAAACCCACCCCCCCTAATCCCATAATCCATTAATAAAAACACATAATATCCAAACCCCAATTCAACTAAATCAATCCTAATATATCCAATCTCAAAAACCATAACACACCACTAACCTTTCCAAACCCAATACTTACCAATATCAAATTTCCCATATTTCTTATCCCCCACATTTTCCTATTTCCACACCCCCCCACACACCACCCCCCAAAAATATCAACCCCCATATAAATTTCATACCAAACAATCCCTCCTACACCCCACACCAACCCCATTAACATAAATCAAACTAATTCCCCCTCCACACCCCAACCCTCCAAACATATCCATTTCCTCATCAACCCAATCACTACAAAACCAAATTCATCTTCCATCAATAATAAACATACCTATTAAATTCACATAATAAAAACATTTCAAATTACATACATTACATACTATACACATTTTTTTTAATTCTACCACAATAATTCAACCCACACCCCAACAACACACCAACCTCCACTATTAAACCCCAAAATCAACACAACCCCACCTCCCTTACCATACTACCCCTCATCAAATCCCTTTCATACCCCCCTCTCTAATAACAATTCACAATACATTCATTCATCCATCAACCCAAAAAACCATAACTCACTCAAAAAACAATCCAACTTCTACATCAATATCATAACCCCCAAACCTCACCATACAAATAACACAACCTCTTCACACACCCCAACTTTAAATCCCCTATTCCCCCCTAACATTCAAACCCTATTCCAAAACACATACATTACATCACAACCACACCCTTATCCCACCCCCCTCCCTCCCACCCTAAACATACCAAACCCCCATAATTAAAACCCTCAAAAACCCCCCCCCATTCCTATCCCCCCATTCTACCATATCCCACCACATAACCAACCCCCCTCCCCCCCATAAAAATATCATTTTTTTTCACTCTCACTCCCCTTTCTCCCATCCCCAACACCACCCTTCCACCTCAACATCTATATTCCATTCCACCCCAAAAATACTATTAGTACCCTATTCCCCCCCCCCCCATCTCCATTTTAGACAAAAATAAAAATCTAAACCAATCAAAGCCACGGAGCTCTCTTGTAAGACCGGCTGCTAATTTCAGGGATATCTCTGTTCAAAGATTAAAAACAATTGGGACTCTCTTGAAACATGAGCTCATGAGGGGACGGAACGGGGACGCAGAAGATTAGGAGAGAGAAAGAGCGGACTGATAGGGAACAAAAAGTGTTGGCTGGGTCTACAGCCTCAGTCCTGGGTCTACAGCCTCAGTCCTGGGTCTTACAGCCTCAGTCCTGGGTCTACAGCCTCAGTCCTGGGTCTACAGCCTCAGTCCTGGGTCTACAGCCTCAGTCCTGGGTCTACAGCCTCAGTCCTGGGTCTACAGCCTCAGTCCTGGGTCTACAGCCTCAGTCCTGGGTCTACAGCCTCAGTCCTGGGTCTACAGCCTCAGTCCTGGGTCTACAGCCTCAGTCCTGGGGTCTACAGCCTCAGTCCTGGGTCTACAGCCTCAGTCCTGGGTCTACAGCCTCAGTCCTGGGTCTACAGCCTCAGTCCTGGTCTACAGCCTCAGTCCTGTGTCTACAGCCTCAGTCCTGGGTCTACAGCCTCAGTCCTGGGTCTACAGCCTCAGTCCTGGGTCTACAGCCTCAGTCCTGGGTCTACAGCCTCAGTCCTGGGTCTACAGCCTCAGTCCTGGATCTACAGCCTCAGTCCTGGGTCTACAGCCTCAGTCCTGGGTCTACAGCCTCTGATCCGCGTTTACACTTCACTATTCAGGACCAGTGTTTACAAAGTGGATAACGACACCATTTACGCCGTCGTTGATGGTTTAGAGGCGGCGCCGGAGAAGTCACGCTACAGTCAGAGAGCTACTGTTAGACACACTGGAAAAAAACCAGGTGTGTCTGTCACTCGCTGGGTGTTTGGCCGCTAGTAGCGGTCTCTCTCGCATTGGTCTCTCTCCGTATGGGGTTCTATTATGCGGTCATAGAGTAATTGGTTGTGTCCGAGACGTTTAGGGGGCGATGGGGGGGAAGCCTGTGGAGGGGAGTCGTGTGGGAGGAGAGGAGAGAGACGCGGAGGAGGGCTCTAGTCGGGGGGTGAGCTCTTGGTGTATCGCGAAGGGATCTCTGCAGAGAGGGTTCTTCTCGCTGGCTTTAGGTGGTGTGCTGGAGCGGTGGAGTAGAGGGATAGGGGGGAGGAGAGAGACAAAGCAGGTTGGGGGAGAGAGTAGGGGTAGGGGGGAGGGGGTGATGTCAGCGAGGTGGGGGGATGGGAGAGAGGGGGAAGAGAGATGGTGGGGAGAGAGAGGGGAAGTGCATGTGGGGATCGAGGAAGAGAGTGGTGGAGAGAGCGTGGAGGGTGGAGAGAGAGGGGAGAGCGGCTCGCGGGAGACACGCGAGTCTGGACAGCGCTCATGGGCGCGCGCGGGGCGGACGATCGAAGGGCAGGCGCTCGTGGGGCGCGAGGCGGGCCGCTGGCGGCGAGCGGGCGCGAGCTCGAGGAGCTCGGCGCGGGAGTCGCGGGGGATCTCTGAGAGACGGGGGGAGCGAGACTGGGCAAGCCGGGTCGATCTCGGGTGGCGAGCGGGGCGCGAGCAGGGGGCTGCGCGGGTCGGATCCTCTGGTCGCAGCGAGCCTGTGTCGCGCGCTGGTCGGCATACGCGGGGTCGCCTCTGCGGGTCACTCTCTCGGTCGCAGAGAAACGCTGGGGGAGTAGAGACGTCGCGCGGGTCTGAATGCGGGGCGGCGCGCGGGGCTGGCTCGGAGACGGGGAGAGAGTCTGGGGCGCGATCGGGGTGCCGAGCTGGGAGCTCTCTTGTGTCTCTCTGGTCTCTCTCTGGTCTCTCTGGTCTCTCTCTGTCTCTCTCTGGTCTCTCTGGTCTCTCTCTGGTCTCTCTGGTCTCTCTCTGGTCTCTCTCTGGTCTCTCTCTGGTCTCTCTCTGGTCTCTCTCTGGTCTTTTTCTGGTCTCTCTCTGGTCTCTCTCTGGTCTCTCTCTGGTCTCTCTCTGGTCTCTCCGGCTCTGGTCTCTCTCTGGTCTCTCTCTGGTCTCTCTCTGGTCTCTCTCTCTGGTCTCTCTCTGGTCTCTCTCTGGTCTCTCTCTGGTCTCTCTGGTCTCTCTCTGGTCTCTCTCTGGGTCTCTCTGGTCTCTCTCTGGTCTCTCTGGTCTCTCTCTGGTCTCTCTGGTCTCTCTCTGGTCTCTCTCTGGTCTCTCTGGTCTCTCTCTGGTCTCTCTCTGGTCTCTCTCTGGTCTCTCTGGTCTCTCTCTGGTCTCTCTCTGGTCTCTCTCTGGTCTCTCTGGTCTCTCTCTGGTCTCTCTGGTCTCTCTCTGGTCTCTCTGGTCTCTCTCTGGTCTCTCTCTGGTCTCTCTGGTCTCTCTCTGGTCTCTCTGGTCTCTCTCTGGTCACGCACTGGTTGCCCCTACTCTCTGGTCCTCGCTCGGGTCGCTCTCAGGTCGCTCGCGGGACTCTCTGCTCTGTCATCTTTCACATGACACCACCTTGTCTCATCCATCATCCATCTCTCTGCCCTCCTCATCTCCCCTCCTCCTCCTCCTCCTCTTCCTCCTCCTCCCCCCCTCCTCCTCCTCCTTGTCCTCCTCCTCCCCCTCCCTCTCCTCTCCTCCACCTCTTTCTCCATCTCTTCCTTTTTTCTTCAAGACAAACAATGAAACAAAATCCTTCTCTAAGTCATTCCACAGCCCCCTCTGCACACCGCCTCCGTCTGTTTAGAGCCGTGTGTTTGTGAAGAGGCAGGGGGGAGGCAGGGGGGAGGCAGGGGGGAGGCGGGGGGAGGCAGGGGGGAGACAGGAGAGAGGCAGGGGGGAGACAGGGGGGAGACAGGAGAGAGGCAGGGGGGAGACAGGAGAGAGGCAGGGGGGAGGCAGGAGAGAGGCAGGGGGGAGACAGGGGGGAGACAGGAGAGAGGCGGGGGGGGAGACAGGAGAGAGGCAGGGGGGAGGCAGGAGAGAGGCAGGGGGGAGACAGGAGAGAGGCAGGGGGGAGGCAGGAGAGAGGCAGGGGGGAGACAGGAGAGAGGCGGGGGGGAGACAGGAGAGAGGCAGGGGGGAGACAGGAGAGAGGCAGGGGGGAGGCAGGAGAGAGGCAGGGGGGAGACAGGGGGGAGACAGGAGAGAGGCAGGGGGGAGACAGGAGAGAGGCAGGGGGGAGGCAGGAGAGAGGCAGGGGGGAGGCAGGAGAGAGGCAGGGGGGAGGCAGGAGAGAGGCGGGGGAGGCAGGAGAGAGGTAGGGGGGAGGCAGGAGAGAGGCAGGGGGGAGGCAGGAGAGAGGCAGGGGGGAGGCAGGAGAGAGGCAGGGGGGAGACAGGAGAGAGGCAGGGGGGAGGCAGGAGAGAGGCAGGAGAGAGGCAGGGGGGAGACAGGAGAGAGGCAGGGGGGAGGCAGGAGAGAGGCAGGGGGGAGGCAGGAGAGAGGCAGGGGGGAGGCAGGAGAAAGGCAGGAGAGAGGCAGGAGAGAGGCAGGGGGGAGACAGGAGAGAGGCAGGGGGGAGACAGGAGAGAGACAGGGGGAGACAGGAGAGAGGCAGGGGGGAGACAGGAGAGAGGCGGGGGGAGACAGGGGGGAGGCAGGAGAGAGGCGGGGGGGAGACAGGAGAGAGGCAGGGGGGAGGCAGGAGAGAGGCAGGGGGGAGGCAGGAGAGAGGCAGGGGGGAGGCAGGAGAAAGGCAGGAGAGAGGCAGGAGAGAGGCAGGGGGGAGACAGGAGAGAGGCAGGGGGGAGACAGGAGAGAGACAGGGGGAGACAGGAGAGAGGCAGGGGGGAGACAGGAGAGAGGCGGGGGGAGACAGGGGGGAGGCAGGAGAGAGGCGGGGGGAGACAGGGGGGAGGCAGGAGAGAGGCGGGGGGAGACAGGAGAGAGGCAGGGGGGAGGCAGGAGAGAGGCAGGGGGGAGACAGGAGAGAGGCGGGGGGGAGGCAGGAGAGAGGCAGGGGGGAGACAGGAGAGAGGCAGGGGGGAGGCAGGGGGCAGGCAGGGGGGAGGCAGGGGGGAGGCAGGAGAGAGGCGGGGGTGGAGGTGTCCACGGGGGAGAAGAAGGGAACACAGCAGAGAGAAAGTGCTTAGCTAGCCTGACTGGAGCTGAGGCTGACAGAGGCATCCGTCACTGTCAGGACGATGTGGACAGGGGAGCGTGGCGAGGGGGGGGGTTCGCAGCGTGGGGATCATGTTGAGGGGGGGGGGGGGGGGGGGGGCATGGCGAGGGGGGGGGGTTCGCAGCGTGGGGATCATGTTGAGGGAGGGGGGGGGCATGGCGTGGGGAGGGGGCCGTGGCGAGGGGCTGGAGAAACTAACTTTTCACAGGTTTTGATGCTAATGTTTTAGCACAGACTGGATATACGGTGGATATCATTTATACATGTTTTTCCATATATTTTCTACTTATTCATTATTCATTACATGTAAATACTAAATCAAATACTCTCAGGATCATGTTTAAAGCACAGAGTGTATATTTGGAGAGGACTGACCGAGTGCGACATCACCTCTGCGTTAGCCCAATGCGGAAGAGACATGAGCTAGCTGTAGCCAACTTCCTTATCTGGGCATTTGTTCTAGCAACGTTAGCTTAGCGCCGTAACAGAGGCAGACGTGTTGCTAAGACGGTTGCTAAGGCGAGCTGGAGTTTCCTTATATGGTCATATCTGGATTTACAAAGACACTACCACAACATAATCAGCAGGATCACAGAGAGCGGTGAAGGTGATGTCACACAAACATTACTTTGACATGGAGCCAAACTTCTCTACTGGCTTTAACTAAGCTAGCGCGTTAGCATTGTCCATCCTGTCAGACCTCTGAAGCTAAGCATTTCCCAGACTGCCTTGTGGTTAATGCTCGGCCGTGATGGGTCGAGAAGCCTCCGCCTACTTCCCCCAGAATGCCGTGTGCTTCGGGCTCGGCTTTTCTTCCTGTTTTTTTCTAACAGAACTCACAAAAATTATCAAAAATTGTGTCTTGAGTGTCCAGAAAAGTGCTAAATAAAACCGATGTATTGTTATTGTTATTGTTGTCGTTGTCCTCTACAGTCTACAGTTTAAACTTCAGAGGTGTCGTTCTTCTTCTGTGTGAGTGCTGGTCGTGGTCAGCTGAAGGACACAGAGCGTTTATGGTCCTCCCCGGAGCCATAACTCTCTGGTCGGTTACATTTACAGCGATTTCTCTCTATTACAACCACGGCACCAATCTGACCAAGCCCCGCCCACTCTGCGCCAATCAAAGTCAGCCCCGCCCCCACAGCACTGTCCAGGGTCCTTCATGGTACGTGCATAACGGAGATGAGAGAACGTCGTTACTATCACTGAGTAATGAACCCGAGCGAACTGCAGAGAGAGCGCCACCATCCACAAGAACTGATCACAGAGACTGCAACGAAACCAAATCTGGACTCATGAGAAGGTCTCTCTCTAAGATCTTGCTCTGGTCTGTCTCTGGTTTGTCTCTGGTTTGTCTCTGGTCTGTCTCTGGTCTGTCTCTGGTCTGTCTCTGGTCTGTCTCTGGTCTGACTCTGGTCTCTTTCTGGTCTGTCTCTGGTCATTTTCTGGTCTCTCTC